ATTTATACCTATTCATATTTATTGGGGTAGAATAGACATATCTAGTTTCATATTGTAAGGCTAACCTTGACTACGATCTAGATAAATGATAGCTGAATTTAGCAGACAAGTATTTTTACAACACAGGCAACACTGACGCAATTTTACCGGGAAAGAAAAGAAAATGGCTGCGACCAAACAGCTGACTTCCTGAAGCTATTTAATCCAGGAAAGAGCGTTGTCGATATAAAAACCCCAAGTTCTCAATGTCACGCGATAACAAAATTGGAGTATGCTTTATTTAAATGCCAACGCCATTTTAGGTTATTCACGACGTGATTCAACAAAATCAAAAGCGCCCGCTGTGGGTCCGTTAATCTCGTGATAAAAACTATAGTCTACAAGTAATTATTTATGGTTCAGACTTCGGATGGCGCCAAACATCTCGACTTGGCCATTGACTTGACGCATCGCAAAGAGATAACTCAGACTAAGGAACATAAATATTATGTATATTGCATTTTAGTGATGTTATACCTAATTTCATTTCATTTTTATATAAATGCATAAATAAAATCATTAAAGAACTTACTTAAAATGATAAAACTTGTAAAACTTTTATTTCTTTAAAGGAGGTCCATTTTTCGGCCTGAAATTTTACTTTTAAAATTTTATTGTACCTACTTACAAGTTCTTCGAGAACATAAGAAATCAAGTTCGGTAGACATGTATTGTTCAACAATGACACTGTTTTTTTAAATTAAATAATTGTAATTAAAACCTACTGGACGAAGTTTGTAGGTACGTTTATTTTAAGTATATGTACTGGAAAAGTATATTAACTCGCACTGCAGCAAGTTCTTCTTCTTTCTTTCTAGATAACGCTTAGTAATTGCAGTCAAGGCCACGTCAGGGGCTTGTCCTGTCGTATCACAGTGAAGTACAGTTGATATGATAACAAACCAATTAGCAAACGATAGATACCTATATTTTTCTCCGAAATCCTTTTTTTTTAGGGCAAACGAAATACTTATGAAAAAAACTTTATCCACTCTTGTTTTATAATCTGAGCCACTCGCCTTATCTTTGAAGCCATAAATTATAAAATAATTACGAAAATTTCGTCAAATTACTCATCCTTAGTAAGCATTCTGATTAAACTGTCCCTATCAAAAGACTGCACATGATTCTTGGTAGTTAGGAGCTTATCTACAAACAAATCCACGAAACGATATATCTATAGTTTGGAATTCAATTTGGCATTCTGATCTTTAGACGTAGGAGTTGGTTATTTACAAGTAAACCATTTGATATTTATCTATCTAGGTAAATTCAACCAAATTACAAACAGTATCTAAGTATAAGAATTTGTCTTATACAGTATAGATAGGTTTAATCTACATATAAACTCGAAACTGTCTCAAACCAGGAACATGGCAATCCACACATTGTGCTTATAAATGGTCCTAAATAACAAACGTTCTGTGACACTATAACGAGCCCTCAAGTGCCATTTGCATTTGCTAATCGTGCGTGAGCTACAACGCATGCTCAGGCGATAACGTTCACTAATCCGGACCATACGATTATTATCTGATCCCACAATATAGGTCTACAGCCTCCCGCCTCACTTTTGTACACAATAAAATTATTCTTATCTCGTCTGTTCAATGTACCAGGCAAAATTCCAGGTAGGAAAAAATGTTAACGATAAACAATGTGCCATGTTGAAATATGTATAGAAAATTAATTTAAATATTGAATTTAGAACGTTGTTTTTTTCCTTAGCGTCTGGCACAAAGGTTATTTGCCAGTGTTATGCTAATGTCATAGACTAATAAAGGAATTGCACACTATAAATGTCTTAATAGATAAGTATCGTTGGTGTGTCAAGTTCATGCCTATGAGTGTCCATTAGGATAGGTAAGTACTATACAAAGTAGGCCATTCTGATCTCTAATGACAGACGCATCTCGAATTGACCTACGACCGTGACAATCTAAAATTATTTCAACGTAAACTGGGTCAGAATGGGCATAAATTTATACAGTTTGATATTATCTAATGGGTCGATGTACCAGGGTCGCAGAGGAGCGCGCCGGTGGACCGTGGACGCCTATTGTCATTCAATAGGGCCATTGTGAGTTCTTTGTCGGCTGCGGCCGTAGCCCAGGCTCGGCCATTTGACATGGGGGATGCGGGACTTGAATTATGTTAAAATATTTGGTATGTATAACCACTGTATGAATTCCAGAACCAAAAACAAGTCGAATGCATTTGAATTAAAATGATTAAACTGGATACCATGTTTTATTCACTGAATTTTGTTATGTAACTACGGATTTTGTAGATTTTACAATGGCTATTAAAAAATCTACAAGAAAGTAAAGTAATTGTTTCAACCAAACATCTAGAAATAGCCATTGAAAACGGGTCAAACAACAACCTACCTACAACACACAGATAAACAATTGATAATCCGCGGCCAATCAGCGTTTTCCTTCGAGAAACTTAGTTGGGTTAAAAGTAACGAAAATATTTCGATACCGTACGACAGTATTCATAAAATGGCGTGACTTCCTACATAAACTGTCGATGTAGATATTAAGATGCATGTAACACAACACATTAAACGCACATTATCTGCAATTAGCGGCAGCCGCTTTTAAACTCGTCCATACACCGTGAGAACGTCGAAAAAACCTGCACAGCGCATCTTGACGCGACAGCACAACTCTAACAACACTAGGACAAGATCTTGTCACTTTCTTTATGTATGCTCAATAATACTTTATTTATGAATTTATTTCATGTGATCTACAATTGTACACGATATTATTTTATTGTCAGAACTTCGAAACCGTCAAAAGATCTTGCAGCAATTTCAATCGAAATGTAATTACAGAACGACACTTTTATTGTCTTTTTTAATTTAAAAATATCGTCCTGCACTTAAATCTGTGTTCAAGCCAATGAATCATGTTTATTCACGAATTATTTGTACTGAGAATCACATCTTTTTTATGCTTAGTTACAGTTGCAAATGGCTTTAAGACAAAAATAACAAAACGATACTTCCTTCCAGTTCGGGTTCAAGGAAAACGTGGAATCTGTTCGATGATTCACTACATGATTTTAGGTTTTAATCCCATCCTAATGTGTTTCTAATTCTATAGGTAATAATTTTGAATCTATCCAAGAATGAAATTCATAATTAGATACGTAGGGAAGAATCCTTTTTACTATAAAATATAAAAGGAATGTGTGTGAGTTTTTTTTTATACTACACTAGATACCGCCCAGACTTCGCCCGAGTGCAACGCTCATACTTTATTTCTCCACTATTTAATGGATTTTATCAAAAACTTCCTCTTCAATTATTATAATTATATATAAAAAAATACTTCCTCAAAATCAGCATACACAGGGAAAGAGAAAGCGACTTAGTTTTATATTTAATTTTAATTTTTATAATTTACTTTTCTATACTTTGTGCAGTGATGAAATAGGTATATGTAGACAAAGAATACTTTTCATTTTTTATATTACCTTATTACGTTTTTCGTGTTAAGAGGCCTTTTGCAGTAGCAATTTCTCCGTGACATATTTATTTGACTTGAGTAATGGCTGCTTTAATTTTTATTAATAAAACAATGAGCTAGAGATTATTCGTGACGTCGTAGAAAGTAAATATTTATCAGAAAATTTTCTGCTTTAGTTATAATAATGATGTATGAACGATACGCTCCAAATATTTAATGAAAATAATATACAATTCTACGCGCGGTAGAAAAATATTTCGTTTATGAATTAATCATTTAAACATTAATGTTCATGATATTTTTATATTAAATAGATCTTCGAAATATTATAAATGAGGAGAAACAAGAAACGTTTAATTTATAGCTAAAAAAAGCTCCAATGTCAAAATTTTAAAATCAGAACTCCAGTTGTTGAGAACGCAATGACCATAAGACGTTCAATTTTTTTTTTCGTAAATTAAATTGAAATTACCTGATAACCCTGGTAAATTAATAGGTTATAATCATTTTGTTATTTGAATTTTAATTATTTATTTATATAATATAGTTTATTGCAAACATACACTAAGTTGAAGTACAATGGATAGATACTAAAAATGAAAAACTACAAAATAATGTTGTAAGTGATTTCAATTTTGTATAGTAATCTATTATCTATGCTTTTTACCTATGACAACTGTCGGATACAATACGATACGATTTACGCTACATTGACATCTAGATAGTACTTGCCATATATGTTCTAAGCAATCTTCAGATGGTATACTCCTATCAGATCAGTTTCTCTAACAATATTACCTATGCAAAATAGTTTTACAAGATATTTTTATTGTTGAATTTTGATATAAGTAACACCGATCCTTTAGCCCGTTGTCTCTTTTCACAAAAACAAAATGCATTTTTTTCTAAATTATAAGTACATAATTAGTATTTATTATATGTAAAACATATTCGGAATGACATAACAATAATAATATGTAGGTACGTATAGATCTGTTAAGTATGGTAGGTAAGTAACACCGGTAGAACATAGGTACCTACTATCGCAATAACGACGGTTGTAAACAAAGATGACTAATCAACAAATTAATTACTTATCTAAGCGACAAAACTACGGAACTGCTAATAATAAACCCGTGCAGTCGTTCACATCATTTTAAATTGCAGTCTTTATTTTCTATAAAGTAAAATAGGGACCTTAGATCCTTTTATGTTATTTAATTAAAATGTTTTATGTTTACCCATGTGTATGTCAAATATTCTTTTATAAGTAATATCTAAGAATAATAAGTACTATTCACTAATATAATGATATTTACCGCACAATATTTCGAAACCTAGACAAATTCACGCATGCAAATGTAATTTTAATAAATAGATCGTATTATTTTAACAAATAAAAAGAAAGGAGCAATGTTGTAACTCAAATTCTTAAAAAAATGAATGAATAAAACTTTGTAAGAGTTTAAAAATACTCACCGTTATTAAAGGTGCAACAGGATCTTCCTGGCATGCACTCGATACCGATGCTTTCCACAAAACTGAAGACACGATCTTAATCCTATCAAAACTGGTCAGGAGAACTAAATTAATTGTAAGCGAATAGCTCGCTACAAAGTCGCTAAACACACTGATAAAATATTTACAGTTTTAGCTAACAACCACAGGTGGTTTAAATATTTACGTAAAGTTTTTGACGTTTCAAGTTGTACGTCCGAGACGTGACGCGAAGCGATCGGCCCCCGGTCGAGCCGACGCGAGACTATCACGGACACACTCGATCGTCGAGCTTTCGTACCGCGGCGCCCGTCCCGCTCCCGCAGCCGGTCACCTGCCGGTTAAAAAAATATGAGAAGCCTCAAATTTCGCCGAAATGGGAACCAAACCAAACATTTTACATTCAGACAGACAGGTACGGGGTTACTTTATGTCAGTGGTAGCACTTTTCATCGCCTGTTCACTTCGTTCTAAAGTTGTACATAGACACTACTAGTATAGACTGATGCGTGTTCGCACGGTCAGACTGCAATTTTGCTAGATTATCTATTATTGCAGCTTCGTAAATTACTGCATCGCCGCGAGAGATTTGTGGCTAGCTGGTCCACGAAGGAAACTTCATGTCGTCGATAATGACTGGAGCAAACAATGAGAACATTTTAGCGCTCGGACTGTAATCACCGATACAAACTGACCCATCGTTTCCCAGTAGTAAATTCAATTACTCGTTGTTTTCTCGCTTTATCTCCGCTAAGAACATCCTACGTCAATATTTGAAGGCACAATATAAAGCAACAGCACGGTGCTCTGTTGACTCGAGCAGCTCAGATAAACAAACATCATTCACTGATATGCCACCCTCAGAGATTACATCCTGCTGTAACGGCAACTCCGCGAATTAATTCTTCGAACTATTTGGGTTTAATTTCAACAATTAAACAATTTAGGTCGACCGTTATTCAGCAAATACGCAAACTGGCGTCCATTAAATTTACGATATCCTAATTGGATACCTCTGAGCTTACAACATCAACAAAGTTACAAAATGGCATCAACGTGCAAATAAATTCGCAATGAAAATCGTATCTACGTACACGCCATACGTAAGTACGCATCACAACGTTTTCAGTCGTTCGAGATTTGATAACATCGGTGAGTTACCGCGGTGGCGGCACTTCGTTGCTTATTTACTGCAGCATCCAACAAAATACTTATTTAAGCTTTAGGTTCAAAGCAAGACGAAACAGAGTTAGTATGACGCGACGTCGACGCGAGCATGACATGGCAAAGCACTCAGAAAGTCAGCACCCCAGGCTTAAAATAGAGTCCGAGCACCCGCAAACCGCTCGCAACTCTTAAATCCTATTAAAGGAGCTCGGGAGCACCTTTATTCATAGACTTCACCAATAATTTAATGGTTCTTCTTAAAGGGTGGTGCACACTGCCGACACCGGTGAAAAACAAACACTTCCGTTTTCCCTGTAACAAATAATGGCAAGAGTACAGAATGATGTAAGGATTCATCGAAAAATCATAATGGGACTGTAGTTGACGTGATAAGATTATCACATTATGTATGCTCATGTCATCTAACCGATGACTACGTGATGTGTTGCAGGCGTCATTCATCGAATGAATTCATTATATTACTGTGTCGGAAATATTATGTCCGACTGGTACAATGCAACCTATCCAATGCTTCAAAGACACTAGCGAACCTAACAAGGAAAAACAAACAGAAATCAATGGCATCATAAATTTTAATAATTAAGACTTCTGCGTCCCAAGCGAGCCACTTAACTCAGTGGATTCGAAGACAGTATTACTTTACACCTATTAATTTGATCAACATAATCCACACACAAATCCTTTAGAGCAGAGTAAATTTATATATTAAAACTGGGCTATAAATACTGGTCGCAGTTTCCTCGCTGCGTATAAAAGCAAAAAGACGTGCGCTCCGCAAACTCTGGCAAGCCTGCGCACTAGTCCTTGTACTAATATTTTATTTTTTAAATAAAGCGGTCTGGAGTCTGGGGTATCCTGTGCAAACTAGAATTTACTCCAACGGTCAAATATATGCTGTAAAATAATCGTTTTCTGTTAGGTTATTCAAATAACATAGCCCCTTTGATTTCCTCTGAAAAAAATGGCAAAGGTTTATTTTTGTCTAATAACTTAATACCGTTGACGGAAATGAAACAGTCACCTATGACTCCAATGGACTACTAAAATATCTATAGCGATAGATCTAAGTGGTGCCAGTAAACGGTCGTGAAACAACGCTTGAGTAGTGTTTTGCCGTTTAAATATAATAATAAAAAAGTAAAATAGATTTGACCTATTTTACTTTTTTATTATTATAGAGATTAGACCCGGGTGGGGAATATAATTATTTGCTTGAAACAAACCAAAAAGTCTCAATATAATCAAATGTACCAACCTACCAAATGGGAACTATATAGATTTTATCAGTATGCATATCTAAAAGAAAAAAATTTAATGACAATATCAATGTCAGATTATTTCATTGAAATAATTTAATATTTACTTAAGATGTTTAGTAAAATTTTCTAGAGGGACTGTAATTTTTTTATTCACTTTGTTTTGTATTGTTATAGAAACACGATTTACTTTTTTTAAAGTTTAATTTATTATATTTACTAACTAAAATGGCGGGTAAATATAATTTTAAATGTTTGGTTTTTAAAGTCGTGGCCGACTAACAATGTTATTTGTCATAATATAATTTACGAGGAGACATTGAATTTTGCCGAATTACTTGAGCACTGACTTAGGGTGTAAACTTGTGTCAGATAGCTTGCAGCTTTATGCAGCACTTACCAGAAATGTTAATCTCTTTTAGCAGAACCCGTAATTACCAGCTTATCGGAAATGATCGACATGGCCATCGGTACACCTGAGGTAAAATAACTCGCTTATAACAAAAGGCTTTCTTGAACAATTCCTATGATGTACCTATGCAAGTCTCCTAGCATCTTAGACTGTATAAGATTCCAAGAGTTTATTATTTAGTTTCCTTGTGTAAAAACCCTAAGATTGTATAACGTAGGATTGGAACAGTGCCCGGTGAAAAAGGACAGGCGCCCCGCCTCTCAAATCTGTGCTAAGTTTATAACGATATATTTTATAGGGTAAACAGCATACGTATTTTTTTATGTAGGTATTGGTCGTCAAACTAGCAGACGGATTACCTGATGGTAAGCAATTACGCCGCACATGGACACCCACATAGACACGGAGGATTTACGAGTGCGTTGTCTACCTTATAGGGATTAAGGTTTTGGAGATTTAGGGAAAGGGAACGGATTGGGGTAGGGAAAGGATTGTGCCTCCGGTAACCTCATTCACACGGTAAAACACAACGCTATTGTTTCACGGTTATCTGTGAGGCCGTGGTATCAGAGTGATACAACGGCATGGCAATATGTAAATATACATATTATGACCTTTGCACATATATTATGTTTGGTATCTTCCTTTGTAACCAACAATCAGGAATAGTGCGGTCAACGAGCAAACGGAATACCTTGGTAGATGGTAAGATTTCGACGCCGCCCATAGACACCCACAATACTAGTTACAAGTGCAGTGCCGGGTTTCACGCCCGTTTCCACGGGCCATGTATGTGCTGAAGCATGGCTCTCACACGTTAACGTATTGTTGAATGAGAAAGTGAGCGCGTATCATTCCTTTTATTGCCATTGATTCCTTACGTGTGTACAAGTCTAAAGTAAAGGCCAAAAAACCTGAGAAGCAAGCAACAATGATAGAAAATTTGCATTAAACTTCTATTACAAACACATTTCCAGAATGTTTTGTAAGTATTTGTGATGCTTTGTTTTGTTTCGAGAAGAGGTGAAAGTCACCGTTATTAATCGCGGTTGATATATTTGAGAGTATGATATAGGAAAAGGGAATTGTACCCCATAGACGTAGGTATTAAGTTGTTTCATATTCGTACCCATGTATTTATTTGCGTATCATAATGTTACATGGTGCTACAGGGTTGGCTTACAGCTAAGACACAATTATATCCCCTGTAGAGCACAACAAAACCTTAACGTTTTGTAATTCTAATAAAAACAAAAAACATACACAACATAACCAAAACTTTTGGAGCTAGGTTGTTAAGAATTTTTGGCATTAACCTTTCAATCGTTAACGAGACACGCGTTCGCTTGGGGTTTGATGAATTAAATTAAAATTGTTATTTACTACATTCACATATTACTATATAAGGTTGAAAAGGAAATATAAAATAGTCACAATTATGGGTTCTGACGGTCACAGTTAGCTTATAATTATGTATTTAGAAGAGATTCTTATACACTATTTGCCTAGTGACAGTTTTACTCATGTTACTTCAATGTTTAGGTGGGTGTAGTGGACTTCGGCATGATTCAAACTGTTCTGCACATCCTTGCGCATCAACTGGGAGTTTTGGGGAAAAATGTGGAGTTGAGGGGGGCAGCAGGTACAATTCCTGTCGGAAAACCCACCGACAACTCTCAGACTGTAGCTGTCACTGAGTTTATTGTCGACACAGAGGTATGTATGCAGTCATTTAATAATAGTAAATAGTATATTGATTAACTTCTAGTTTGTTCTTTATTATGCCTGGTGTATACGGGTAAAATAGAGTAAGTAGGTTCCACTTGTATATCAAAGAAGATACATGGCTTGTTATACTGAACTTTATAAGCATTTAGTATTTTATTTTAGTTTACCGCCCCGCGCGTTAAACTCACCTAATTGTGTGACTTAATTTAGTCGAACTCTTCCACAGCATTACAAAATAGTTTTAATCGGAATTCTATACCCTACCTATACCTAAATCTTTTTTTAATCATATAACCCCCCATACATGAGCCTACATAGGGTTCAATTTAATGTATTGGATTTTACTCCGGCAAACTAAGAAGGTTTAATTAATAAAATATATTGTAAAAATTAATTATTTTTTCCTACTTATTTATAGGCTCCCGGAGGGTATGAACTGGGTAAGTGGACTGTCGTTACTACACATTGTTAAAATCGTAAAATAAAAAAAAAATGAATGGCAAATGACAATATGTATATATGTTAATGATTAGATAGCCAGATAAATCTTAAATTATATTTTATTTCAGCGACTTCCCCTCCTGGTCCTGATCAAGACACCTTACTTGTTGGTGAGCACGCCATATAGCATTCAGTTTTTGACTGAATTATATATTTTTACCTTTACATAATCTCCCCTGCTTTTTCAGTTGAACGTATGCGAAAGTCTGAGTACGTAACACCAAGTAAGTTCATTTAATTAATTAAAAATTAAGAAACCACCTTTGCCTTAAACCGACTGTCTGCCTACAAAATACGACAGTAGGCAAATCCTCTGCTACCTTAGGTCACCGATGACCTACGCGGCGACAAACATGTTAAGATACTGGTATGTAAATTGACTTTGACTGCACGGTTGGTGCGGTGGCTGGGCAACTGGCTGCTGTGCAACGTGTCGCGGGTTCGATTCCCGCACGGAACAACACTTTGTGTGATCCACAAATTGTTGTTTCGGGTCTGGGTGTCATGTGTATGTGACATTGTATGTTTTTAAACGCACCCACAACACAGGAGAAAATCCTAAAGTGGGGCAACGTTACATTTAAAACAAAAAAAAAAACATTGACCAGTGTGTCCGTATTGGCATGACTGAGTTGAACATTAAGGGCATAATTATATGAGGTCGCTAACTAACGCTTTCCTGAAATTTGTTTAAACGTTTTGGACTCTCATGAAGAACTATATAGATACTATGTGCACCTTACTAACTTTTGAGAGGTTAATTAATATTTACGATTAAAATTTAATGTGTCATACTTTGCTTTAGTGGGACAAGGACAAATTGGCGGAGGGCCGAACGCAAGGGCTGCTAAAGTTGGAGGTGCACAAGCCGGTGGCCCTGAGGCTAGAGAACAACATGATTCAGCCCATACTCCACAATCGGGCCACCCTCCTGCCCCTCAGCAACACGACGCCCATCATGGTGGCCCTCCTTCAGCTCCTCCACCTGGGGCGCCGCACTCTGCGACTGATATTCAACATACTGGAGCAGCTTCTGGTCACGGCCCAGCACGCACATCCAGTAAACAGGCCATACCCCATGCAACACCCGGAGCTGGCCCAGAAAGACTCTCTCTCGTAACTATTAGCAAGTTTAATGTATTAGAAAACACAGTCGAAGAGTTGAAGAATCGCGTTTACGGGACATCACCTAAAAATGAAGAAATACTGCAAGAAGTCAGGTAAATACATTATATTATATATTGCAATATGCTCACAGAATAGTTCAAAAGAACCAAGTGAATTATAATAATATCACGGTGGCGTTGGCGTAGTGACCTGATATTTACACTTCTCAATCAGGGAACAGAGCCACTTAGAAATCCGGCAAATATTCTATCTGCTTTAAATGAGCTCTACTTATTTTATTGCAATAGGAAAACAAATATACTTACTTAATCTAGAAATTTAAAGCTTATAAAGTTTGTTCACTTGCTTGAACGCGCTATTTTCCGGAACTTCTTGCTCACATTGGATAATTATTTTTGTGTTAGACAGTCCATTTATTGAGAAAGGGTAAAACATTGCGCTACGATCCATAAAAGCCGAGCAGCGGTTGAAACTACGTGAGATCAGTTATACAAAGTATAGTATAATAGAAAAAGGAGGGTTCTAGGGTTCTAAAAATCTAGTAGAGGCGCGTAATTTTACGTTGATGGAAAAGTACGAATAGACGATCGTACCGGCCGGTCATGACACCGTCCCTTTGGTTGGATGGTCCATTGATAATTTGCGACAAACTGCCAAACACACCATTGAATATATGGTCCAGGGTAGACAAAAGTGACAGTTCGGATTGAACATCTTTTTGTGGTTTAAGATTGTGTTAACTTATACTTTTAAATGTCCTCTATATCTCCCTTATCTGAAACAAATGGTACCTTTTGCATCTCAATTCGCATTAAGACTTTTGGATTGATTAGAGTTTTGGACTTGTGCTCTCATAAATTTATTTCGGTAGTTATTATTTTACTTCTATATTTTATATCCCTCTCCTATACAGGTCACAAGGCAATCTCAAGGCTATTACAGATATGTGGAACAACATGAATGTAGCATCACGGTTGGATGCATGTGAAGAAGGCATCGGTAAACTTAGTTCCCTAGTAGAGGATCTCATAGGAGAGACAGCAGAGCTTCAAGAAGCTGCTGGCATTCATTCGTAAGTTTACAAGTACCTAATACACTATCCCACAAGTAATTCTTGGTCCCATTGCTTTTCCTAAAGGTCAGTCCAATGCATTAGTCAAAGCTTCCATTATGTGATACTAGTGTTCTTTTTCTGGTGTTTTAGGAGTTCATCAGACACTAGAATGGCGCAAGTACAACAAGTCCAAGGCGAATCAGATCAACCTCACGGCCCACCTCAGGTTCCAGGAGGGAAATCTGCCCAAGCAGGACAGCCAGCTCAAGGAGCTAAACCACCTAAAGGAGCCCAACCAACGAAAGGTGGACAACCAGATAAAGGCGGACAACCAGCTAAAGGCAGGCAGGCGACTCACGTCGCTGGCCATCCCGTTCCTGCATCTGGCATGACACCTGAAGTTGCACAACTTTTGCAGCACGTACAGAAATTACGAAACGATGTCGATATCCTTACTGAAACATTTTATTCGGCCATGAAGGAAGTTAACGAAGACTTTAGTAAGCTACTAATACGTATTACCTACTTATTGATAGAAATGGTTCCCTAATGTTTCGATATTTCTTCGTCGGTACAAAGTAATATTTTTTTAACATTTGAAACTAATGACTAACGCACATGGAGACATCGCGCAGCCGCTGCGCACGCTTCTTATGAATAACAGCCCCGCTGTGACTTAAAACTATTAGAGCTTATCTCAGTTAATTCACGTGAGTAATACGTTATTTTCACTCTCTGGATAGTACAATACAAATTTTCTTTCCAGTTCCCCAGGCAAAAACGAAAACTATAATATCTTTGTCAACGACAATTACTAATCATCTGCAATGGAAAAACTAGTAACATTTCTTTTAACGCCCGTTTTCAAAACAAAGCCATTGTTTATGTATCGAAATCGTGATTCCTGAACTAGGAATGTGAAATAATATAAACTTATTATATGTATAGTTCGATGACTAATTCGTCATAAATAGTCATAACCATATGATCGATCGTCCGAAATAACGAACTTCTTTAACATCGTAGTACTTACCATAATTTCTTATATCTAGCCATTAGAAGGAGGTTCCATTTGTTATTGTGAATGCTGATTTTAGGCGTTATGCAATAAAAAAATTGAAATTAAAAACTTTTACAGTAATTATTATACAAAGTGTAGGCAAACTGGTACGTTTATCGACGTTGTAGTTCGACGTCTAGCATAATCCTGTTTTGTTAATTAATTAACCAAACTGATTACAGCTCCACCTGCTGCGTTGCCTCCTCCCTCAAAGATAACAAGCAGCGATGTGGGCGAAGGGGTATCTCCAATGACTGGAACATTGCCTCCTATTGGAGAACCACCAGGTATTTGATATCAAATTCTATCACGGCACTAAAGATAGGGGTATCTATACAAAAATGGTGAAACTGAGGTGTCCAGTAATTACATAAGTTCGTAACCAGACCTGTATCTGAATTGCTGGCTCTCACCAAAGTGATCCCATCTGAGAGTCTTTACTCTTTGTTCAAGAGTATTTCACTTATAACAATATAAAGTTTTTATTAAGAAAGACTGTACATCAAAGCCGTTGTAGTTTAATAACTCGATTAAATTGCTTGTGGCCCAGGAGTAAGCTTGGGGCTCCACTATATACTGTTTTTTCAACCTTTTTTGAGAGGATGTCTCAATCATTCGGTTCTTTTGATCAGCCACTTCTGCTGAAAAGACCTTTAGTTTGAAACACTGCGCTCCGCTAGTGATATTAAAATTTATCGTAGGTATAGCAGCTAAAGGTTTCATAAGTAGTTGGCGCAAACCATTCGACGATGCATCATTTTTTCGTAATTAAATAAGTAGGTATGTGGCGAGATAGAATTAGGTTTTTGAAGCGGTTTTGTGCACTAAGAGCCTACATAGAAAATAATAGGTCTTTACCTATGAAATTGCCGTTCTGCAGTACTGGCCATTTCAAATCAAAATAGTTTTTGTTAGGCTAAGGCTAATTAATTTTGTTTTAAAAACGTGGGATTCTTTTTCCAAAAGTAGTCGTTTGTTTATTGATTAGTGTTACATTTTCATCGCATTTCAAATCAGCAATTCGTTTAAATTTTTTCATGCAAAACGGCAATTTCATAGGTCCTAATATTACCTCTTTATAAACGTAAATATACAGCACGTGCGTCTTACTTTTAGCTACACAATACCAGCCTCTCCAGGTGACTTCAGAATACATAACGCCTCCCCAAATTGCCCAAATGCCCCAAATTGGGCCTGAAATACTAAGCCGAATCAACAACTTGGAAAAAGAGTTGAAAAAATGCTGCGACTCTATTCACAAATCAGACGGACTCGTCAACGATCAGGTGGGTGACTCCTTAAAACTCTTAGTATATCATGATAACATTTTTAAAAGTTTTTATTAAGCTTCCGTAAATTTAGTCTATACGTAAACGTAATAAAAACGGGTAATCTTTAATCATAAACAGCATTTATGACTGTAACTGCGACGACAGCGTCTGTATCAAAGATTGGTCATCGATGCGTTCGGCGTGAGCTCAAATAGTCTTTTCGGTTCGAATCTCAGCTCAACAAAAAACAAGCGTTGCCTACGATCTAAACTTTTATATTCAGAAGAGATGAATGGGCAACTCTTCATAATTACATATCGGTGACCTAGCTGCGATTTCCAAAACACACAACATCCGCAAACTAAGTTCCGATGAGAAGATTGTAGAGCGTTGAGAGGAGTAAATGGGCAAAATGCTTTGGTACATCTTCGGACAGTCTGCAATCCGGACATGACGGTCCTGAATTCCGGTAACTCACTCTTCTACACATTGCGACGATGAGGTAGAGGCACTGTATGAGAAAATATCCCAAGCTAACACCTCCGAGGCACATTACATAGTTGTGATGGAGGATGTCGACGTAAAGAATGATGAGTTGAAAATGAGGTCATTTGGATTTACGCAGCAGAACCATCTGGGTCATCGGTTGGTAGGCTTTTGGAGAAGGAGTGACTACTTGTCTTTTGAACTCCTTATTCTAAAAGCGACCATTCAAGATAATAGTCCCCCACCAAAAATGAGATCAACTTTATCATGGCGACAGAGATGCATATATTAGTGATACCTCTGTGATTGCTAAAGTGAAAATCGGTCACCCAAAATCCATAAGTCTTACAACTCAAACTGCTTAATTTTCCTAACTGTTTACAAAACTGTGGACAAAATAAATAATGGGTTAGTGGAAACTGTCCACGGAGTAGGGTCGAAATTCTTTAAGACCCTACAGCTAAACAAACCTCAAAATCTCTCAAACAGAACACCGATGCAAAATGAGGCTGCAGTCTTCAGCCGATGTGTCCTAAGTACGGTCACCTCAAGAAGGCGAATTTCAAAGTCCATGCGACGCAACCAGCGTTTAATACTGCCCGAGCCAATGGCACCATCGAGCAAAACTAGGGCTTAAAAGTATCTGCAAAAGAAATATCTATTGGGCAACGCAAAATTACAAGGCTGAAATAAATTCTGAGTTTCTGAGAAAAGTTCACTCAATACGGCAACTCATTGTCGGTGCCGGTTGGGACCCAAAACCGATACTCTTAGCCCTCTAAAAGTTCTAGTTTTGGCATGCATTATGCATACGGCATGTTCCGTATAAGAAAAGAATTGACATGGACAAGACGAATTCCGTGTTCCACCTGTATAAGTCATAGTTAGGAACGATAGCCTTGAACTTGTAGACTATTATACATATCTAGGACAGATTATCCAGTTAGGTGGGTCCAAATTCGATAAAGAGGTCACTTGAAGAACAGAACTCATATCGGCAGCGTTCGGGAAGTTACGCGAAATCTTAATGTCAAAAATCCAGCAGTGGCTTAAGACCAGGATGTACAATCAGTGTGTGTTGTCAGTGATAATATATACGATACAGAAACGTGGTCCTTAAAGTCCTGGTGGAGACTTAAAGTTTGTCGTTGGACGTGAGAATTAAGGGCCTTTGTCCAGCAGCGGACGTCTTTTGGCTGATGATGATTGAATAGTTCCATCGATTTAATTTATCCTTTTATGTTTATTTCTGTCAAAATTTCCAAATATACCTTTTTAGCCCTAAAATAAAAACAAAGCTAGTACTATATGTATGTCGGCCTCCTATACAGCTTGCTTCTTTCCAAGATCAGCTGGAGTATATGTCGAAGCAAATCGCGGGCGTGTCTGATAACACGGGCGTCGGGCAGCTGTCACCAGATCTCCTTAAGGATCTACAAGGTAAACATTTGTAATGTGAAATTTTATCGTTTTTTATATTCTAATTTGTAGGTTTTATAGCTACTATCTACTATTCTTACTAGCTTGTTTATTGAATAAATAACATAATTGCAAATATTGCTATGCGCTGTGGTAAGCGATCGGCGAAAAGGATATTAAAAGTGTGTTGTCAGCCAGCTTTATAGGCGGACGGAGGATTGACCCTCCAATAACCAGACTCACTCGGTAAACACAGCACAAGCAACGTTTATTCAAATTGTCAATAATTCTGCAAGTGAACGTTGCAGGGCTGATGCAGCTGTTCCAGACGGTACAAGATATGCAGAGTCAACTAGCACAAGTTCACGCGACGGCGCTTAGTCTGGCCGCCGAAAAGGAGGACAGGCAGAATCATATTGATGTAATAATTTTTCATTCAATTATTATCTAGGTGAAAGAGATAGAGAAATCAACAAAATTAGTTTCTACAGTGCATTATTTTTCAAGTACTTTCTCCAGGATATCTTTAAAACATGCTTCATGTGAATGTGAATTTCTATACGAACTAGGCCTACCCCAACTTATTAATGGGCTGCAATGAAATATTTCTCTCTAGGCTCTATTAGAACAAATCGAGCTGCTGAAGACCATAAAACTGGATCGAGAGGATATGGTTGAAGCTTTAGCCGACAAAGCTGATCTGCGTATGTTAGCACGAAAGGTGTCCCACGATCAATTCGAGACGGCCTGTGATGACCTGTCCAAGGGATTGGAGCATGCCCTAGGAAAACTTAACGTGCAGGTAACCTTAAACATACAAAGTAAATTGTAGGTATATTAAATCTCCGAAGCACTCAACGCAACATACCTACGTATGTTAAATGTGTGTTAAAACGAGTTTTCTTAAGAAGTGAGCAAATAATTTGCTAAAAACGGCAACAAATAAGAAACCTTTAAACATAAAAATCTTCTTAAACTAAATATTAAATACAAAGAACTATTTTTTAATACCATATTTGGTACCATTAGGAAGCACTCTGGCAACAAGCGCTGGACGACATTCAGCGCGAGATCGAGACTAAACTGGACAAGATGGAGCTATCTCCAGTGAAGGAGTTCTTCAACAACAAACTAAAGCAGCTACAGGATAATTTGAAACAGATGGCAGCACTGCGACGCGAAGCTGAGGCCGCAGGCACGAAGAAGAGACTACTAAGGTGATAAAAAATAGCAAACGATTCTATTATTTTTGTATGTTATCACATGTTATCAGGACGGCAAACGCCGCACATGGACACCCGCAACAACAGAGAAGTTACGAATATGTAACCGACGTTTCTTGGGTTAGGGATTTGGAGGATCAGGGATTGAGGAGGGATTGGAGGGGAAGTATTGGGCATCCGGTAACCTCACTCACACGGCGTGACACAACGCTGTGGTTGCGTCTTGCCGATTTGTGTGAGGACCTGATATCACTCCGGTCGAGCCGACCAATTCGTGCCTAAGCATGGCTCTCCCACATTTCAATTTCTCAATTTCTTTTAAAAATTCAAGTTATTATTATAGATAGAACATTCAACATTAAAGAAGTATTGGTGAAACTCACTTTTTCAGGGATGTGAACTGCATATCATGTGACGCGAAAGCTGTGATGCCAATGGAAGCACCTTCACCGCTTCCTGCTAAACCACTGCCAGCCACGTTGTCCATGAAACCGTACCTTAGCTATGAATTAGGTATTTGCTGGCTTTCTGGGTATGTTTTTCTAACACCCGATTTCCGAATGGTTGGTTGACTGAATTATCAACAACAAATCAGATGACTTGACAAGAGATTTGACACCAGTTAGTTGATTTTAACATTAATCGGGTTTTCGGAAACCAGGCATTACTCAGTCAGAAGTGTTTTTTTTTAATACGTAATTAATACATGAACTAGGTGTTGCCCGTCGCTTTTGATCGTCGCGTTTAGGGGTAGCACCGAGCACGCTTCTCCTTTCCTATTTAGAACACAAAAAATATACGAAACAGAACATTATTTTATAAAACTACTGTAAACTTTATTAAATGTTGTTCCATTTGGGGAGAGAATGTAAAAAAAATCTATTCATACTCAAGGCTGGTGGAAATTTATTGAAAAAGAAAGTAGATTCATTGCCATGTATTATATTTACTTGATATCCGCGAAAAATCCATATTTCTAACCCTTCTATTAAGAGGGATATGCATATCAATTTTGCAGCTTTGTTGTTGAAAATTCCATGCTAACATTAATTTTAAGGAAAAGAAGGGAATATTTCTTTATTAACAGTTCTATGTTAAGACCTAAGCCACAATTCTTTTTCAGCCAAATCGGATTAGTTTTTCTTGAATTGGAAAAAGTGATCTATCTTTCTTTATATACGAGTGTATACGTATTGTCTATACCTCCTACTTATTGATGAAAATTATTCATTTAAACATAAAATTACCTACAGATGCGATCCGTAAGGTTCAAGCGAGCAGTTTACCACAACGCAACATGCACGACTGGGAACACATAGACAAACAAATGATGCCCAGACAACCATACAAAGTCAGGTACAGATAGTAGTTAATCAATAAGCCATTCCTGGTAGCTGAATTAATTCCCTCTTAGATTATATTTTACTTGCTAGATATTGCCACGCATTTTCACCCGCTATTCGTCTCCTATTGGTCTTAGGGCGATGTTTTAGGGTTATATTATGGAACTTGTGGTAGATACCTATGTAGATAGATAATTACCTACGTACCTACCTAGTGTTTACTGAACTGAATTTTTCTCAGTTGTACATGCTCTTTTGTGCTTTCAAGGTTGAAGGCATTCCGTCTCCTCCATTAAAGTCACCGAGGGAAGTGGAAAACTATTTAGTTATTTTTTCTTCTCCTCAATTGCGGAATACAAAACAACCATTCATATCCCTGGGACGCATCGAACTTCAATGTTCCTTCGGCTGATCAGACCACCACAAATGGATACCACTAAGACTGATATTCATTCGTCCCTTCTAGCGCGGGAGAAGCCATTGTGTGACTTTCAAGCCTAAATAAAAACAGAGACCTTGTGTCTGTCTACAGATCAGAAACGGACAAGCATTTATGCAACCGTTACTGTGGCGGGTCCCACACTGTCACTACCCCCGCGCAGCGCGTCGCAAGACTCGGTCACTTCATAAAACAATGGGGTCCGGAGGTGCTACCACTCTCTTCTGGATTCGCAGCTGGTGATGATGGCAGAGTACGTACTGTTATTTTGGATTTTCTATTTAAAATGTCTTCTGTGGCCAGAGCAATAATAATAATGGACTTATTGTTTTCACAGCTGTATAAAATCAGTACCACAGAGGGCGCTAACGTTGGTCCAGGTATGTGATATAAATGCACGCAAAAATGACAGGCTTGCTACCACGACTGACAGGCCGTAGCTTACACTAAATTATTTTGGCGATTAAATACGATGCTACTTTTCTCTTATTCATATCAATAACTGTTTAATTCAAAGGTGGTGCAGTGGAAGGCCCATCAACATCGGTGCCTAAGTCAAGTCCAGTTAAGAAACCAGAGACAAAAGGGCCCAAACCGATTGTTATTACAGCAGTGAGTTTTAGTTTTAGCTTATTATTTAACTTTAGATATAGATTTTGTCGACAAACGTCGCAATAAAGTATTGCTAGATTAAAATATTTTAAAGTATTGCCAGTTATATCGGGACAACTTCCGTACCTACCTTGGTTTTTGGTAGGTCAAATACCTATAAATTTTTAACCTGAGCAAAGGCGTCTTTCCACGCGGAGAAGTTTTTCTTCACGTTTGCTCAAAGCAGATTGCTAAGTGCAGGTTTCCTCACGTTTATTTCCTTCATCGTTTGTCAGTGTTAGAGCGTGGGGTTTTATTCTAATACGCTCGTATGACAATAATATATTCTGAATAATACGTTGAATTACAAAAACACAACCGGAATCCATGTTGAGCTAGCGTGGTGATTACCTAATGCTCAGACCTTCGACCGTGGAAGAGGCCTATGCTCAGCAGCAGGCACTTACAGACTGGTGACGAGTGTGAGACGGCCGATCTGCTGAATTTATTTTAAATGTTGTTCTTTATTCCAGGAATGTCGCTGTCTGGATCCGACTGGTAAGGCGTTTTATGTGCATTTCTCGTAAATTACATTACATAATATTTATTAGTTTTTTAGGAGTGAGAGCAGGGTTTCTTCTTATAATGAAGCTCGGTGTTAGTCGTGATTCGGAATGATTTATTGACAAAATGTCCCTACTTATAAATACATCTACTATGGCTAATTAACACACTATTACACATAGCATGAAATATTCCTAAGTAGCAGCGCGCGGTTACGCGCGCTCTATGTGCATGGCTGGGCGCATGCTATGACTTCCTTTCGATATAATTTTGATGATATGTTTTTTACTGAGCAAACTACCAAATTTATGTTTGGCTAGTAAGTACTAGGAACAAAATTTATGCATGGTTACTTATAATTTCTAATTTCTCTTGCAGATCGCCCATCAAAACACTGAAGGGACTTTAATCTCCACGAATTAAATAATTGGAATTGGAACAATATCATTTGCCATGTTATTATTATTAACTTTGTTTATGTTTTAATATACCTATAACTTCTTTTTAATCTTTGCATTTAATTAATACTAATGTAATGTAATATGTGTAATAAATGTCGTGGTGGCCTGGAGGTTAAGGAGCCCGCTTCTCATGCATGAGGTTTGAGGGTTCGAAACCTGGCAAGTACCAATGTGACTTTTTCGGAGTTATACCTATGTACTTTCTATGATTATTTAGACACCACTGACATACGGTGAAGGTAAACATCGTGAGGAAACCTGGACTTATAATTTCTAATTGTAAGTTTGAAATCGCCAACCCGCATTGAGCAAGCGTGGTGATTAAAACCTTCTCCGTGTGAGAAGAGGCCTTTGCTTAGCAGTGGGCACTTATAGGCTGATGATGTGATGTAATACTAATATTTAATACGAGTATTTCCACCTAGCTGCCTGCTTTAGGGTTTATTTTACATGCAAAATTTTTGCTTTTGAAAATTAAAGACATTGTTTATTTATTACGATTTTAATGGTAAATCAATTACCATACAATGTTAGCTTAGATGTAAATTCGTATTACTAGTTTATTAAAAAAAATAACATAACTGTCTTTTCGTCATTTTCAAATGTTTCTCAAGAAAATAATACATTGAGATTGAGAGTAATGCAGCTCTGACATAAGAATTAAGACAATTTGTATTGTGATATACCTACACATAATAAATATGTCACATCTTAGTCAAACAAATGTTATGTTTAATAATATTTACAAATAACAAATATCACACGATAAAGGATAGCGTAAGGATAGGCTGACACTGAAGAAACATTCCCACTATAACCCAAGCATCGGCACAGACCCAGTACGCGACCGCCAACTCATTTACACGGCTCTTAACCATCTACCAGTCAGTCTTTCTCATCTTTAGTTAATCATTACTTATTGTATGCGTCATATTACACATTCAGTTACAGCTATACAGCGCTGTCCTTTTTACAAGTATACACACGCGCGCACAATACTTGCCCTGCTCCCTGCAAGTCCAGGTTTAGCAAACATGTCTGATTTGGAGGCATGTGGCAATTAAGTAGGGGGCGAATTATACCAGCACATTAACATACATACAGACTGACATGAAGGAGCCTGCGCTTTTAACATAGTACTACTTCACTCCAGAAGAAAAATTGGCAATTTGGACATCTGAGAAATATGTTTATTTATTATATTGAAATTGAACTTACACTATAGGGATAATATTTTATAATAATGAGGGCCTGCTTCACATGTACCAGATGAATTTAATACAAAACATAATTTGATGAACTATTAGCCATAAGTTCATCGGATAATAACATGAAGGTGGTGAAACAAGTACTAAATGTATTTAAAAACACGACCGACGACTATATACTGGAAACCAAAGTTCCTACTTAGTAGAAACATATCGAATGTTCTGCCTAACACAGCATTGAGATCTCTTCCTATCAAACGTTCCGTTACTTTAATGTTATTCTTTGAATTTCTATTAAGCAAGTATCACAAACATAAAATGTTTTACATTTACCAATTAATTATTTTGAGTTGCAACTTACTATAATGCACTACATACATCTAAACGTTAATCCATCTACATATTTGGCTATATACAACAAAAATAGTAAACGAATTACCAACCTATTAAATAATTAGAAACATCCAACTGTCGTTAATTTATGAGACTTTCGACATCTATTTTTAGTTCTATTGTTATGAAACAGCATTACTTAGTTTACAATAACATACACTTAAGTTACGCAAACACTATATCAGGTGATTACCCATTGTTTTGTTGAATATCGCATCTCATGACAAATCACTATTAAAAAAGACAAGGAACAGGGCGGTCACTTATTATTGGTGTTGCACTCATGCCCTCCGAGGCCTATGAAATCACAATAGAGAACAGCTGTCTGACGTCCTCCGTGCGCTGGCTAACGATGGCGTCCGCGCGAGTTGTAATGGTTGCCACCCTCACGACTATAGCGCCGTTCCTTGCGGTCTTCCCGATTACCGCGTGACCGATCGCGTCGGTCCCGATCACGGGTATACTCTTTGTCACGCGATGACTCGTGGCTCCTGGTAAATTAAGTTTCTGGTTATCATTTTGTTTGATGAATGATATATACAGAATATTAGGATAGCAACTGAGATGTGAACCTAGTCTCCCCCGCGGAGCGGCTGTCTCGAGACTTGCGGCGGGAAGAAGCTCGTGATCGCGGCGACCTCGACCGCGAACGTGACTTTCGCCCCTTCGGAGACGATTCGCGTTCACTGTTCAAGTTGAAATCGTCGAATCTGTCAAATATAGACAACATTACAATATAATATTTTGTTAACGTAGTATAACCTGAAAGAAATTTTTTTTGTAGATCAATTATCTTACCTCGAGGAACTTACCATACCATCGTAGCAGCGTAATAACAATGACAAACACGTGAGCATGATCAATCATTTGTCAATATGATACATTAATATTTATTATTGATAGGACACTCACTTATTTTGAGGAGCTGAGGAGCTGTGACTAGAACTGGAGCTCGAAGACGAGCTTGATGAGGAGGAGGAACTCCTAGACCTAGCAAACGAAAAAATAATTATGATTAATTTAAATACTGCAAACAATCAGACAATGACAGTTAACCACAATCTCGAAGTACTTTTTAATAAAAACCAACAAATGTATTATTGTAATTATTCAGTAAGTAGACGACAAGTATTTAATACACAATATTTTAATTTAATTTTGCGAAAGTTTTTTTAATCTTTACAAATAAGTTCACTAGTAACTGTTATTGTGTGTATTAGTTATAGATGGCATAGCAGTAAATAAAAACAAAACAAAACATTACAACAATAATCAAGTATACATTTATCCAAACGAACCTTCTCTTACTCTTGTGAGGGGATGTCTTGCCATCCTTATCATTCTGACTACTGGGCCCACTTTCTTTTGAAGCTCCATCTACCTTCATTTTTTCCTCAGTTTCTGTAATGCAGTTAATTAACAATGTACTTTATTTATTTATTTATATGTACTCAACAGAGTCTTGTGCGACAACAAAACTTATACATCACAGCAGAAGCAGAATTAGGTTAATTATAAAATTGGTGACACTCCACCTATCCAACGTACAAATTGACAGAATACTAAAACACTGCTAACCAGCCTTAGAAGAGTTTCCTTGCTCAGCATCACTGCCCCATAGATCATACTTAGAAAGATCAGCCTCATCTCCAGACTCTTCGTCTTCCTCCTCATCTGCATCAGCCTGCTCCGAGACTGGTAAAGACTTGCTCTGTAACAAGTATTCATCAAGGTAAACCACTTAAACCAGAGCCAGAGGAATAATGACACAACAGCTCCTTTCCAACCAACCCTCGCAAATTAAGTGTAAGATGTATATTTGAACTAAAACATAAATATGTAAAAGCCCATCTTTACATCCATATGTTCCTAATATATATTTTATAAATCGTAAATACAAACCTTATTCTTGCTCTTCCTTTTTCCAGAGTTTTTTGAAGTCTTATCTGCGGTCTTTACAGTGAGCTTTAACCTATTTAGCATGATAGGCTTAGGTAAAGCAAAACTTTTAAAATTTCCAATTACAGGCGCATTTTCGTTCGAATTGTTTGTTTCGTTGACATTTTCTATGCCCAAATTTAACTTCTTTACAATATTGGGTGGTATAATAACTGGACCTGGGTCAAAAATATCGCTTAAAAAAGGAGTGTCGCCTGTATTTCCATCCAATTTTTCCAATTGCCTCTCAATGCTGCCATCTCTGTTAGACTCCTTCTCCCAATCCTCATCATTAGTTAAATTAATTGTTTCTGAAACTTGTATTTCTTTCACTGGACTTGGTTGTTCAGCACTTACTTGTTCATTAGGCAAAGAAGAGGTGGTACTCTGGCCAATTTTTTGAAGATTTTGCAATGCCAATAGTAAAGTATTAGTATTTATGTTAGCCAACAAATTTGTAAAATCTACTTGTGCTGTAGATGATGCATTTTCCACTGATTTTTCTAAAGTTTCTTCTTCTTGACTCGTGTCTGGGCTTGAAGTTATTAATTGTGCATTGGCTAAAAGTGGTGCTTTATTTGATTTAGGACTTTCGGGTTCAGTTGTATTTTGCTGGTGTAAAATCTTCGGATGTGGCGAACCTGGTCGAATCCTAACATTTTCCAGAATATGAACACGTTTTGATGGACTAATAATTTTGGATACATTTTTGGATGCTCCAAAAACAACATTTTCTTCTGATAATCGCATTACTTCATTTGACATTTCTTTTGAAATCGGTTCTGGTAGTTTCATGGTAAGAATAGGATTTAGGTCAGATCTAATTGTAGTGTAATCAGGAGCTCTATCAATGTCAGACACAGGCTGATTTGACACAGTATCAACTCTAGCTGTAGGAACATTCTGAGATACTTCTGAAAGACAAGGATTTTCAACATGATCAAGTTTTGGATTACTTTGCATAGCATCTGGTCTATTTTTTGTGACATTACAAACTTTATTCATGTCATTGTTCTCCCTTGGTTTAGGGGATTCTCCTGACAATAGACTATAAATATTTCGTTCAGGGGACTTATTATTATAGTTTGCAATTTCTGATATATGCAAGCATTCACCTTCAATGGGGTGTCTGTTTGTAGAAAAATTATGGATTGTATCACTTCGTTTAATAATGTGGTTAAGACCTGATTCAGATCTCTCTCTAGTAGAAATTATACTTTGATCAGATTTTGTCATTTTATTAGTCAGACATGGATCTGGCCTAGTCATGAGGAGATTCGAAACATTGATATTATTCGCCATAGAGATATTTGGTAATACTTCAACTTCTATCATGGGAATGTTGGTATCTGATTTGGTCTTGGGGTACACATTTATGTCTTCTGCAGATGGTGGTCTTGGCGTCCCATGCTTAAGTGGTGACACCATTTTACCAAGGTCCTTGTTTTGCAAATCTTTTAACATTTCCATAAGCATCTCATGTTTGTCTGTTATGAAGTCCGATATTAAAGTTGAATTACCACCAGCACTTTTTGGAATGGTATTTGATTCAGTTGTATATAACATATTGGAAATGGGACTTTGACCTCTATGAGAGGTAATAGGTGAAAGTTCCTGACTAGGTCGTGCTTGCTCGTCGCAATCCGAAATTTTGTAAAGTGCTTCGTCATCTTCATCCCATCTATTCTCATAAATTTTTCTTACATTTTCATAGCTCTCCAGATCATCTTGGGGGCTTCTTAGTGCTGGGTCACTGATATCAAAGATGTCTAAAATGCTTTTATTTTTAGACACACTATTTGACTCAACCTGTGCAAAAATACGACTAGTGTCCTCAAAATTATTTTGTTTTGAAACTCCCTGTTTTGGTTCTTCAAGAGGAAGAAAGTGCTCTGGTTTAGAGTAAACATCATTTTCATCATTACTAAATTCATATGTGCGCTTCTTTAATGGTTTGATTTGGACAGTAGCTGCATATTGGTTAACTTCTTGTGATTTTACCATTTCCTCTTGTAGTGTTTTAGGTGCTGTCTGGTGTATAATGTCTATTGACATATTGTGTCTATTTATTGCTAATGATGCTCCATTACCCTTTGCCCAGAAACCTTTCCTCCTTACATTATCTTTAAACTCTTGGTAATTCTTTTTAGCAGTCGAACCTAGTTTAGTAGGAACATATTCACTAGAACAGGCATCCATGTCTATGTTTTCACGAGTTTTCACATTCATATTCCGCAAATTATTGGTGTAAATATTACCAGTGACTAAAGGAGACTGTTCCATACTTTTGATAGTGCTGTATCCCTCAAAAGTGTTGGCATTATTTGCAGTATAATCATTGAACTTAGGTGTAGGTGCAACAACAGGTTTCTTTAATTTTCTCCGCTTTCTGTCTTGCCCAAATACCCTTGATAAGAAATTATCTTCCTCACTGTTATATGACACTGACTCAGAATCAGAATCATGTATTGACTGTCTCGTTGGAAGATTTATTGATTTTGTATTATGTCTTGGAGTGTCTGATTTTGGCCCTTTTTCGGAGTCTGTATCAGGATAGTTGGAATCTTGACTTTCACGTGAATTAGAACGAGTTCTATGATGTGTTGATTGTGAATAACTTCTTTCACGTGAACCCCTTCCATCTACGGTGCTAGCTGAACTACCGGGCGCTTGTAAGTCCCTGTTTGTACTGATGAGCAATGTTTCAGCACTCATACTCCTTTCTTTTTTTTCTAAATGTTTGCTTGGTTCTTCTTCATCACTTTCTGAAGGAATAATTATTTCATCTGGATTTGGCAATCTAGATACTATATTTGCCCTTGGTGCAATAATATCAGAAACATTTTTAGAACATTGTTCAAAGTTTATTTCTGAATGAGAATCAATTAAGCATCCTGTGGTCATGAGTTTATGTCTCCAAGCAAATATTGTTTCAAAATCAGGAGCTGGTTTAGGATACAATGCTTCAAACTTGTCAGTTGTAATTTTACAGTTATTGTAAACAATAGCTAAAGCTGCACATCGAACTTTTTCTTCAAGGGTGTATGTTACTTGAATACTCCCAGCCGCTTTGTCTTTTGTAAATTTGCAAGCTAGCTCATTTTTAGTAGAAGAAACACTATTTTCCATTACAGGGTTACAAAGTTTCTTTTGCATAGAATCTGTGGTGTCACGTTTAGTCCTCTTTGAACCAGTGTCATAACCTGATGATGCAGTATGATCTCGGTCACCACTGCTTATTGATCTTTTTCTTGAAAGTGAAGTGTTTGTTTTGTGAGAAGAGAATTTATTTATACCTTGTGTTGGAGTGCTAATTTGCTGGTATTTAGTAACAGCTACATTTGGAAGTGAAGAGAGTTCACATTTGGAATTATCACTAAGAGTACCATTTCTTTTATCATTACTATGTACTGTATTCATGAAAAATTTTGGCCCAAGAACGGACTTGGTATGTTCTTTATTTGATTCCTTCTGCAGCACTGTTGGTGGCAATTTTTTGCATACTGCTCCTTCAGTGATGCCAACCTGAAGGCAGGAAAAATTATCTCCACTTTAATAATGATGTGCTTCAAAATTTATTGCACTTACAATATAACATCAAGTCTTCTTAGCTTCAAAATCCATTACTCCCTAAATATTAGTTTAAAAAAAGAAATTTTACACAAAAAACTGTCAATATTGTGGTTGTATGAATAGACAGGTATTTTATAAAATGGTGTTAATGGTTTTATAAACATAGTTTAAGTATTATTTTAAAATTCTGTGATTAATTTGGAAAAGATGTTATTTTTGTTTAAGCTCATCATGGAAAGTTCTACAAGGTTTAAAATGAAATCATACCTTCTCTTTCTCTTGGGAGTCTGGCTTACGTTTGCGTTTCTTTCGACCGAATTCGTCATATTCATCATCGGAGGATGGTTCCCGCCTTCGATACTCCACCACACCGCGCTCATTGTAACCTCCTCCGTAACCGGTACGAGCCTCTACCTAAAATCACAAGAACAAGAGAACTCATAAATACATACTACATACTTTTAAATATTGTTTCACGCAGAAACAAGTCAATGGTATACTCACTTCACCGTATTTGGGTGCATTGCAAACATTGCAAGTCTGACGCCGGGCCCAGTTAACGTTGGCACATTTGTTGCACTGCCAATCATCGGCATTGAATAAACCACGAGACTTTTCTGCGGCAGTCTTTCCTATTTCTGTACCCAGCTTCTTCTTATTAAAAGATTTGGAACTATCGGGTCTCTCTTTATTGCATCGATAACATGAAACTCTGCGTGCAAAATTGATATTTCCACAATTTGGATCACTACATATCCAATCCCCGTCGTTCATTTTGTGATAAAATTACACCTTTCTTTAGAGTAAATGATACATATCCCTAAACGAACACTACGTTTTAGTACAAATAAACAAGATTAACGAGTTCTGTATCGCAACTACATCGAAACTAAACTAAATGTAAATAAAAGTCAAAACATTGGCAGAAACCTCCACTTTCAAAGAAAACCAAGCTCACTTTTGCAAGAAAAGTAATCAAGCTTCATGCCAGCCATGACGTGACGCAAGTAAAAAAAAAATATTTCCATAAACTATCACATCGATACTTCCGTTTCTTGTTCACACTATTTAGACGGTAGTTACTCAATTAAATAATGAAGGAAATACATAACAATTATCAAGTAATTTAATTTGGAAATTAAATCAACTTGCTTTTTTTATGATGCCCACAAACTAATACTATTATTAAACGTATTAACAAAAAAAATTTAATAATACTTTGTTTTTTCAATAATGTATTTTGATATTCAGAATAAATTATAAACTATATTATTATGCATTTAACATACAAAATTCTTGCTAAATTTTACGTCATGTTGAAGGTGCTTAATAAGCAACAACTAAACGTAAAAAGCGGCTTTGCTAGTTTGACTGAAAGTTCGAGCCTCGCGCGCAATTTACTACCTACTGTCAAAATTGTTTACCGTGAGGTTACTTTTGTAGATTTTCGTATAAGATTTACCACTATTTCTTACTCACTTAAACTATATAAATATGTTCTTTCTTATTGCAACGTTTTATTATTACTAATGATTTAATACAAAATAAGCCCACTGGATTTGTGTTAGATTGTCAAAAAGTACGCGAATATTTTGTAAAATAGGATTTTTACATAATGTTATCGCATGATGTATGAAGATGACAACATAACTTGTACTCCAAAGCGTTGCGTGCTTACCGAAGTTACAAATTCAACTAACTATGTGTCACCGACTGCTAACCTCAAGTTACTGACAAATGTTGCATTGCAATATCCCACACCGCCGCCCAGTGCAGTTCACCGAAAAGAAAAGTCCCTCCAGATATTGTGTGACAGGTAACATAGAAACGCTTTCAAATTGTCATTAATGAAAATACGAACTTTAAAAACAGCATTTCCTATTAAATTTCTAATTCGAAATGACTATCCACAGATTTCTCAATCTGTACCCTCTTCATGGCGATGGCCCAGTGGAAATACAACTGGATAGCACTGCAGCCCGGCTAGGTGTTGAGAAACGTCGCATGTATGACATAATAAATATACTCGAAGCCATGCAGTGTGCAGTACATAAAAGAAAGAATACTTATCTGTGGCATGGAGGATCCCGTCTAAATTCATTTCTCAAAATGTTGAAAAAGCAGGGTGAGCACCTTAGGCTGTCAGAAGCACTGCGTGGGAAGGCTCCCAAGCCACCAACACCAAAACATAAGACTTTGGGAGTATTAGCTCAGAGATTTCTTATGCTCTTTCTAGTAGAGCCTCCAGTAAGTAGTTTATAAAGAAGTTTTATTTAGTTTTGCTACTTCACACCAGTGTTTTTAAAATTCCAATTTTATTTTCAGAATACTCTTATCAACCTGGAGATGGCTGTGCGGGTGTTGATTGACACCTCAAGTAAAAGTAAAACAGTTCTTACCCCTGAGCAGCAGGATCGCCAACACAAGTCCAAAGTGAGGAGACTCTATGACATTGCAAATGTTTTTATTTCAATTGGTCTCATTGAAAAAGTATCAGGTAACTTAATATTAAAAAAGCCAGTTTTTAAGTATGTGGGCCCACATAAGATGAAAAAGTGTGACCAGACATTATTGACAACTCCATCCCCTATCACTCCACTGTCATTGCTTGACAGTGAGCAGAGGACCCCAGCCTGCCATGTGTTTGCAGGAAAGTCCAAACGGAAACTGGAGTTTACTACTCCAACTTCCACCAAAGAACTGAAGCTTGGTATCACAACCCCACCTCACACACCGTCACACAAGTGGGATGAGATCCTGCTTGTAGCTGACATGGAACTGACTAGAATTAACAAAGGAATAGTCTTGTGAATATGTTGAATTCTATTGTAATAATTCAAATTTTTATAGTTCTTTTTTTCTATTTTGTCTTCCAGGAATGAATATAGAATGTCATAGTGACTATTATTTTATAGACAAAATTATAATGTACTTTGTTCCTATATTTAAATTTTATTCAGTTGTTGCTTAGAGCAGATTAATTTTATTTGATGCAATAATATTTAATTGCTTCTGGTTATGCTAGCAATATGGAGTGTTAGTTGTTTAGTGCAAAACTTGTACTGATGTGTGAGAGATTAGACTGGACTCCTTTTTATTATAATTTATTTATAATCCTAAATGTAGGATAAATATATATTTTGTGACAAATTATGATATTTTTTACCTGGAGTATGTATAGCCAGACCATTAACTGTGGACATTATACCTATAGAGTATGCTTTTATTTTCTATTTGTTTATTCTGTAATCTAAATAAATGAAATTGCCTTTATTTGTAATGTTTATTTATTTTCTATTTGAATGAATATACTCAAATGTGTTTCTATGTTGCAGCCTCAAATTTTAAACTACAACCTTTAAAATGCATCATTATTCTCACTGACTACATCACTTTTACATAGTTAACTATATTAAACAAAATAAAAAAACTCATATTATTAAGTTTTATTTACACATAAATACAGTGAAAAATATTTACAGATACACATATAGTAAAATATTACAAAACAAGGAAGTTACATATGTAATATCTTTGATGATGTAGATGATTATTTAAAGTTAATTAAATAGAAATATTTGCACTTATTATTCATATTGAATAGCAGCAACGTCTAAGACCCGCCTATTTAAAATACTACTAATCTCAACATATTAGGAAGCATATCAGCTTATGAATATGAATGTGGGCTAATTTCCAATACATTATAATAAAATACAAGCCTCATCTTTTCAAGTCTTCATATTTTAATTAACCGTGATAAAATAAATTACAATAATATGAAAATGTATCTTTTTTTAAGTTTTGTGTCCAGTAATCAATTTCTAAAAATTGATGAACTAAATAAGTTATGTGAAATATGTGCACACACCACTAAGAATACCAATACAAATAAAGTACCCAGTCTAACTAGTCTACTACTTCCATTAGATTCCATTTAATTGAATATCTGAGAGTTGCGACCAGGCTGGGGTAAGAATAGCGGTAATTCTCCGTGTCACACCTGCTCTATCATCGGGAACTGCTCTGGGTCCTCAGACTGAGGTAGAGCTTCTGCATCAAAAAAGCTTGCATGAAGAGCTACTACCGTAACTGTGGCACCTGAAATAACTTGCCATTTAGAAAGGTATACAAGTATAAATTTGATGTTAATATAAGGAAGGTAAGTACTTATTACTAGGCAATTACAAACAGAATTTATTAAATGAATTACCTAAAACCCAGAAAAGTACTGCGCCGGCACCAGCTAACCAACACAATGCCATGGAGCATCCAGCTGCTACTGCATACTGTTGGGTTTTACTCAACTCCCATCCACCAATCTAGCAAAGGTAAGATAAACGAGAATTAAATCGATAGAAAGAAAGAAGGTAGTAATACCACACCACTCAGTTAGTAAATTTATTAAGTAAGAAAAGTCAGTAATAGTCATCTTGTAATGATTCAAATTTAAAAATTGTTACAACATTTTTATCTTGGATAACAAGAAAAAAAGTTGCATTGCATGCATACAGAATTTTATAAGTTATAATTGTATGATTTTCTGAATTGTTAGTATAATATAAAATCACAATTATGTAAGTTAGAAAAAAATAACAGTTTGTGAAAGAGCAAAAGGCCTAGCCACACTACTTACTTTAGGCTGAAACAATAACAAACAAAAATATATAAATTGATGTCTCAAATGAAGATACCTAGGGTAGATCATCTACTCTCACCTTCCAAGTACTAGGACCAGCTGTAAGTTTCCTGTAGCCAAAAAAGCTGGCCACCATAGCAATCAAGAGAAGAGGTGAAGTAATCCTAAAAACAGACAAACATGTAACTTTACTTGTAAAAAAAAACTAAATATATTTGTTTTATTAATTGGAAATACTTACAAACAATATGCAAATAATCCAAGAAAGACCATCAAGTAATTGGCTTGAAAGTATTCCACATTTCTATAAAATCGCCGGGATAATCGAGGTACTGATGGAGGAACCTACCAAAAAGTCATATCTTTATTGTGTGTTTTGTCTGCACAGTTACTTGGAAACAATGTTTTTTTTTACAATATAATGTGGGAACCACACCCCACACAAGGGCTTTCTTCTTTATCAAAATTAGCTGTTGCATTTGGGAATCGAATCCATGACATCATTCAGTATCATATAACAGTATCACTATAGCTACTGCCCCTTTATAGAATCAAATAAGATTGCTATAAGTTAATGAATTTTTCCTATTTGATATTTTCCTATAAAAATGAGTTTAACCCATTGTTACCCTACCCATTTATTGTTTTTGAACATAAAACAATAACAAATTACAGTAGATTTCAAAATATTGATGACTTCTTAGATTCTCAATTCTTATCATTTTTGCTATATTTATAAAATAAATTTTATATTGACAACAGTATTTCCAAATTCAGAATAATAATATATTTATGAGACAATAACAACCTTAAAGTTGTCAGTGGCCACAAACTGGGTCCATGGTCTCCGTGATGCAAGAACTCCCATGAGCAGGGCAGGACCAGCTCCACTACGAACATGCTGAAGCAACCTTTACAAATATTTCCATTAATATAATTGTAATATATTATCTACACTATTAGCAGAATAAAATGTTCCATAGGTATAACATTTATACATACTGTACAATGAGCACAAGCAGATATAATACAAGTACCAGGATTTGTTAGTAAACAAATAATATGCACTATGTGGTGTGTTTATGTGAATTTTTCATTACTACCAAAACCGAATGGGTGAATAATCTAGCGGATAGTGAAAATGTTTTTTAGCTAGAACACAAAAATATATTATGTATCGGTAACATAATTTTCATGAAAATTCAATAACGAATGAATAGGTCCAACCAGATTTCTAAGCGCGTCATAGCGGTTAATAGTGACGAACTATGTATATGTAGCGTAAACAAATCTGAAAAGCGAAAAACACCACGTAGCGTAAATTTGTTATTGTTGGACTCACAATTCCATATCATTCACATACTTTTGGAACCCTTTCTTTTCTGTAGTAGCATTAATTTCTCCGGAGAGATCAATGTTAACATTTTCAGACATTTTGTAAGTAAGTACAAATACTTGGAATTAATCTTTTCAATATGAAAACAATTTTATTCGGATTCGTTTCGTAGGTATCCACTTGTTGTCGTTGTCATTTCCGCCACTTTGTCTGTGTGTGTATCGATGGCCAGAAAAATGTCAATGTCAACGTCAAAATAGGAAATCAGTCAATCCCATAGAGTACCTATACCTGTGCCTTAGACAGAGAATAGAGAATTACCTATATTCTCTGTCTACAGCCTAAGCATAATATGCTTCGAGATTTTTAGGTTTGGCCCCATAATATAGGGGCAAACCTAGAAATCCCGATTGGAAATCTGCAAGAGCCAATGTATGTCGTCCATTGCAGAAAGAAGTAGTGGATAACTAATTGATTATCTTATAGAAATTCAATAATATCATCGCACTGTTTGCTAATCGCTAGATTACGATTACCAGCAGCCAGGTCATGAATATTTAGGTTGACTATAGACATTTAGCGTTGCGTATTCGTTGTAAGTATTTTGTATTAGCTTATCTTAATGTAAAAAGGTTTCTATTAAATTATGATGACTGTACAACACATAGTTATTGTAAGATGAAGTATCTCGAGGTTAGTCATTTGAGATTTAGCACGCATTGTATTGTACAAAATTAAAAGAAATAGTATATTTGGGTAGGTACATCTTTTTTCTTTGTACAACTAAAAAAAAAAAAATAATGAAGTGACAGAACCGGCCACATTTGACACTTAATAATTTAGTATTGTAAGTGGTTGTCATTATTTCTGAGTTTACGTTTCTTTTTTAGTCGTCGACTTTTGTTTTGAGATACTTTTTAAAACTAATAAGGTATAATATTCTATTATATAATGATTTCTATTAGTTGGAATATTATTTTAAGTTTGTTAGTGTCCGTGATTGCATTTGACGAGGTTAACTTGACCCAGCAAAACAATGGTATCTATGTTAAATTAATCATACATCTGTGTTCAATATGTTTTTCGCACGTACAGACCTCTAAAAAAACGTATCATTTCAGAAAATATTCTGTGTCGAGGTTGTGGCGTAGAAGTGTCATCAAGTTTCGATATATTTTTGAAGTCTAGCGCGAAGTCTCGTTACTCTTTCCGTGACACATTATTTGGAAAAGATGATGTTTTAGTGCAGGTTTTTGCTAATGATATGTTCTTCCACTACCCTGTGATAACCTTTAAAAAATCTACCTGTGTTCCTACTGGGGAGGTAATGTTTTTGACAGTGACTTCATGTCTGTTTTTTCATGTTCAGAAGCTTATATTGCATTACTTACTTTATTAAAATTGGTTAAAATTATTACAGTGGGAAGAAACTACATCTTGGTTTCCTGATTACCTTTGGAAGCCATGTGTTTGTTCAGAGTGTGGAGCATTTGTTGGATTTGTTTTTAAACCCATTTACTCCAATGTGGATGCTCCTAATAGCAAATTTTATGGTCTTGTTTTAACAACTGTAATCAGTGAAAATTGTAAATATTATTGTTTCTCTATATATTTGGTGTTCAATTATTGGTCTTGCCTTGGTCTGGTTTTCTGCATATTTATGTGATGGTTCCATTGCTGCCTTGTGATGTCCTCTTGATCTACAGGTTGCTGATTGTATGTCAATTCATTGAAGTGTGTGATTTTAAATCCAATATTAACCTTGTCCACTGTTGTTTTTGCTTTGTTGGATTTACAAAAAAAAAACATTTGGTTCGTTACTCTGCCACTATGCCAAAAGTGGATTATTAGAAAGAAGGATAAAAAAAACACTTTGTCACATGACAACAGGCTCTAATTACAATCCAATGAAACCAATTAAATTGAAACTGGTTTCATAGTTATGTATAAACCCTATTTACATGATGCAAGTACATTTCCCATTTGACACAATAAAAGAAATAATCTTACCATGTAAATAAGATTGTTCTTATATGTTCAGTCATGTAACTTGAGCCATACATATTAATAATTCTAAGCTTAATTTATATATTATTAGGTATACACTTTATTGTACACCACTAAACATAAAAAGGACTCAATGTATTTTATGAATAAGCTGACAATAGTCCAGTTACACCTTTTATTTTGAGATATTTTCTATGTTTCTAATTCTTAGGAGAGGCATTAGGTTAAATTTTCAGTAATGCTTCAGTTGGGTTTTGTTGGTTTTATTGTTTCATCCTACAATAATCATAAGTCTTAAATTTATTTTATAAGAATTGTTTTCATTTTTCAGTTCTTGATTTTATAACAGAGTACCCTGCCAACATATCAAATTAAAATGGCTGCTGATACATTATCAGCTGAAGATAAAGAATTTTTAGCCAAATGTGAGGAAGAACTGAAAGATAGATTTACTGAGAAAGATGTTGATTTTATGAAAGTTTACAATGAATTGCCTTCCACACCACCTGTGTTAGATTCGTGGTGGGTTCCTAACTCGGGTCGTCGTAACAACGACCGTCGCGCCAACAGACGCCACAATCCTTACCAGCGAGACAATAACAGGGATCGCAACTACGGACGTCGCGACAACAGAGGATACAATGACTATTCCCACTATGACGACAGTTCATCCGGATACCGTCCCCGACACAGATATCAGTATTGATGACAGCTAAACACTACACTGTCATCTTCAACAACCCAATGTATTTTCTGATTACATAAATAAAACAATTCCTTTCTCAAAAGAATATATTCTCAATTATTATGGCTTGATTTACATTTTAACAACTTAGAATTATATAATAAATCATCACCGATAAAGTAATGCAGCTACAGCAACCGTACGATGGAAACCATAACAGAATAAATAAATATATTTTAAATTCTCACTGCTACTCAACAAGTCTAATGATTATAAATTTATAACAATAATTATGCCGATATAATTTTTAAAACCTAAGTTCATCTATTACATTCTTGATGTATACAAACAATAACAACGTGAAAATATTCTGCCTGATTAAGACGCACGCGTAATATTCTACACTTCATTAACAGTTGGGACACACTTTGTGGTACTTGTACTTTCTACCATCCGATATACACAAAAGTTAATACTTCGCGTGGTCTCCACAAAAATATATATCTCTTTCTAATCTCACATAGGAATATCTTGTATATACAGTAGACATATGAAACAAAACCAGAAGACGGCGCCATTACACTGGCCATAGCAGTAGATATATGCGCTGGCGTTGCGCCCGCGCAGCGCGGCGCGATGGCTCTAGCGCGTGCTTACACATAGGACAAATAAATAATGTTATACGACCAGATAGATCTGAGTAACATCATGCTAACGATTACTAAGCACAATGACGATTACATTCATCAAGCATTCTAAGATATCTATTTAAGTTTTTTTTTCTATTTAATTAATTATATTCATATATTGGCTACTCATCTCTGTACTGAAGCGTCACATCACAAAAATAATCTATGGTTTATTGAAGACTATTATATTCGCGTGTTCGTATTGTGTCTATAGTAAACATTCATATAAATGTGTGACATAGATGAAGATATGTTAGATATTCACTAATTCTCGACCGGTATGATGATTATATGAATATGTTAATGCAGGTAATCAGTGACAACGCTCCAATAAGTTAAAAATGCAACCATAATAATCAAATCACAGTACAAGTGTAACATAATTATGCTCACTAACTTAATATTATGACTCAATACAATCAGACACGACAACATAACATACAAAACCTACACAAATAGTAAATAAATAAAATATACTGACAGTGTCACCGACCCTTGCGCGGGCTACACACGAGTGGCTCGAGGCTCGACGCTGTCGTCACTTGGCCAAGGACCACTGGCTACAAGCTGCCTCCGACAATAAGTCATGAATGAACCAGAATCACTATGAAATGAAATGTGTCATAATGCCTCGGTACTGGACACGCCAATAAGTCGGCCTCTAAACATGTAGGTAATGATTGATTCGTTAATATATAAAGTTCTACATAACATACAGATTTTTATAGTTACAAATATGCTTTTAATTTCCTTAACAACAATGCACAATATTAATTGTATGAATTGACACGTAATAATTATCGGACTGTCCGGGCGAACGGCGGTGGCCTGTGGCCGCGGCGCGGCGCCCGAGTTGCCGCAACAGATATCGCCGTCCTGGAGCCCCCGGCAGCGGTGAGCTCCCAACTTACATACAAATGACAATTGACTAGGATTAATGCACTTGCTCAGCAGAGTCGCGGGCGATAGCGGCCCGCGCCCGAGCGGCGGCACTCGTATCCGAACACGCCTCTAAATTCGGAGAGGATGAAAACATTGGTCAGGTTTCAGTACATTTGACTAGAAATGCGCGTACACGTTTATAATATTGTCTTCATATCGGCCGATCGATGGTGATCCGCGCCGCTACGTTTCGAGTCACAATGCGAGTACAAAATCGTTTTCAGACTCATCGGTACTAAAGTCGAAAAGACTGACTTGTAAAAGTGTCAAATCTTCGTAGCAAATTTCATAAGATAATCTAAAGCTTATTTTTGATTTGAAAGTAGAAACGTGGAGCGCATAGCGTCCGGCGCGTGCGGCGAGTCCGGCGAGGGGCTGTGGCGCCGCGCCGCTCAGATGAAGGTCCAGCACTCCATGATCTTGACGATGAAGTCCTCGCGCGTAGTCAGCGGCTCGTTGCCGTACGTCTTGCAGCGCTGCGTGCGTCCCAGGTACAGGTCGCCGTCCAGCCAAAGACCGAACTTGCCACTGGATAAACAAAGCGCGTTAGTAAACATACGTCATAACAGCAACATAAATCTTTTAAATACAAAATAATATCGGGAATACTTACTCCCCAGCTCCAATAGATATGTTATCGTTGCTGCCGCGTATGAAATACATATTATCCCCTGTCCAGCCCCAGTACTTGAACTTGGTTTTCACAGGTGGTGGTTGATCTGCAAAATTGTTTTTTTTTTTTTAAGTTAGGTTGCACTAATTATTTAATTTATTATAATTCCAAAAGATACAAGTTCTTTACTAAGTCGGTGTAAAGAAATTGTTGAGTGCTGACCTCCTTTATCATCCTTGGTTGCGTCGTCCTTGTTGTCCTTGTCCTTGGCGCTGTCAATGGCTGCCTGCGACTGGCGGCGCGCTTCCTCGCCGCTGCACTGGAACGCGAACAGCAGCGACTCGCCCGTGCCGTAGAAGTGCTCCGATGGGTGCAACGCGCACGATGTCAAAGCACCAAACACCTGCCACACACAAACAAAATGTTGTTAACAACCTCTACAATGTCCACGGACTCGGGGTCCGTGCTCTAGTCAAACAATTTCCAATTAACATTATTAAAATGACATATTTAAAGAATACCGATTTTACATATTAGAACTAACTACAAGTATATCTTCTTTATATATAAAAAATGGATCGCAAAATGTGTTGGTAAGCGCATAACTCAACAACGCCTGGACCAATTATTTTTTGTTGTGTTTGTTATATAGAGAATATTAGAAAAGTAGAGGGGAAGATTAGGCAAAAGTGACCCTTTGATAGCGAGATAGTTGGACGCGTGCGAAGCGGGGGCGGGCCGCTAGTTATTAGATATATAAAAATAACATGGTGCATTTGAATACCTGCAATATTTAATACAATCTAATTTTATATTACATTTATCGAAGGCTCTGCTGAGTCAGCACACCAACACAGTTACTTGTTACAGCCAAACTAAATTATATACTATCTGGGCAATTTTATAATGGTAGTAGGTTTATTTACTCAATCTGGTTTGAAGACAAGAATTCAAAATATTTATTTCAATCCAAACGATGGTAATAGGTAAACGATCCTTTCAGCCTACGACGAGACTACTTGTAGGTACAACAAATCTGTTGTGAATTTAAGAATAATAATATTATGAGTGGCTCTATCATATAATTTTTATCAAGAGAATGTACAGTCAAGTGTCACAAGTGCAAGGGGGTACAAGCGCAGCAATGTACTGCGGCCTCGAAGCAGGAGAAGAAACGGGGTAGATTTTAGTCAGTAAGAGTCTGACCCTCTCTCTCTCTCTCTCCCCCTAACCCAGGTCAAGAATAGCCACTTGATAATTATCTCCCATCAACAAAAGAAAAAAGGATAAAGTGCAATAGCAATGTAAAAATGTGTCTACTTATGCTATAAATTAATCAGTCACGGAATCTCTGTTCGTACCTAGTCGAGACTATAAAGGACTTTTAGATCATTGGTGTCGTGTTATAGTTGGTTGGTGATCGTTTTAAGAAAGCGCTTGTCAACATTAGCATAACGGTGTTGCGTATGCGCGTAAGATTGCACAATAAATTACGAATGTCGACTCACGTTGTTGTCTGTGTCCTGTATGACGAGCAGTACGGGGCTGTCGACGCGCTGCATCTTGCGGTACATGGAAGCGAGGGAGAACCCGTGCTGGCTCGTACTGAACGCCAGCTGCCACATGTAGCCCTGGGCGCGCGCCGGTAGCACCGAGCACAGCTTCTCTCTGAAACGGTAATAACAACATTGATTATAACTATTTTATTGGAGAGTCCTTGTAAATTTTAACCAACAACCGCAAAATGTATACTTAACTTAAAAAAGTTAAACGCCAAAAAGAAAATATAGTCGATATGAAATTATACGATGATTGTTCTGAGCGAGCACAATGTTCCAGTTATTACAACAGAACGGTTGCATTGGTACCACACGGTGCCAGTATCGAGAATGGCAAAACAAAAATTGTTGTTAGTAAAGTCGTAAGTCAAAGAAAATTACCTGTGTTCCATGGTGAGTACCTCCGAGGTGCCGATGAGGTCGGGCGGGGAGAACTCCATATCGATGGAGGCGCCCGACGAGTACAGCGCGCGACGAAGCTCATCGCTCATCGACAACACCTACACAACACACGCATACGTCAATAATGCAATTCAAGCACGTTGATGAGATCACAGGTCGAATCAATTAACCGTAACATGAATGGAAAGAGAAAGAAAACTATTGTCCTATATGGGCGTAATCGATGAAGTACGGTTTAAAGATGTGCTACATCATTACATGCGAATGAAACGTTTCTAGAGGAAATTGCTTGTTGTGTGCAAGAGGTGTAGAGGGTAGAAAGAATAATATAATTTTCAGTAGTAAAACTATTGTGGGGCTTGGTATTTTACTCTGTTCTCGAAGATGATAAAGGCACTAGACCTTAACCGGACAAGCAGGCATGAACATTTATATACCTACAATGATCAGATTTTATAGTAATCCTTCATGCTTAACACCAAATAAATGGAATAAAATGACAAAATAATACTGTAATGATTTGCGGAATGAACAGCGCTAGACAGTATTGCCACTTGTAGTCAACTGGTAACATTATTAAAACAAACTGAAAAATGGAATGATTGTTTACATGGAAGCGGCAACACTGAGCGTAGTATTTATCATGGTTTATTCGACAAGATGCACTAGCAGGTGATGCATTCCCGATCTACAGTTCACATTCAACATTCATAGTGAACAGTGCGAGTTCGTGCGCACTACTTCAACTAATTACAATAATTAATACAATACACAACAAAACAAGTGACCAACAATCCTTAACAATAGGTGTTAACATTCTCTATGGCTTCGTTGCTAGTTCTTGCTGCTGTACACTACTATTACTGGAATAAAAATATTAAATCCTCTCACAGTATACCGAAGAAACCAACGGCCTTGTAAAACATATTTACAGCTTGGAATTAGGTTTTAAAATGCATTCAGTTTACTTATCGTAACTACATATTAGGAAACTATACAAAGTCAGGTAGTTTGCGGGTCAACCGCAATAATGTACAGAGTCCCCGGTCTGGAGGAGAAGGAACGGGTGGATTTAAATCAGTAGAATCTGACATTCCCTCTTACCTCACCCAGGGTGAGAGATGTCATTAGACGATTTTCAACCAGCAAAAGAGGTAGTTCAAGATTTTCTTGCTTATTTATTATTAAAAAAAAGCAACCGGCTCGCCTCTGCATTGTACAGATACCAACTACAGACAGAGGTTTGTTTTGTAAGTTAACCGATACGGCATGGAAAGGGTTGCTACTTCCCGAATTTCCTTATTTTTCTATCTATCATAAAAAAATCATAACAACAAAAACATTAATACTATTAATCTAACCGTCCGAGTCTAATGCCATGGCTCAAGGAAATCAGGACTCGTTTATAAATATTATTTATAGCTAAATTGTAGTAAGAACTTTCTATAAACTGGTTACATTATTATGTTGTGCTCGCTTGAAAGAATAAATTACAGGACTCTTGTCATTATCCCACTTAGCACATTTACCTGTTAACCAAATTACATTTCCGCATCCTTATTAAAAATACTAAATAACAAACTTGCATAACACCTACCTGGCATTGGCTCAAATTAATTAGTACTCAATGTTATTTTATTGCTATGATAATTGCCGAATACAAGCTCGATCACTGTACTAATAATATCTGTTTCAATTTGACTGTTCTCGGTTGCGCTAAGTTCCTACACATAATTATTTCGTATAAAAACAAAACCGTATACAATCTTTGAATAAAAAGTGTGAAGACTGGCAATGAACTTGGAATTATGCTAATTAGTTATTTGAGAGTAGGTACCCGGCGCGGCGGCTTGTAGCTACTAGCTAGTGTATAAAGTTGATCTCACCTCGCATATGGAGTGTATGGTCCCCCGCCTTCGAGCGGCGTGTCCTAGTGTTCCCCGGTCGCAGACTGAGTGTATAGTTCCCCTTCTTTTAACGCTTGCATTGAACACTATCATTTCAATCTTCCGTACCTTTGCAGCGACTATGCGCACGAGTTCACGTAAAAGGCGAAACATTTTGGACTTTTTATTAACAAAGTGTTGGAAACCTTGAACACGTTAGCTTGTTGGGAAATGTTTACTCGGATGTTTACACAGAGCTACTTCGATTTTTTACTAGTTGTATGTACTTCGTTCACATGAAGTGCATTTGCTAAGGTTGGATACCGACAGGCGACATTTTGGCGCTTTATTGTTATGCTACACTGAAACTATGCCTGCATGTCATGTCCCGGAGCGGAGCTATTGCGACCGACTGCATTCGCGGCGTTCGATTAACTGTTTCCTGTCGGCACCTAGTCCAAAAAGAAGTGTCGGTATAATCTTATTTTATCGCCTTTATCTTAAAATATAAGACATCAATGTTGTACATAGCCGTACCTGGATTAGAGCAGGGATTACGAATTACTTATTATAGCAGTAAATCGGCAATAAATTGTGCTGATAACATTTTTGCGCGGGGATAGGCAATAGCTTACAGCTTAGTCTGCGTCACTAACACAAACGTCTGAGGAATGTAATATCGTGCAATAGTTTGCAATGCAATATATTTAAATATCATATTTACCACATATTGTTTTAGATTAATATAAAAACTTAGTAGAAGTAGGTATGTGTGCACTTAATCTGTGCGCTATCTTGGGACGGAAGTTGGCATTAGAGAGTATCTACCGTAGAAAGAAAAGTGACATACTTTACTAATATTGTGCTAGTTTCATATTGAACTCAATAAACGAGGGCAAAACAGTGAAATTCACTGCGGATTGTCACAATAGGTTTGAGTTCTATTCTAAACTTATTTAACTACCATCGTAGTAGCCACGACCTAGCCCTGTTTCCCAGGGCATGTTAGTTAAAAGGTATAAGACATAAGTTATAAGAATACCAACTAAGTATTTTTTCTTGTTATTAAGAATATCATTTTAATGATTATGATAACGTCATCTCGACGAGTGGACGTTTGGAACGGTAAATGTAATTTTCACACTGAATATATGTTGTTAGTACGAAGTTACTACATATTTGGTATAAACTCGCGTTCGAGAAATTTCTAGTCCTACTAAACGCAAAAGTTTGTTAGTATCTGTGTTGATGGATGTATGTTACTCTTTTACATAAAAATACTGAACGGATCTGAATGATATTTGTCACTGAGATAGACTATCGTCTGGTCTAAGCCACGTATTACCTTGCTATAGCGGGCGAAGCCGCTGTCAGAAACTAGTTAAATATAAAATGTGCCTAAACGCAACAAACAAGAACTAGTCGTGCTGGAGTAAGGTTTCAACAAAGTGACACTAGTTATAAAGTATCTATACCTAATCTACATTTTGAAACCCCATCTTGTGATGATTATGAAATGAAAAGACGTTGCAATGCAATTCCAATATTTATTAGAGGAATGCATATTACGTCAAGATGGCAAACATAACGCGTCATATTGAGAAATGTCGTTTCATTACGTGGTCAAATACCTACTCGGTAAATATAATTTCAACCCAAGCAGTTAAAGTATAAAAGTCGATTATCCTCTTAGAAAAATTATATGTTATAAATTAATAGGTCATATTACCTAAACATAAATTATCGCGATAAATTAGCTATGTGTACTAAAGTTATTAAATAATTTTAACATTCTGTAGACAATTCTAGGTTATCTTTGACCGAGGGAAACGGGAAATCATCGAATACTTTCTCTCACTCTGGATCGTGCGAGAGGGAGTATCAAACTTCTACCGACTAAAAACCTCCTCGTTCCTGCTGCTGCTCCGGGTCGTGGTAGGTACATCATTTCACTGGACCCGCAACCCCGGCTGTAGCTACTCTGGTATCTTACCTATTTCTATCTAGACTATATATACCTCTTATAAATATACCCATTTAAGTTGAGATCTGCAGTTATTAAATGGCAAAACCGTATTTAGGGGAACATGCAATCAGTAAAAAAAAGTTGTTATGAGTTTATTTTAAATTGGACTATTTTATGAGGTAGGTATTGTAAGAATATCTAGTGGGAAAAGTCTTAGTAATTACATATCTTGAATAGTCTTTTATTATTAAATACCTCGATAATGAGCAGGCACATCTCATAAAGTCAAGAAAAGGCTATATTTATTCTTTTATGCAACCTACACAACTTATTGTGAAGTAATCTAGAATCTACGATGCGATCATTATGATGATTAGATAACTTATTATTGATGTTTTTGGTGCCATTTATTACTCAATCAGTCATTTAAAGGCATTTTGAAAAATAAACAAGCATGTTATTTTGATGGAATATTTTTAATGATATAATTCATTGACCAAGGTCCGGATGTTTTCATAATAATTATAATTCCATATAAGTTGAGAGCCCTTTTAATGTATGCAAATGTATGCAGTACTCTCAATCTATTTATGCCTCATTACGACAGAAAAGTTTATTTTAAGATTAGTGCTTAAACCGCACGATAGCCGTTTTTATGAACGCACGACAGATTTTGGACGGAAGGTCATAATTGCGAAGACTTTTGTTATTTACAATAAAATTAAGATATTTATTGAAAGAATCTCATGAATAAGAGTCCCGTTGTAACTCGAATCTAGTAGAGTTTTTCTTAGTTGATTGGAGTGAGTCCTTATTTTCAGTAAATTTAGCATGTTTTATAATAGTTTTTATTCAAAATCTAATATGTTTAGGTACAGTATTATGAAAAACAATGCGCCATTTTCTATACATGGTATTTCATGATCTGCCTGACCCTTAGAGGCATATCTGGAGTGATTACAGTGAGAATAAGTAAATAGTTCCTAGACCTTGCGATTGGACACAGCACGGCGGTTGGTCACCTCTCTCTCTATTTATAGAAGAATTCGCTGCTAATTGCTACCAGGATATTGTGACGCGACACTCCACTATATCCGCAGAAATATATAGATGCATCTTTGGTTTTCTTTAAATCACATTGATGAAAATTCAAATATAGTGTGTGCCCGCCAAAAATTGTATCTTTCCCCAAAAGCTACTAGATATATCATCGCGAAAGACTATAAATAACACGTCATCGTTATCAACAAACTAGGCCGTAGATTAATGTTCTTAATCTACTAACTATTGCAAACGTAAAAGACAATAAACAGTAGGTAATCGAAACTTTTCTCTTATCAAATTGTAAACATGGATTTTAGTTGGGGCAACACGTGGCTAGGTCTGCCTAAAAGTCTACAACATTCATCATGATCTGAGGTAACGTCACTCTCTGTGTCACAATCATTTGAATGAAGAAATAGGTATAAGGTAGGTATACTATGTACCTACAAAATGTGTTTGTAATTAATTCGCTAAAGTCCATGTTAAAACCAGTCTCGATGTCTAGTTACATTTTTTGCGGATGAATAAAAACAAATAGGTACATGTACACTGTATATGAAGTCTAACCAATAATAATTGCTCTACCTATAAAACATAACAAGAACCTTCCAAGCAAAAAATACTCATTTTAACTTTATTAAATAATATACCTTGTTGGAATACACAGTGTGAGAGTGTAACGAGTTACTAAGCCCACTTTTTACTGAATGAGACATGTATAGGTAGAAGCAACCAGTTTTTCCTAAGATGGAAAGGTCACCACGCAAGATCGCTAGAGTGTGGAATTTTAAGAACGCGAGATGTATATAATTTCGTAACCATTTAGATAATCAAACTATTTACTTATCTTGTCGTAGTTTATGCACCGTTTGAACTTTAGATAAGGGTGTAACAGACGCTATAGATATTGAAGAATAACGTACCTACTTCTAATCAACAGCTATCACAAAGATGAAGTCAACGACAAAGGAAGGCAAATGTTTAATTCATTATTGTGCATGCGTTCGGCGTTTACCAATTATCTTTTTAAACTTGTTTGTTGACGTAATCCAAGTGTGGGTACGTAGTGCGCGGCATTGAACTGCTATTATTAAATAAATATTTTGACCAACAATTGATGACAGACCGCGCATATATAAAATAGGCCCACTAACGGTACCATGCTCACCTTTTCGTCGTCGTAAGTAGAAGTTGTTTCTGTGGTAGTGGGCCCGAGCCGCACCATCTCTATCCACTTGACAGTTTGCATCTGTTTTATTTACGCACTTCACAAAGAGCGCAGAAACTCAACTCAAACGTGTACGTACGATGCACCACAAAAACACGTCGTCCACATCACAATTGCCAGCGCTTAATTTAGAAATCACCCACGCGATTACAAGGTTTCATAACTAAATACTGAACACAAGAGTCGCATGCTTCGGCTTATAAACAAAAGTGTTTGTGTTCGTTCGTATGTGCAGCCGGTTACAATGAACACGGATTAATCGCGGAAACCGAATGTATGCAGTTGACGGCCGGTCGAACTCACGCCGCAGTTAATACTCGGATACTTGGATCAAATAAAATTCAAAGAGAACGACGCGCGAGGCGAGCACGGCGAAGCGACGTCGCTGGGAAACTAGTGGCTAAAAGAAAGGAGCGAACCACGCGGCCGCTGACGACCCTGCCGCACGGCCCGCCACAAATATGCGCTGTTCATAGTCCGTACACCAACACCATACGCGCGGAAACGATTAAATCCAACCAATTAGGCGAATATTAAAGAACTCTACACAGAATACGCTCGATGATCGTATGCCCAACCTTTGGGCGTTAGGTGCGAACTTGGGTTAATTACGGCTCTACTGTTATAGCTATCTATAATTAAAGTTAAGGTAAATGTTTCGTTATTAATTTATTGCTAAGAACATTGGGATGTACACATGTAGTCAGTGCTGAGGCTAAACTAAAGAAATACTGTTTTAGGATGATTTTATCCTCAGAAGTGTTCCAGAGCGACTGAAGGTGAATCTTCAATAAACCGCTTTCAAACTAAAAAGTATTTGAAATTATTTTTAAGATAGAATACAAATAGTATTTGTCTATTTTACAATGGCTGCCTCTATATACAACACACAGTTAATTTAGTTACCATTTTACGGAAATAATCTTCATATTTATCACAAGTTGAACGTTAAACATATTTTTGTTTTCATTCAGTTTTAATTGATACCATAAATGAACAAGTATGCTGGCGTCGGTATGTTGGCATTAAGGAATTAAAACACAATAAATAAATAAAAAGAACTACATATATCTGAAATAAAATAAATGCGTTACCTGTTACTTTGGAAGGTCTTATGTACGAAAGTTGAGGGCGCGGAGCAGTAAATATGATATTGCAAATCGTCAGCTTCACAATCACTACCTAGGTATATTATTTTATAAACCTGTTAACGAATGCAAGTCTCGTTCACATAACAGCTCAGATGTTCAGAGAGGCGACGCGTGTGTTGAGTATGCAGATGTATTCGTCTAGCCTTGTGCTGCAGTTATTATTGTCTTGGAGCGCGAAAGAAGTGCAATATAATGCGTGCACGCCAGTATGTGGCTGGCTGAGATCTATCGTTTAGAATACCTTACTGCATAAATCTCCTGACACTTAGGCAAGAAGAGCCAACGAGCTTACAATTAGTTGCGATTAACATCTTGGCTAAACGCGGCGATTACGACGGCGACACTCAACCGGGGCGGAGACAATTGAAATGTCTCAGCAACAACTAACATGCAAATTAATTAACGCATCATAAAATATATTGTGTGATATAACCGAGGGTGACACATCTATTAACTTTACGACTTTTCATATTCAGAGTAACCGATACCAGCTTAACACAATGTTTATTAAGAGCAATCTCTTAAAACTCTTCTAGCACGTGACTTTGTACCTAACTACATATTTTATTTCTAACACGACTTTATAGCTAAAATGATTGTATGATCTCGTATAAATTATATTATGCTCTTAACATAAAAATGTGGTGATTAGAAAACTAGACTATACTAGTCTATATTAGAATATTGTACCGGTTTTAATAAACTTATGAGAGGTATGTGGTTAAGTACTTTAGTAATTAAAGTTTATGCTGTTTTGAAGGTTTTATATAATACAGAAAATCATAGATAAGTCGATGAGCATATTTAAACTTTTTTGAGCAATATCTATACGCAGTATAATAATATGCAAGTTGAACAAAATATTGACATACATGCAATGCAACTGCAACACAATGCTATCATTGTGTCAAATGCAATGGAACTGCAATTCTATTGAAAATGTTACGACCACGTACTGTCTACGATGCAATGCACAATAATGTCAACAACAGCTGAAAAAATACTATCCATAAACATTTTAATAAAGGAACTCCAGTATTGATTGATAGAAAAGAGGTTTTCATAAATAATAATAAAACTGTAATAATACATATACCTGGCATAATTGTTGGATATCAGGTTACAATCATACATACCTATTTTTTTTAATAATACCTAAATATGAAAACACGTGAATTTGTCGCGAATAAAAACACGTGACTTTGACGATATTAAATACTAAGTTATTTAGTATACTAGACTGGAATATATAATCGGGCCATTCTAAATTACAAATATAGGTGTAATATAAAATATTCAAGGCAAGCAGGTATTAAATTCTTGTTATGGAATCAGAGGTTTGCCGGTTGCCAATTTCATAGCGGAAACGTCTGCCTACAATTTCAGCGATTGCGACACGGATCAACGTCAAATTAAATTGTCTTAGTTAATGACATTACACATGCGATCAAAATAAGAGCACGCGTTCACTATAGTCACGACCATTGTAATTTTAAGTACAATGTGATGGCTCGAAAAAATCAACAAAATGTTGTTTATTTGTATCAAAACGAGTTGACACGGTTCCGTAGGTAGTATCCATTAAATAAGTAATTGGTTAGTATCAATGGGGTCTACGATTGTGGAATATCCCTGCAGTTACACACACGAGGACGTTGCTGGACACAATTGGATAATCTCTATAGCAGTTACTGTGCCACATTGTGGCTATCGGTCACAAAGGTTCACCTTTAATTCAATTAAGTGTGTACAATTGTACATTATATATTTTGCATTGCAAAGTGCGGATTTTGCAGTGCCTTTGCACTTTTATAAAAAAAAAACATTATGTTAGTCCCTCATGCCTACGTGCTTTATTTCATGCCTTTACTAAACATATCATAAACTGGCTGCATACATAATAGTTAGGTCCATTATTTAGTCATTAAGCTGAGTTTACGTAATGGCAAATTATTTTGGTAGACATCAAAAACTTCCACACATTTGCAATTCCAATAATATCTCATATTGTATCTATTAATATTTGTTATTTAATTAAGGAAAATTTATTAAGAGAATATTAAGTTGTTTACTTCAAACAGTAGGTACCATGCATGTGTACTACATCAAAGTGTTGACTCGACCGATATATGACGATGAGTTTCATTATTTTATAATGGTGAAGGCTTAATTAGTTTATCACCTTATTAGTTGTATTGTATGGCTTATCGTATTTTTGTTAACATGATAGCAATACTTATTTTTTATACAGTGAATAACAGTTGAAATGGGAAACCTATTAATTTACAGGTTCAATAATGCCAAGTTATACAATTCTTATGTAATCTAATAAATATACTGTGACCATGCAATATTTATCTAAGGCTTACATTTATATCCATTGCGGGAGTTTGTAATTCTTTTAATTCCACAGACATTTTGTAATTATTTATGCCAAAATAATGCGTTAAAAATCTAATGTCATCGTGACGCAGGAACCAAGGAGTTCTTGAGCTTTTTTTTGGAATTTAAAAAAATAAGACAATTTGTCGCATACATACTTTTTTAAGAGAGATATTGCAGTTTGCAAATAACGTTGGTAATAAAAAAAATAGTACCTACATAAACGTTTGAATTTAGAATTCGTTAAAAACAGTGTCAATATCACGTAGACATTGTATTTAATTATTTATGTATGAATCTGTATGGCGGTTATGAATAATGTAACAAAAGGCGGGCAGCGGCGTCGTCGCTGGTAAACACACAATTTGTATTGCGGTGGACAAACGCTGCGTCAACAATACCACTGCCACGCAGAGTCGCTGACGAGTTAACACCGTGACGCATTCCTGACACTAGCCACGATGCAAATTAGGCTACCTAGTACATGTTTTTATATACTTCGACTGTATATGTTTAAAACGCATTCCTTATTTTAATCTATTAATTTTTACGGCTAGCTTTTAGCACCTTAGTATAAACACTTCGAGAATTTTCGGCTGACACATAACAGCTACAGGCATGTGAATAATTTTATTTTGTAAACAGTGCAAGCACAGAATGTGCACGACTCACTCATCGACCATCAGACCAGTCAGATCGTAAAACAGACGCTAAGTCTTACAAATGCTGGACTACAGTTTTAATTAAAAGTATAAAGTGCAGGTCTGCAGGTGTAATTTCAAGGACAACGCTGGCAGTAATCAAGTACAATTTTTCAAAATGCTACATGAATAGAGTGAGGGAAGATTACAGCGTCCAGTGCCATTGTTCGCCTTCTATTGTAACGTAACTATAACTATAGGTACTCTTCTACTAACATCATTCCATTTGCGTTATGTAATTACTACTCCTCGCTTTGTACCCGATAGTGCAAAACTCTATTGATTTCAGTAACTTCCCATCGAAAATCATGCCTTAGTATCTATTGTTTCAATTTAGTTATTGACTATACAAAACATAAGAAATTACGTTACACAAACAGCAGTAGTGTGTCTAATAAGGTGTTTCCTTCCTAAATAGTAATTGCAGCACCAGCGTGAACTATCGCCAATGCCGTCAGTACAATAAGTATCGCGACTACGTATATTTAAAGTATGTACACAACAGGGCTTTATCTGAAACAGATAGTGCATTTCCTAAACATGTATTATCAAGACACGCAAGTAATGTGCACGCTAAACATTAACATTTCTAGCCAAGAACAGTATTATGGAAACATTTTCAACATCGCAGGTTGCTACATAGTTTGGATGCAATCTAAGGGCATGGACAGTGCGTTTAACATTTCACTAAGATGTGCTTAACAGTCGCACTACGAGGTATTGGCACAGAGGCTGAACATGACTTTGTTTACAGATCACAAGTTCCATAAAAGACAAACATCACCTGCCTAAAATACCCACTAACTTGTTATGTTCTCGAACAAGTTAATCATGGGCAGTCAAGGCCGGACTAAAGTCAGCTGTGTCACATGCACAATGGAGGCAAATTAGGAAATTCTAACAGTTTCCTGTCATTCATAATTAGAAATCGTCATAATCTCACCAACACCGAGCTATCAGTCGAATGTCTAAAAATGTATTCTGTTGTTCCAAAATGGAGATAATTTGGTAAGTTTTTTATTAGCGATTATATGGGCTTTGTGTGAATCTTTATTACTTTTGAGTCATGTTTATGATATTTTTAGACAGTCGACTGTCACGTAGGTGTGGCAGGTGTGGCAGAGTCATATTCAGCCGATGTGTCGTGGCGGTACCTCCTGGCGCGGCTCCTCGCCGAGCGAGTCGCCCAGCGCCTCTGCCTGGCTCTTCATTATCGAATATATTTTCACGTAGGGCGCCTTCAGCAGCTACGCGTAACCGCATTGTGCATTAGTACTCAATGTATGTTTGTATTGTATGCCGTCGTGTTATTGTTCTCAGTGTTTCACAAACCAAACGATTCCAAACTTTATCATAGCTTCTCATTACGTGGGATATAGGTATTAATCACACATTTAAATTTGTTGTGAACTAATTTATCATTGTTGACTATCGTTTCATATCTAAGTTTGATATGGTAAAAATAATTAATAGATTCAATAATTTAATTGCAAGAGTCATTAACTATCTGCGGAAATCTGTAAGTTTCCAGCAGACATTTTGTTTTGTTGTAAATGTATTAATATGGAGGATATTGCACCTATAATGTTATCTCGCATAATTTTAGGTACAGACTGGATATAATACCCCAGTTCCTATTAACACTTGTACGTGTAAATAAATAGATAAGATAGTAAAAATAAAAACATTTCGTAATGTAACTAGCATGTGGGCCTGTAGTTGGAGTTTATGAGTTTTACCCCGTGGTCACCCATTACCATTCTCCATACTTAACGGATATCTAAATAATGATAGTAATTTACTAATTACATATCTTAATTATAAACTTTGTAAACACATACATTAATAACATTAGAAGGCCCAAAATAGTTTACATATAGTAAGCTGCAAATGTGTTTGTCTATTAGTAAGAATTAACACGGTCCTGCAGCGTCACAGCGCCTATGTCTCACGTCTACGTATAAGGAGCATCATAAATAGTCTGTTGTCTATATATAATGCCATATCTAGACATATTCGCGTATGTAGATAACATCTATAAATATTAACCGACTGTGCCAAAAAAGAGTTTAAATAAATTAGACTTGTAATAGAAAAACATCCATGTTCAATGTGTACTGTAATGTGGGATGTGAGATGCATTGTCGTGTTCAAAAAGCGTTTGTTAGTTATAAAAACGGTGTTAAATTAATGTTATAAGGAGCTGTTCCAGTGGGCAGAGTGTGAGGGCTTACCTCCCAGGACTCGCGCGTCAGATCCGACACGTCGCCCGTGCTGCCAGTCCGCTCGTCCTACGAACAATTTCTCATTAATAATATTCTCACTTAGGAAATCACAAAAGATCATAAATACGCTCGGAAAATTCTTATCTTAATGAGCGATGACAGGAGCCGAGATAAATCTCCGCGTTTGAAACGGCGACATTATTATAATGTGTACAAATTCAGAGGCGTTTTGGGGCAAACACACCTTGTGTGTGTACTTAGGTAGGTGCGAGAGACACTTTAACAATGTTTGAAGGTATAATTATATAATGAAGCTTACTTTATGTCCAGGTTTAGCCTCATCGTCATCCCATTCGGTGTCGCTGTCAATGAGCTCGTAGCCCTGGGCGCTGACGTCACCGAGAGGACCATATCGGTCCGGCACCCAGTGGGTTAGGAACTTGAATAGGTCATCCACCCTATAACAAACATTATCTTATAAGACATTCATACAAAGAACGCATACATCCATTGAGAAGGATCACGATAAAAACGTAGCGCAAAAATAGACCCAGTTCGAAGCCATCGTTAGAGCGAAACCAATTAGACACGAAGACATTTAGCTAATTGTGTTTGTAGACAATTGCAATAAATCTAATATACGCGTATTAATTATTATTTTTAATAAGTTATTCAATCAAAAAGTGTTTTGACATTATTCTATGGAAGTTGGTGAAGATTCACCACATGGTACTTTATTATGTTTCCGGACTTCCAACAAAGAGACGTAAAGTAAACACAATTCATGAGCAGCGTTGTGCAATATTCGCCGCGTCGAATGTCCCGCAATCAAGCTCATAAAATGAGCACCTAGTGTGAATTGAAACTTGTTGAGTACCTCATCAAACAGTTAGGTGAGTAAGTAATCATTTATTAAATATCACCCATGACACATAAATTCCAGAAAACCAAGCGAACGCCGGCGTTCGCACACCTGTTTTTCTTCTATTGTGTCTCGAATTAAATACCGCTATTGGAACAACATTAAAACGAGAAACACCAGCCTAATGTAACTTACTTTAAAATATTTACGTAAAGTATAGCTTTTGGGTTTATAACTGAGATAAGCATTTTGTCAAGTACTTGCCTGTTCCTGGGCACTCCGAACCAGTACTCAGGCTTCATGCGCTTGCGTCCATAAGACATGAGCGGGGTGGTGCGCGGGAGTGGCCGGCCGATGGGCTTGCCCATGCGCAAGCGCAGGTACAACGGAGGATCGTCACTTGGTCGCGCCGGTCGAGGAATTAGTTCTAATAGACAAAATGTATTAATTTTAGATTTCATATTTATTTATTTGCAAACCATAATGTTACAAGGCTAGGTATATATTATGGACCCCGTTAGACATAAATAAGTTTAATTATAATTAGGTACAAAAGTAGGTAATTTATATGTATTAGTTATTTACATCATTAATTATAAATATTAATCAGACTATCGTTTTATCGTCTAGATATTCATTGATTTAATATACGGATATATATGTATCTATTTTCAAAAACTATGATTGCCTTATAAAATGAACACCCAATGTCATGATCAAACTATGTTGTCTTGTCAAAAGATAATAATAATTTTATCTACTTCGATCAATAAAGTTAAGATGCAAATTTACGAGCAAATATTGTTACTTAAGTTTATGGCCACTGTAATAATGTGGGTGTAAAATAATAATACTAATGCAACTACTTCCTGTTTAATTCAAAAACAAACAAGAAAATTATTGTAGCTAACTTATTCTTAGGTATTTAATCCCCTATGGATTTGGTGTTTAGGGATAGGAGGGACTGGAGGATTTGGCTATCCCTAACCACAATCATAAAGCGAAATACAACATAAGCGTAGTTTCACGCCGGCTTTTTGTCCCGCAAAGTAAGCCCAACCGTGACGAATCATGGCTCTCCTACATAAAAAAAAACAATATTAATGAAAGTGTGAGTGAGGTAACAGGAGGCCCAATCTTTCCCCCATCCCTTCCCAATCCTTAAAATATCCGAAACAATTATCCCCAAAAGGACGACAACGCACTCATAACTCCTTTGTCGTTGCGAGTGTCCGATAGGCGGCGCCGAATGCTTACCATCAAGTAATAGTAGGCTAGTTTGCCGACTTCTAAAAAAATACTGTATTTGACAAACAGTTTAGACATGTGTAATCAACGGTAAGTAATTGTTTACTTGCGTTATCAGCATTATTCAGGGCAAAAGGTTAATTAATCAGGCTTTATGTTGTTGGCGTAAGATTAACTCTTTTATTGGCAATTTGATAAGGCATTCAAGATAAGAAGCCGATTATTCATAGTGTTTTGCTTGTTGTAAAGAAAGCCTGGTCAGTATGTTAGCCAAGTGAGGTTATTGAACTAATGTTAAAGTAGAGAGTGATGCTGGTATGAAAGTAGAGAGTGAGTTTAGGCAAAATAAAGTTAGAGAGAAAGATATAAAAATAAAGAGAAGAATAGTTTTAGCTTTAAGTGTCGGAGAATCATGCTTCGCCACGAATGGTTCGGCTCGACTGGAGTGATACCTCGGCCTCACAGAAACCAGCGTGAAATAATCACAGCGTTGTGTTTCACCGTATGAGTGAGGTTACCGGAGGCCCAATCCTTCCCCTACCCCAATTCTTTTTTTTCGACTCCGAAGGACAGAACAGTGTTATATATATACAATAAATAAATATACAAGTACGGTAAGGTTGACTTACTATCAAAAGATGCGAATAGATCAGGCATGTCATCTACGGAGACCATGCTGCGGTAGTCGAGACGTGGCGGTGGCGCGCTGCCGGCGCTACTAGTAGACTTGGTGTGAGAGCGACCGAACCCGCCCAAGGAACTGCGTCTATATTTTAAAATGGATACATTATTTTATAATTTTCTAAAGACTTATAGGCAAATATGATGTAGGATGTAAGCTTTTCAAAAAAAAAAGAAAAGTAAATAGTCTGTAAGGCCATTTTGAACCCTTACATGACTTGGAAGGGTTTGTGGGCCTGTAGTCAAGTGAAAGGAAGTTGGTATAATAATAACGTATTCATTTGAATAACAACAACTGTGGCAAGGTATTATCGAAAAGTATATAGACATTAACAACACAAAATTACTTATTTAGTTTTGTTTAGGGGAAACTAATACTGGAAAACAAAACACAATAAAATATCTTGACTAAGAAAATAACCAAATAACAAAATATTTCCAGTTCATAAAAGTTTTAAATAGAAAGCAGATTAAAACACATAGTCCTGCACCTGCAAAAGTGAAAACTGTGAATTATTTAATTTAGACTTGTTGGAATAACAAAAATCAATCTACTCATTATTCTCACGCCACTATTATAAGTGCCTTAAGTGGCCAGCTAACCCTCACTGAGATGTTTGCATCTCGCCCTCATTCTATTCTGCTAACGCCTTCAGGCAACACACACCTCCTAAAGTAAAATAATAAAGTCCACCTCTGCTATTTGATAAATAAACTTAGTTTTATTTCATCAACCCAAACCTAACAGGTTATGGGCCCAGTGCACCAGTGCACCAGTGCAGTGCAGTAAAGTACAGTGTAAATAATAATTACTAGAAGTATCGTAAATACTTTTAAAAGGACAATTAATAAATTTTAAGTGACTTTATTTTTATAAATATACTGTGAAATTAAAAACAGTGAAATGGACAGCTCCAACTTGAAACGGAACATTAAACAATTCGACGGTGAAAGATATAGTGTTTGGAAATTAAGAATTCGTAATCTATTAAGTGAACGTAATGTACTTCATGTGATTGATGAAGAATTGCCAAGCGAACCTAATACTGAGTGGATTAAAAGTGTCAAAATAGCGAAAAATATTTTGGTAGAATATTTATCAGACACTTTACTCGGTTTTAGTTACTGAAAAATCTTCAGCTAAAGACATTTTCAATAAATTAGATTTGATATATGAGCGAAAAAGTACATCTAATCAGTTAACTTTGAGGAAAACAACTTCTCAATATGAAGTTTAATGAAGACCAATTAGTAAAGCATTTTCAAAATTTTGATGATTTAATATGCGAACTAGTATCGGCGGGAGCAACGTTAAATGAGAACGATAAAATAACGCATTTATTTCATGACACTACCCAACTCTTATAATAGTGTTATTACTGCGATCGAAACTTTAGCCGAAGAAAATTTAAACTTGACATTCGTGAAAACTAGATTGCTAGACCACGAAATTAAACTAAACAATGAAAATCGAGACACAAGTTTAAAAGTATTACAAGCTAAAACTACGTCGTTTTCAAAAACAAATAAATTCCCAAATGCGACCTATCATCAACAGAAACGGGGTCAACAATTATTAAATAACAGATTTAAAAGAAATGTTAAGTCTAAAAACGTGAAATGCTACCATTGTGGAAGAAAAGGTCACATTATGAAAAACTGTTATTACAACAAGATGGCAACTGAACGGTTTCAAAGGCCTGAACACCGTCGAACAATACAAGTAGTGAATACTGAAACAACTGATCCAAACATATCCGGATTTGCATTTATGGTAGGAGCAAATGCCATAAAACGTAATAACCAAGAAACCATTACATTTGTGCTGGACTCTGGCGCTTCAGACCATTTCATCAACAGGCCAGATTTAGCGGAAAAGTTTACAGAATTAGAAAAACCAGTAAATATCTCCGTGGCGAAGAACGGTACTTACATCCAGGCTACAAGAAAGGGAAACTTACCGGTTATTAGTAACTTGGGATTAAAAGGTATATTAGGTACAGGATGTTTTATTCTGTAAAGATATTCCATACAACTTGCTTTCAGTAAAGAAAATGCAAGAAGCTGGTATGACAATTATTTTTGGCAAAGATGGAAGCGTACAAATATTCGACACGGGTAAGACATTGGTAACAAAGGGTGAGTGTTTGAACAATTTAATTGGAATTAACTTTTTACTTGAAGGGTCTGTTGTGTGTTCTTTAAATAGAGTCGTAAATAACTATGAATTGTGGCATCAACGTTTAGGCCACATTAGTAAATCAAAATTTATGCAAATAAAGCATAAAGAAATGTTTTCTGATATAGAGAAAATAAGTCATATTAAGCCATGTGACAACTTATGTGAAGCTTGTATTTATGGAAAACAAGCATGTTTACCATTTAACAAATCAAAGCCAAAGGTAATAACAAAACGACCACTATTTAATGTGCACACAGATGTTTCGGGTCCCGTCACTCCTTCGACACTTGACAACAAAAAGTATTTTGTCGTTTTTGTCGATGAATTTACTCATTATTGTGCAACATACTTATTAGCTCATAAATCAGATGTTTTTACTGCTTTTCGGGATTATGCAACAAAAAGTATGGCACACTTTAACCTGAGTATTGTCAATTTATATTGTGATAATGGTGGTGAATATTTATCGAAAGAAATGAGAGAGTACTGTGTTACAAAAGGTATAAGCTACCATTTAACAGTGCCGCATACGCCAGCTTTGAATGGTGTAGCCGAAAGAATGATAAGAACATTAACGGAACGCAGTCGGGCTATGGTGTCCGGTGCGAAATTAGAGAAAACATTCTGGGGTGAGGCTGTGTTAACTGCTACTTATCTAGTAAATATCACACCCACAAAAGCACTGAGAGTTGATAACACACCATTTGAATTGTGGCATGGTAAGAAGCCGCAACTTAAGTATTTGAAAGTCTTTGGTTCAACTGTTTATTTTATGAATAAGACAAAAAGACATAAGTTTGATGAAAAGTCATCAAAAGGTATCCTGGGTGGATATGAACCAAATGGATATAAGGTGTGGTTACTGGTAGACGAAAGGTTTGTGAAAGTCAGAGATGTAATAGTTGATGAGATTAATTTCTTATCAAGTAGGCCTGTTAAGCCTGAAGGGATTATGAGTAAAAATTCCATTAAATCTGACGGGCACTCCAATGGTTGGGAGGTGCAAAAATCTGATAAGATGAAATCAGATAGTTGTATGAGACAAACGTTCGAAATACCTATGTCATTAGATCCACCATCTAATAAATCTGTAAGTGAAACAGATGTGTACTCAGACTCTGCATTTCCAAATGAATTGACAATATCTCAAGATGATAAAACATCTCCGAATCTAAGAAGGAGTGAAAGGATTAAAAACATACCTAAAGTGTGTTATGATGACAGTAAAGATGATCTATCAAATAATTATTTGCTGCATGCACAATCATTAGTATGTTCTATACCTAGATCTTTTGATGAAATCCAATCCAGGGATGATAGACATTTATGGGAAAGTGCTATAAAAGAGGAAATTAATTCACTCCTCAAAAATGAAACCTGGACCCTGGTACAAAAACCTATTGACAGAAATATCATTGATTGTAAATGGGTATTTTCTATTAAAAATGATGAATCTGGAAAACCATTAAAATATAAAGCGCGTTTAGTAGCTCGTGGTTTCAATCAAGAATATCTTATTGATTATAATGAGACGTTTGCACCTGTTGCAAGAATAGCAAGTTTCAGATTATTTTAGCATTCGCGAATCAGTATAGATTGCTAGTGCATCATATGGATGTAAAAACGGCATTTTTAAATGGGAAACTTGAGGAAGAGATTTTTATGAAAGTACCACAAGGAATCCCATGTACAGATAACAACTTGGTCTGTAAATTAAATAAGTCGTTATATGGATTAAAGCAATCAGCACGTTGTTGGTTCGCAACGTTCGAACAAGTCTTGATTGAAAAAGGTTTTCGATATTCATCAGCTGACCGATGTCTGTATATATTACATGCAGGTGATATTTCTAAAAACATTTATGTGATTTTATATGTTGACGATCTTGTTATCGCAACGGCAGATATCAAAACCATGAACACCTTTAAACAATACTTAATGAAAAGGTTCAAAATGGTAGATTTGAAAGAAATAAAGTGTTTCTTGGGGATTAAAATTGAAAGAAGCAATAACAAAATAACTTTAGACCAAAAACTGTATATAGAAACAGTCCTTAATAAATTTAACATGAGTGACTGTAAACATGTCAGTACTCCACTTGAAACTAAAGTTGATTACGAAGCTTTAAATTCGTGTGAAACAATGAATGCCCCTTGTAAAATCTTATCGGATGTTTAATTTACATTATGGTTTGCACTCGACCCGATTTTGAGTTATAGTCTAAACGTCTTGAGTAGATTTGCTAATAAAAACAACCATGCACTTTGGTCACACTTAAAAAGAGTGCTTCGTTATTTAAAAGGGACGCTTGATTTAAAATTGACTTATCGTCGGAGCAATTCAGATAAAATACCGTTAAGTGGTTATGTTGATTCTGATTGGGGTTCTGATGAAGTGGATAGAAAAAGTACTACGGGTTATTTGTTTAACTTATTTGAGCAATGCACTATAAGTTGGACAACAAAAAGGCAAACAACAGTAGCAGTTTCTAGTACTGAAGCAGAGTACATGGCACTATTTGAGGCCGTAAAAGAAGCTCTATGGTTAAAGTCTTTAGTAACCAGTATAAACATTAAAATACTGGATCCGATTCCTATTTATGAGGACAATAGTGGTTGCATAAGCATTGCAAATAATCCGACATGTCATAAAAGGTCAAAACATATTGACATCAAATATCATTTCTCTAGAGAACAAGTTGAGAAAAATGTTATTAAAATAATTTATGTGTCCACAGGTAACCAGTTGGCTGATGTGTTAACGAAACAGTTACCCACTGTTCGTTTCTCCCAGTTGAGAGAGAAATTGGGACTAGAATAGATTACAATATATTTTATATATGAATAAAATCTATAGTATTAAATACTTAACTAGGTTAAGATTTTGAATAAGTATAACATGGTCTGATTAGGTTTTTCTGGGTTTCCCTAATCCTATGCAACGAATGTTGGACCATTGAATGATTGTACCCCAGATAAAGGATGGTGTGTGATACTATGATTGTAATTAATTTTATTTTAGATTAATTTTTGAGGGGGCGTGTTGGAATAACAAAAATCAATCTACTCATTATTCTCACGCCACTATTATAAGTGCCTTAAGTGGCCAGCTAACCCTCACTGAGATGTTTGCATCTCGCCCTCATTCTATTCTGCTAACGCCTTCAGGCAACACACACCTCCTAAAGTAAAATAATAAAGTCCACCTCTGCTATTTGATAAATAAACTTAGTTTTATTTCATCAACCCAAACCTAATAAGACTTTCATATATTTTAGCAAATAGGAAAGACACGCAAGGCACGTCTCGTATAGCGGACGTCTGAAGCTAAACATGCCAAAACAGTACACATACATATTAAAGGGTGCCGTAACAAAGTGATGGAGTGTCGTGATCCTAGAACATCAGTCCTATAGTAATGATGATGACATGGAACATAGATCGTAACACTATAGGTTCTATCTGGAAAATGATGACTAAACTTCCTAACACATATACATCATGCTCCTTAGCTTTAACAGAGAACAAACAACTGGATTTTGAAATTACACGATGGGACAGTCAACTCAGTAAGATATTTATGTACATTGGATTGTTTTAATTGATTTTGTTGTCTGTTCCATCGTAGATAAAGTTCAAAATCCTCCTGACAAGAGATAAATAAAAACAAACACATTGATGCCGGTGGAAATGCCTAGAAGAGTGATAACGAATAAAAGGCCAGACAGAGAGACCACGGCGTCATAACAAACTCTTTAATATTTTGACTCAAAAACTAATCTCGTCTTATATTAAGGATCTGATCGATGTATAAACAAATCATTGTGACGTACCTACACTAATTGTTGCAGGTTCAAACACCCAATAAAAACAACAAATTATATTTATTGTCCGATAACTTATCGGGAGCATAAACATTGTTTGCTGTTACAGTTTCAATACATTAGCTACGCTCTACATCTCACGTAATCCACGTTATAAAATCAATTTGGTGTAACAATCAGAGTCAAAATATCAACGAGAGTTTGGACAGGATGGCGCCGCGGTCTACGAGTATATCGTCAAAGGCAACACATTACAACTGGGCACATCGACTGTTGCAGCGGAACGTGGCGTCACGTACCCCGAAGCAGAGAACACGTCCTGGGGCGCCTCTTCAGACGGGGTTTTACTCAGGAACAAACCAGTACCGAACTCCACGAGATTCATTGGTGAGCTAACGATCAATGAATATGGCGGAGTCGTATAATGTCGGTACGTCCCGGTAAGCATCCACGGTAGCAAAGGAAAAATTGACGATTGCAATATTAATTGGTTTAGTTCCAGCATGTGTATATGTGTGTCGCATGTTAGTGGCGGCGTCATTAGCTTCTCTGGTTGTCTGAGCAAATATCTTTAAGACGTTGTAAACACGATGATCGCTTCCCTCGTAAATTGCCAGTTACATCACATGAGAGGTATGCCAACAATACAATACAGTTCATGACTAATGACAAACAAGTCTGCCGTTGTGTGTCCAAGCGACAAATTGAGTTTGATAGAAGAATCAGTTACAACAAAGAATAGATATGAGATGTTTTGTAAACAACGTTAGACGTATACAAACAATGGTTATAGTACGTTGAATGCCACTGACAAACAGTAGAACAATATGTGGATACAAATGCGTTGTAACAAACTAAATATTTGCACTTAGATAGTGTGGAGAAAGGACATCTTGTTGTGATATCAAAGTATTATCTGACAACTTCACGTCATTCATGTCCAGCAGTGACTTACAAGTCGACGATGACAGTTGTTAAAGTATTAAGTCCTTACTTTGTTTCGAGTTTCGGAGGATTTTCCCGAGTATTAGCATGGTATGTGTGTAATAAAGTACGTACCTGTTGAAGACTTTAGAAAAGACGCTGGTAGAGTTGTGGCTGTCGGCGGAGGTGGGCAGCGAGTCGCTCTGTGAGCCCTGCGCTCCCCCCTCACCCGTCAGACCTTCCACCCAAGAGAGGGGGTACGAGAGACGCTTCAGCATCTGTTGAGAAAACAAAGACGTACAATTTAATTCTGTGACTAGCGGATATTGGAGTGCATTTGCTCAACTTCCTGGTAAAACTAACATTCTCTCGTTATGGGCCAATAGTGACCCCAACGCCTGTAATTATAATATTTGCTTTACATTAAAGCTATTCAACGTCCAAATTTGAGGTTGAGAAATTCAGTGACTATAGTCAGAATTTTAATTTGATTCCATATTTGACATTACCTACTGTCATTTTGTAAAATAATGATACCACATATAACAGTGTAGTGATGAACACAAAAATCGATAAACAATCAGTGAATCTGTTTCGGGAAGGCATTCAAAAAAATAACGGCTACCGAATGGGCTAAATGTGTATCTCATGTTGTCAAAGAAGAGGAAAAAACGAGTAAGCTAGATATGTTAATTGACAATAACTATCACAGAAACAATTCATAATAAATATTACAGAAAGTAACAGCGATAGCGATGACGGCGACAATTTATAAAATAAATTATTACCATAATACATCTATCTGTTTTATTTGTCATGTTCCTTCATAAATACATTTTTTTATTAATTTCACACACAAGTTTAAAAGAAAAGTCTCAGATCGTTAATTAATTGTCAAAACTAAATTATCGGTTCTTTACAAACAAGAGGAATCGATTCGGAAATATTCCATTTCCATATCGAATAATTTCGCAACATCACTATTTAGTAATTGTCATAACGTTGCAACACTGAAATTGTCAAATTTGGAATCCAATTAAAATTCCGAGTATAGAATGTTAATACCTTATTCTTCTTATCGGGTTTAGCGTCATCCTTGCTGGCCGTGTTATCGAGCGAGAAAGAGACAGCCTGAGTCTTGCGCGCTCGCTCTGCGTCGCTGTGAGGCGGGGCCGAAAGGGGCGGCTCCCCGCGCGCCAGGCACACTGGCGGCACCCACTCAGCCGACAACACTATGTCCGCGTCACTGTACACCTATGTACACAGGAACTCTTATTAATCATCATTTATATGAGACCATTGTTCTTACAAGTCCTCAAGTCATTATAATATAAATAAACGAGAAAGGACGATATACATAACACATCCCAATAACCATAAGAGGAAGTGCTGAAATGAAACGAGTGTAAGTAGGTGAAGAATTAAGATAAGACCCTCAATCCATTTTATAGAGAACTATCGCCATAGACACGTATAGTATCGAGAGTTTAGACGTCACGTAGGCACAAGTATGACGTCATCGCCTCTCACCTCATCGCACGATGAGTACACGGAATCAGAGCGAGCGTCTGCGTTCTTATGCAGTACTAGGAAACACTGCAGCGCATGCGCAGCGTCCCGGTGCCAGTCCCTATCGATCTCCAGTTCCTTCGACTCGTAAATTGTATCTATCTCATGATAATATTCATCGCAATCTATGAGGGAGCCCTAAAACATGGTTAGCGTTAATGTGGTGTTAATGTTGCTGGGAATAAAATTATGTTAGTAGATGTTAGTCAAATGTGGGTTTATATGAATGAAATATAATTTATTGAACAGAATCGATTGCACAAAAAGTTGTTTTGAAAATATTGTTCATGAAAAATTCCCGCTGGTGCCATGTAGGTGTCAAAATGAAAGCTAATGATAATAATAATTATTATTATTTCTAGTCTTTATCAATCATGGGAAATAGAGACTTTAATATAAATGAAATGGGACACCAATCGGCTTATTATTATTATTTCTGTCTGTGAAATCCACCACTAACCCTTCTTAACTTCTAAATGATGTAACAGACATTTTATGCGACTATTTCGTAGTGAAATACTAACTTTCTTCGAGTTGGCGGGTGTGACATGCAGCAATGGGTCTCGTATGTCGATGCCGGAATCGTGATAGGACAGTTTGACGAGGTGCTGGGCGTCGTGGTCGGGTGCTTCCCCAGCGTCCCCTGCGTCGGAGCCCTCGGCCACGGCGATGCTATCGGCCGCCTCTGGCTCGGGGCCAGTGGTCTCTTCCTTACCAGCATCCGCGGTTGATGATATCTGTAGACATAATTCAACATTTAAAACAATGGGCGGTGGTAGTTTTTGATTTTACTATAAATTTGAAATTTTAGTTTTGAAACAAAGACAGTTTCGTAAGTAAGTAGCTGATACAGATCTTAATTCTGCTTTCTTTTTTTTTTCTTTTCCTCAAATAATATCTTCTGATTAATTTCGTTGCGGGATCAAAGACAGTCAGTCATTCATGTCTCTGAGACGCACCGGACTTCAGTATTCCGATATCATCTACTGTAGAACCTGGCTTACAGGTGTTGCAGCACTTAAGCCAGGTCGCGGCGCAATTTTCTCATTAAAAAATAATACAGTTCTTAAGAAATTTAAACTATATCTATAAATCTTATTATATCTCACCTCACTTCCTTGATCAATGGACATTCTGTCTTTGCTCGGAATAGCCCAATGTTGGTCCAGTAGGGATTTTCGCCTGTCCTCAGTCGACTGTTGCTTAAAAGAAAAATATTAAATTATTATTAACTCTGCATTATCATTATTCAGACAGTAAATAATTTTCTCTATAATATCACGCTTTTTATTTACTCAAGCAGTAGAGTAGCTAAGCAATTGTAGATATTAAATGTAAAAACTACTTTCATCTTTAACAATATCTGCTTGCGGTTGCGGAGTAGTTGCCAACATGCACCCATGGGTACCCGCACCAACAGAGGAGTTACGAGTGCGTTGCCGACCTTTTGGGCATTAGGAATTGGGAGGAGAAGTATTGGGCCTCCGGTATCCTCACTCACGAGAATTCAATAATACTTTAGGAATACAACTACTATTGTTATAAGGATAGATGTTTAAGTATGATGTGACGTGTGTACCTGCAGCGCTGTGGGCGTGACGAGCTCCCTGTCGAAGGCCTTGGGGAAGGCGGCGCCCCCGCGGTCCTCGGCCTCGTCGCCGGGCCGCGCGTCCGCCGCGGGCTCGCCGTCCGCGCTCTCACCCGTCGCCGCCTGCAGCTCGGGAAATGTTTCATCCTGGAATGTGCATCATCGATTACATTATTTTAGAGACAAGTCTATATTTCGGATCTTTTAAAAAATCTGTAATCTATTGACAATAAACGCTGTGCTATTGTTTTTTTAACTTTGCCCCACACACGGTTTTTCACCAGTATTATAGTGTGTTTACATACAATTTCACATTGTACCGTAACAAGATTTGTGGATCACACAAAAAGTTGTTGCGTTTCCGCGAGAATCGATCGCGCGACACGTTGCGCGGGAGTCAGTTGCAGTCCGCTATTGTTATTAGTATTTGTCAATATTGGTGATATCTTACTTTGACTAGAAGTGAGTCCTTTCCTGGTGACAGTTCCGTCTTATTCATGTAGTATATCTCAGCTTGCTCAGCTCTGAAAAAAATAAAAAAAATCTTTACAACAGCACATTTATAACGATTACAGCGAAGCCAACCGTGAAAATTGTGCAAATCTGTTAATTACTTTTGTGATATTTGTAACCTCGGACCGCGACGAACTAATTATAAACATCAAGGAAAATTTCATTTCATTTACAAAATACGTATATTTAAAATAATTTTATAGGCAAAATGACATTTCGCGAGCATATACCTTAATGAGGTAAAATGTAGGTATCCAATCAAATGTTAAATATAAAAATAAATTATTATTGTTTGCTATGGTTACGCAAATAGCACCTACACACAACAGGAAAATAACAATTTATATTTACAGTTTTATCGAGACTATAAAATGTACTATTCTATAAATATGTAAGGTTAGTTATACAAACAGGTTAGAATGAAAAGAGACATAGATATATAAATATAGGTATTAAGTATGGTCTGGAATAATACAAGGGATATACATAGTTAACCTCAGCAATGAAAGCGAAACTGGTAGAAACTAGTTTACCGTATAATATAGCTATGTAGAGTTATATATTTGTATAATATATGCATTTTAAACTATTGTTGTACTTACTTGTGCGTGTTATGGTCGGGTCCGTGCGTGCGCATGTGCGCGATGTCGTAGAAGATGGCGGCGTTGACGACGTACTCCATAGGGGCGATGACTCCGTACGACTCGGGCCCGTGCTCCATCACTAGCGTGTCCGACACGTTGGGGTCGAACATCACCGCGTTAGGCGTTACCAGCAGTACTCCCGAAACAACGCCCTGATATTTAAAGAAAATATTAATTAATTAACGTGCACTCGAGTATGTTCTAAATCCACGACAACCAATTAAAGAACGGACAGTAGACGTACAACTATTTAAATATTCGGTACCCTAAAACCTAATTGCCATGTTGTATTAAGCTTCCAAAATTTTGAGACAAGACTTCCAAGGACAGTCTTAACTCAATAGTACCTAGGTTGCCAAATAGCACTCAGTTTAACGAACCTAGAGGTCATGTTCCTGCAACACGATATAACCCACAATTACACAATAAAGGAATAGAAGCAGCGATCTATTCATATGTACATCTAGGACAGTCGTCACGAGTGATTGAAGAAACGGAAATCAGACAATAGGATAAAGAAAATAAGGATTCTATTCAAATAACCGTCTCATTGTGGTCTTTTTCTTTACAGTCTTGACGTATGTATATCTCAAACTAGATCTCAACTGATAGATGTCGGTCGAAGATTGTTTTATGATACAATTTTATAAACCATATTTGAATGTTCTAATTACTGCTGAAATTAACAATGAGGCTCATGAACCCCTGGTAACGAAGGACTAATTGTTTTGGCACGAGTTCTGTTACACAACTGTATATACTATTGACGAGAATACTTGCAGCTTCAACTGCATAAATATACTTGACCGACATAGTCTTACAAGTGTAAATGAGGCAAGATATTGTTTGTTGTAACTAGTTTACGAGCACTGTATTGTTTATTAAATAAAAAAACAAAGATATTAACAAGTACCTAGCACGCATAGGAAATATTTAAAGATAAGACTGGCGTGAAGTTGTAAAGTTTGCTTCGTAAGGCACGATTATATACCTACAAATATTTGTGATTCCTGTCATGATAGGAATTAAAGAACATTGTTTACATACATTACTTTCGCATACCAATATGTGTACTATTATAACCATTTTAATAGCCTTATCGACGCGACTCTATATAAATGATAAAGTTAACGCGTTTTATAAAAATAGTTTGTGAACAATATGCATACAAACAAATCAATAAGGTACCAAGGGAGATGAAAGTGTGTGTTTAAAATTTCACAATGATTTATAAATATGTTTGCTCAACAAAGAGTGGATTGGTTGTCACTGATATAAACGCTATTTAAAGCCAATCAGTTATAAAAATAGAGATAATAAACTATATATTTTATTGAACAGTTCTTCAACAAGAGAAATAAGAATAGCATAGAAATTTCTCTACGGACCTGTCCATCGGTGATGTGCCTCACGTTGATCTTGAGGAAGCGCTGGGGCGCGCAGCTGCTGGTGGGAGCCTCAGGGGACCCTGGCCGCAAGCTTTCCAGAATCTCTGTAATCACATTACAAACAATTACTATTAAATATTTTACGGAAAAGGAAAGAAAAGAAGGAGCATTGTTTTCTTTTACTTCAGAGCTTACTAACAATGCGATGGCAGCCATCTTTCTCTTACAAAACGAAGCTTTTCAATTTAATTCCGAACAAAATCGTAATAGTGTAGCGTTTCATGAACAGAGTGTAATTGTTTGAACATCAGGTATCGCGTGACCGCTACAGCACAGCTGTCAGTGGAATCGAAAGATCCAGTCGTGTGACGCACGGTTGCAGAATTATCCACGTTGTTCGAAACATCAAACAACTGCTTAGACTAGACAATAGTTATTATTGTTCGTTTGTTAATTAAATGGTCATTTATAATACAAACAAATAATTAACGAATAGGTAACTAGTTATGAGGTTTTTCAACTCACATAGGTAATTTGCGATTCATGTTTCGCATTTTATTACGGTCAACCATGAGAAGGTTAACAATAAGCGTGCCACGTACGAGGCTAATTTTCTCATTTTCTATATTATTTGATGAGAAAAGTAATTAGGACACGAGTTTAGTTTGCGAGGTAAATCATCTGTCATGGCCATGCCTCCGGAGTCCGGAGCATTTATCTTTTCATCATCGCTCATCGAGACTGACAGTGACAGACCGCCTGCATTGAATACATAACCTATATAGATTATCCATGTTTATGTTACTTATTGAATGCTTGATTCCAACACAGATTTACCTTATTCATGTTTAACGAACTTAATTAACTTTTACATTCATTGTTGTGGTAAATAAACCACAAGTTCATTGTGGAATATTTTTAATGTTGTTGATAAACATCATTGAGGTGTGAATGCATCTAAACTGCTTTCCTGGTAGTAAATGTGCTATCGCGCTTTGTTGCTATATAAACTTTATTACTTCAATTTTTTAATACTGGAGTTTGCATTTAAATTACTGTAATTTACTACGTTTTTTTATAAATCATCCTTCACGGATTTGTTTAGGTTAGAGGAAAAATACTTAATACCTCATAGTTTTTTCAGCTCTCTATTTTGTTTTATTGTATTCCTTAAAGTTACTTTATAATATCAGCAATATTGAATGCATAGTCCGTGCCGTATTTGCGCTATGTTGTGCGTCGTTAAAAATATTGCAAACACTTGTTAGCTCTCGATAACGGGCCGAGTTTAGATGATTTGATAAGGGATTGGCACTAGTTGCTAGTTTCATAATTCATTCAGCGCTATACCTACTATTGCACCTACTGGCATACATATAAATATACTTATTGGAATAATGTGCTCATTTGAATTGTGTCCTCATTAATTTCATTGTTTTCATACCTTTTTCTTGCGCGGGCTCGCTCGGTGGCCCCTGTGTTGACTCAGATGTGTTATCACCGCTCTCTGACGGCCCATCAGAGTCTTTATCGCCATCTGGAAATCGACACAGCACTTGTTATTTACACCTGTTTTGTTTACACGAACACGCGAGCCGGCCATGGTGCCGGCTAGATGTGGTGACGTCTAACGACAGTAAAATATAAGTATTGCAATAAAGTAACACGAAAACACACCGTGATACCACCGCTTCAGAAACTCAAAACTGAACATTGTCGAACTGAAACGCCACTAGGTCCATATCTGCACATTTATCGGTTGTGATAAACCGAACCCATTATCTTGGCGACTCCTGCACAAGCCGGCAGCCGGAATGGTTGGATGAATTGATTCCAATGTGGCGTAATTACAAATGTAGGACGAAACGTAATTTAGTGACAAATTAAAATAGAATGAATGAGCGCAAGGCGTTCGCTCGGCGTGGCGGCCGCGTCTGTACTCCGGCGCGGCCAATGTTGTAACATTTGTTTGCCGTGCAAATAGGAGAAAAATTTGTTCCATGTCTACGTCACGCATGAATGAATAACACCAAGGCTGAATGTTATTGTTTTGTTTCATGCTTTGACAATGCAACGTCTTGCCACTTTGTGCGTGCACTCGATGCGGTTTTCTTCAATTATTTATTGACTCATACTAAACACACATTATGTTATCAACCAATTAAAAGGTACATAAACAACTTTGTATCGGTGCACAATAACCATGTGGTCCGCTGTAATGTAGAAATGGCCATCGATTGTTCGCGCTGGTGACCAACAATAGAAATATGACGAGCGTGGAAAATGTAAGTTACAGACGTCGTCATGAGATAATTGAAATAAATGGGTACTTGTGTCTATGTATTCAGAAGTATTACATAAAGAAAGAAACATTGGAAACTGAAAACATGCATTTTATCTACAGTAGAACTAATAATGCATTGTGGAGGCAAAAAATTAAGCTTTTGATAATATGACAAAAATTTTACTGAGTAAAACTTTTATTGGTCTATAATATAATAATGAATACTAAAGTGTGTTGGTAGGTTCATAACACAAAAACGCCTGGACCACTTTAGCCATTTCTTATTTTGTTGAGTTCGTAATTGTCAGGGTAAGTTCTTATGACAGATCACTTTAGAAAAGTAGAGTGGAAAATCGGAAAATTGCAACCGATTTGATACCCGAGCAGGGACGGGTGTCTAGTTAATTATAAACTACAACACGAACTCTAAAATTGTAGCAATTATTAAATTTGTATTCAATTACTAACAAAAATAAAAATTCAAACTGACTAAATGTTGATAAAATAAATTTACTTCAAACAACAAGCAAGCCGTTGGTACTACTTACGATCGAAATTAATTTGCACTGAATCACAGAATAATTCGTTAACCATCATTAGCAAATATATTGGAAGGGAATATTTATAGTTATAAAATCCCACTTAACATGAATAGAGGTTCATGACTGAATGGTACTAATAATAAGGTACTTTCTGATTGTATAGTTGCCACATAACTTTAGTTGAAGGTCGAATTATGTAACAGAACTAGTATTTCGCGACTACGAAACGATTGGTTGCTATTTGCATTGATCAGATTAGAACTGCATCATTCAGAGATCTCTGTGTAATCTGTCAATGGCAACTTTCATTGCGTGTATGTAAGTATTCACGTGTTTGTAATGAATGGAGGAAACTTTTCTTTATGGAAGAATTTATGGTATTATTTTACGTTGTAAATATCTAGCAAACTATACTAATATTATAAAGAGGTAATATTTGTATGTAGGTGTAATCTTTGGAACCGCTGATCGGTCAGATTTCCAAACTTCTTTCACTGATAGATAGCAACAATGTTCCTGAGTGCTATGGGCTATAAAACATCACGCTACGTCCAATAGGAGCAGAGTAACAGGTGAAACCGCGCGGCAATAGCTAGTACTTGGATATTTTTAAATGTCGCCGTCTATCCTAAGAAGGTTGCCATATTATTTAAAAAAAAAAGAAATCGGATGCCCATAATTTGTACCACAATCTTCAGCTTTCTTAGTAGACATTCAATGTAAACTGTTATATTATTATAGGTACTACGACATGGGAGATAAATCGAATTTAAAATGTGAATTTTATTTTACAACTACTTTTCTTGGAAACCAATGAAACCTTTTTCAGCGTCGGTAAACATACAACACATAAAAAAAAACAAACTAGAAACTACATCTTGGAAATTTTTATTGGTTTATAATATTTAATTCCAACAAAAATATTTTGTTAATTTCGTGTTGGCTAAACATCAAGTATTTTGGTTTCCTAGTATTAATGGTAGGTAAGTAATGATTCAGTTGTGTTAAAAAATTAATTCGTAGACTACAAAAAATAATCGTAGCCAATGTAAACAAAGATAACCTTTGTGGTGACCTCACTACACGCTGAGAAATTCTTTTTTTTTTATTCTGTGCTTTCATTATATTAACTCTATAGATACCTATAGACTAAGTATAATTTTATTCACTAAATTATTTGAATTACGAACATGTTCCATTATTTTGATTGTAAAGCCATTCAAATAACGGAGCGTCTATACATTTGATTCACTTTACTAAAACAAATATTAGTCACAATCATAATAATGATACCAACGCTACGTGTAATTGCAACTTAGCATGAACTGTCTAGTTTTAATTACTTTATAATGCGTTAATTTTGTTTAGAAGGCACAATATAATTACTTGAGAGACACGTCAGCGCTAATTATCTATCTATACAACTTTATTAAGGGTTCGTGAATCGTGTGAATGGGTTTACGAACAAAACCCCACTTTTACCAACATAAACCTGCCTACGGATATCTTTAGAAAAGTTTAATAATAGAACTTGGAAAACTCTTTCAAATGGAAAGTTCGCTAAAGTTAACACAAGTAACGCCATTATTTACGTCTACTTATAAATATATACAGCGGCCTTTTATTTTAATACCTCGAAGCAGCTATTTTCCACAGAATATTTTATTACTAAATTTACAGAATAAGTTTCTAATAAAATAATATTTTACCTAAAATTACCTTTGCTAGGATACAATGTGTATATATTATTATATTAATTCAATTTAAATTTTCTCCAGAGGAATCAAAAACGGTGTTTCATATCATATAGACTATTTTAAGACCTACTTTCGTATTCTCTTATGTATGGTTTATATATATATTAACTTAATATAAAGCTGCAGTTACACGTATTTACATACCTGTGTAGCTCAGTATCTATACTTAAATATTACTTCAATATTATAAAACTGAAGAGTTTGTTGTTTGATCACGCTGCTAATCTCCGAAACTACTGGTTCGAATCCAACAATTCTTTTTGTGTTTCTTAGATCATATATCAAGGAAGGCTATAAAATATCACGCTATGATCTGTAGGAGCAGAGTATCGGGCGAAAAGGCGTGAGACTAGTTAGTTTCATATAAAGAAGTAACCTTAACTTTGTCTCTAAGAAAAGAAAGCCTATCTCACCTTTCCGTTTGTCGGGAACCAGGAGCGTCTGTCCCGGGAAGATGAACTGCGTTGCGAGCCTGTTCAGCTTAGTCAGCTCCGAGGGGGTGGTGTCGAACCTCGCCGCTAGCGATGTCAGGGTATCACGGTCGCGTACCTGTATAAGTAAATAAAAAAATACAAATATTAATGTTACAATTTTTAATAACATATTGGCGTTTGATTGGGATGAAAATTATTCAAATATTCAGTTTGAAACAATGCAAAGTCTAATATACCTAATATAATCCCAGTGAATGGTAATAGGCTTATTTTCTACTACAAGTTTAGTCATGACTAACAAAAGTATGGACACCTGATTATAATAATAATATGTAACATAAGTCTTACAATGTCAATAACATACGAAAAGATATTTTTTTCCTGTTATCGCCAAAGTAAGTTGGAGACTATAAAATATCGTAACATTAATAAACGAAGTCTCCTTAAAATATTGCGTAAAATGTATTTAATTAAATAATATTATAGTCTATTGTATTGCACTGGTGCTTACTTCATGACCACAATACATCCATTTTAGCAACAATAACAACCTACATGGTGTGTCGTAAACTTATTTACAAGTCTATGTTTTCCACAACAACAAACTATATTTCAGATTCATTCATCATATAACTATATTTCTCATTGTATACATAAATACTATGTACCTTAAAGGCTCAACATAAAATGAATTAAGTAAGTATGCATATACTTTTAATATTATCATACGGATCATTTTAATGAATAATAAATACCATCCATTTAAATGAATATGGTATTAAATAAAATTTAAATTAATTAACACTTCACACGAGAACACTGGAATCGTAATTGAAGCTTAACTCTATAGTGTATTTATTTAATGATAAAATTAATTACCGTGTAAGTCATCGTTTTAATCGGTGGAGGTGGGGGTAGCCTCTTGGCGTGCTCGTCTTCATCTAGAACAAATGAAAACATAGAATAAATACATAATGTACTAGGTCACAGTATATAACGAACATCTGACCGCGTCGTAAAAACGCCTTACAAAATAATAAAAGCGAATACACAAAACGCAACTTGCTCCGCGCGCAATAATCGGCGTTGTAGTCAACCGTAATTCACGTAAAATGATTTATGGTAAACGTTTCGATAACAATGAGGTTTCAACCTTTGCGAAAAATATAGAACTGGCCAATGTATCACGTGCTACGTTAGCGCCCTTGATAGAGTGAACCTTTTGATCGACGTGCCGCCTACAAAATGAATATTTCTAATGCGATAGATTCATAAATCAAACGAAGGTTATCAAATAAAAATATGACCTGGAAAAATATAGATGAAAAAAATATTTGCAGTTGAAACAAATAACAAATCTCTTGTCAGCGTATGGCAGCCCTTTAATCAATCATCGACATGAATGCGAACGCGTATTCATAAACCGAATAAGATACACCATGATAATTAAACCGTTGATTATCATAAATCAACTGTCAAAAAATGATATGCTATGCTAAAATCCACGGGCATTCATCAGAATTTTAATAAGCTTATTTAGTTCATACCAAATGTTAAATATTATAGTCGTTGGCATATAAAATGATTACACATAAAGATTTATCTCTAGTTACGAAACCATAAATCAACATGATGATAGAATAAAAACGTAGCAATAGAAACATAAACAGAGGGTGCAGTGTTTTTAGCAGAATTTACTGGATTAATTATGTGTTTTAAAAGCCGGATGTTGCTTTATAGTCGAGCTGTTTATTTTCAAAATATAATCTCGATGCCAAGGAATGATCGTGACAAGCAGGTTGACGGACGTGACGAAGAGGAAATCTTTCTTAAACACGGACTACGTCCTTCAGTACATGTGTACCTACGTATGCAGATGAGCCTGTCATACTAGTTAATATAATAACAAATACTAAATAAACCTGACAATGTTTCTAGCTTGTCATAACGGTCAGAATAAAGTATTCGTAACATTTATTTAATTCAAAAGCTTTTTATGATTTACTGCTTATATTGAATATTAGGACCTATAAATAGATTTATTGTCCTGCAACCATTTTAATCGCCTTATTATGACGTTTAAGACTCTGGCTGTCCGTTTAAAGAACGTGAATTAAATACTCGGAGGTCACAGCCTCAGCTTAGTACAACTTTAGTCCGTAGGTCGATTAACCAGAGCGATAACTGCGGCAAGTTGCTTGCTTACGAATATTTAGCATTCCTTACTGTCGTTAATGTCAATGGGCCTCGCATTAAAATATGAATAAGTATCTGTTATTACTTGTTTTCTTATTTTCGCAGCGCTTACTTTGCTATATAAGTAAGTACATTTAGTAAATTGAGGGCTGATTTTTCAATGGTTAGATGATAGTCACCTGGGGAATAATTATTATGCTGTCGCGTCAGAATGCTTGAATAAGACAGTGACAGCAACAATTTGACCCCTCGATAACATTTATGACTATTGAAAAATCAGCCCTTAATGGAATCGTTTACTTCATATACCGGGGCCCGTTTTTGTGCATAGAATAAACAACCGAATAGGTACGTAAGTATGTCAAAGAATCCGATAGCAGCGACATTCATGTATCTAATTCAAGATATGCGTTGAAAACATTAACAGATCAACACAAAGAAAAATACTCATAAGCTTTTAAAAATAGACTCACTCTACAACTAATTATTTTGATAGTGGGCCTTTGAACCTGTACCAAACTTATTTTGTACAGACCGACATAATCGTCAGCTTTGTAATGTGGGTTAATGTAAGGGCTTTAAGTTTAAACATGGTTTTAATTTCGTCACAACACGACAATTAAAGTTGTTAAGTTAGGGTTGCGCAACGAATGGCTCATAAAACCGTCCCAAGTCGTCACACGACTGGACGAACGTTTTACATGTTTGTTTCAACTTGTATTACAAATCGTGGGAATACGTGAACTTGAATTGATAATTATTATTTAATTAACAGACAATCAAACAGTTTTCCTAAGAGGCTCTAAAGGCAATAACTAGTATTATAGTCACTGTCATTATCGTGTTAAGGAAAAGTAATTATGTTCAATTAAATGCCTACAAATACTGCGGAATATATTTATCCATGATTTCATTTGTACAGAAATAAGTGTACATTTGATTAATCAACGTAGTTAATCTTATGATGTTTACAGCGTAATAACATCTTTCGGGAATGTGTTGTTTGACTCATGCCGAAATCATTACAGTATATGAGGACATATTCTGTTATTTCTGACTTGATGTGGATGAAAGAAAAGAAAGAAAGTTTTATTCACCTCTGTGCACGGCGTCAAATCTGCCTTCAACCTTCGAGCGCAGCGCCTCCAAATCGAAGGGCGGCGAGAAGCCATGGTCAACCGAACGGCTTTTCGACCTGTAACACAAGAAATGTATATCAGTATAGACGCCTTAGATGCAATAAGAGCCTAAGGAACCTGATTTTCTTTTTAAATCTTGCCTGAACATTTCGAGGATGTAGAAAACGATTGTATAGATTCAGAATTCAGATATAGAATTGAGAAAGTCAGTGTGGTTGTCAACTCCGTGTGCTGGCGAAGCATGCGGCTACAATGTTCGTAAACACACCGGGTCAACGTACGTGTAATTGTCCACACTCCCAAAAGCTGTCGTCCCAAATAACTGTCATGAGACTGATACAAATAGAATGAGTTGAGGCCTGCCCGACTCACCTAAATACACCGATGAGGGATTGGCCAAATGCATATTATACTTACAATCTATATGCAAAACAACATATTGCGGTATTCATGACGTCATAATAATATTTTTATTATATCTATATGTTCAGGTGTTCAAAACGTGAATAGACTGTATTGAACGACAATAATTAAATTACACAGGAAATTGTATCTACAAATATTATATTCTGTCTGAGTAAACACCGATAATTTTCTAAGAAATAAAAACAGCTATTGAATTTCTTCTTATAGATATAGTATTTGAAAAATAATTCGTTTAAGCGTCACGTATACATTACACTTTTCAATTTGGACATAATTTCCTAATATATCATAATCTGTATGGTACCTTTTAAAGGAAGTATTACTAATATTGCTCTGTATAGCCTGAGGCGGACAAATAAATGAATTTCTTTGGCACTGGCTGCCACTTCGTTTCTGAATTAATTATTAAAGGTCAATCTCGTATCTCTACTGAAGGCCAATTACTCGATATTAATTCAGTATATGGTGTGAGTCATAAATAATAACGAGATAGTCTTTGTAGTGCACTGCTTCAATGAATATCGATGGGATTACATCGGATTACATAAATTGGTCAATGTTTATTACGCCCGATAGGGCAATTTTCTGATGTGTACTCGTCAAATATTGCATGTCCACAGACAACTTTTTTGCTTATATTCTTTTTGCTGTTTGATATAAACAAATCTATGATATTTACTTAACTGTAGTTTATTTGACTAAATCATTTATTTTAGGCACTTCTAATTTCATTGATTATTTCATTTTATTTGAATGGTTGAGGTTATGAATTTAAACAACATATATTCATGTGAAGTTTTTATCAATGGTAACTTAAATGCATATGTGCATCCCTTTGTAATGTGACACAAAACAAAAAAAACATCGAGCAACATAACAGTAATACATTCAGGTATTGATGTGGTGCCCAAATCTATCGGCAAGTTCATAAGATAGTATCGTAGTCGTCGTGTTTTATTTAATCGAATTATTGATAAAACATTTAATAGATGATAAAGATAAGACTGTAACAAAGCGTCATTCAACGTGATTTATTTTATGGACCTGCCAATCGATGTGTGCGCGCTAATGTTGTAATGTGCAAAAACGTGAGTACCTCTTAAAAGACTGGTCGATGCTTTCTGCACTCCTGGACAGCTGTTGCGAAGCTCGCCTAGACCTGCATGCAACAGAGACCACGCTAGACACAGGCATACGCATGCAAAATTAAAACAATCTAGACAACTCTTATACAGCGCTTGGTTGAGTTGAGATCTAATGTGAAAATATTTTCGATCTGTACAAAAGAATCAACTATAATAATAGAGTTGTCTGGACCTTAAAAAATGATAAATTTCCACTCTGATACATCAAAAGAAAACTTCGAAATGTTTAAGTACAGTGCGAATTTTACCGTTCTAAATATAAATGCACATCAGAGTGGAAACTTACATAAAATTAACAGTGCGGTTGGCAAACAAAATATTTACGTAAAAATTTTATACAGCAGCAAATAAAAAGTAAACCATAAAAATGCCACATCGATCCATGCGATGGGTCGTTTTGCGAATCATGCAATGTGTAAATAATGACACGTTGTGAATAATGTATGTGGCGTTATGAATATTCGTGCGGACAGCTTTTTTTATTCAAATAATTGTGTGACTTTAATTACAACTGGAAATCACTTGACCTCATAACTTTGGAAGATATATAGTCAGATGACAACACGTCTCGACGGCAACCATACTTGCAAGGTAACGATGAATTCCAAAACAATAGTCGCGTTTATAAAAACAATAATAGTAAAATATCGGCAATATGACATCACTATCCGGTAAGCGAGAATCCGGAAGTATAGAATATCGAACATCTTTAGCAGAAGTCTTTAATTTAAAACCTTACAAAACTTTGTTTCTACGCAATTACAGGGAAAGGCTTGATATAAATTAATTGGAGTCCTAAAGGCTGGAACGTCACCTTTCGTATGATCGATACTCAAGGTTTAGTAGTATAAGTAAATGCTTTATACATTACATGTTCCTAAATTGTTATACATATTTAATTTGATAACTAGTTCGAAACTTCCTTCATAAAATTTCAGTCTAATGATTGGGCTTTCTCAAAAATAAATTAATGGATGGGACTTTTGGAGGAAAAAATATTAAGTACATACTTATACCTTTCCACAAAATATTCAATTTCAAATCAGCAGAATATAGTCAAAGACGAAAATATTTCATTGGAATCAAGGCTTTTGGGTTATTATTCAACGTTGGAGCCATAGTTGAAGCTTTCATTATACTGGATTTTACTATATATCTTTCACTTTAGGTACAGATCTAGTGCGTTTTGCGTATATCATGGGTAACTTAACAAATTATTATTTTAACTTTATCTACTTAAATTACTATACATACTTCCCTATTATGAAAACACAAATGATAGTGTGACTAAAATAACACAAACAACAATCCACTCCTGTCTAATTACGAACAAGCTACTTACAAACAATAATTAGTGTTAATTTAAAGAAGTCGTCTAAGTTCAACCTTATATAAACGCAATGCAAGCACAGCGAGGCCCCGCCTGTCGGCGCGCGGCGTCGCCCGGGACTTCGCCAGGGTGGTTCTATACTACAGCCGCTTATAAATGAGCTCCTTTCGTTTCGTTTCTCCTTGCTCGTGTTTGCGGCCATCGAACAATGTAGTGGTTCATCTTACATTGGCTGTTTCTCGAGCCGTGACAGCGAAACGAATGCGGGGAGTGAGCGCCGCCCTTGACACTGGGTGGGCGCCAAGCAACTCGCATATTTACTAACATCCGCGTCTGCCCGTCAACTTTTTCGCTGAACTATTGCTGTGCTATTTTCATAAGTAATGCTCATGGCACGCAATAATTTATTAAATTCTTTTCTAGTACAAGGGGTCATTAATTTTCGTGTTACAAACCTGCAATTAATCTTAGGTGACCCCGTTCGCGACAAGATAATTACGAATTTAATCTGCTCTTTTACATTCATATTATTTTGTTTTTAAATATAACTTTTATTTACATACTATTTATACATATAGAAAGAAGTGAGTGAGCCAAATGTTTACAAAAGTATACGTAACATTTGTTTGTAGTGATTGTAATAGTGCGTAATATAATGTTTTGGTCGCTTCATGACAGGATGGTCACATGGGGTGCCAAGTACAGGCAGTAAGCAGAGTTTGTAACAAGATCTACATCATCGGATACTGTGACAACCTTTTATGTAGAAGCCTTCGATGTGTGTAGCTATGTGTTGATTATATTACACAAATCCTTGTTATTTATTATGCAAAGTGGGAATATTTTACTTTACTTAACGATTATTGCTTTTCCTTACGACCTAACACTATATACATGAGACATTAATGGAAAGAAGGCGCAGATGATATTGATGGAAAGTTTCCGATTCGTCTGGGTCGAGCAACGCTATTTCAGATTTATACTAAATTAAAATTAACCCATGACATAAATAAACTTTACGATAACTTTTTATGAAATGAGTCACAGAATCTTGACTGAATTCTCATTGTAGGTTTTTTTTACAAAGGATTCGATTCGCGATTACAAGTAACAAGAGTACGCTACGTTGTGTACCTACGTGTCAACAACTCCTCAAGCAAGACCCGTCCAACTTAAAACTAACAGATAGTTAAACATGATCCCTCTATTGCTGATCAAATCATTTTCCAATGTGTCCACAAGCTGACTCATTTATTTCCATTATTATTTTTTACAAGAAACTTTTATTTTGCCATGTCATGTCATCGTCGTTGGCTTTACAGAGAAACCTTAGATCATGCATCCTATCTATTTCACAGCCCTCTATGTAATATTTAATTTGTTAAAATCAAGGCGGAACTTTACAACTTAATAGCCGGAAATAATTATAATTTTGATACAGTAAACTAGGCGCCCAATTACTATGCACAAATAAAATAAAAAAACATAATGTACCAATGTTAATCTTTCTGCCTTCAAATTAGCATTTTTAATAACAAGTAGCCGGTGATTATGATCGTACTGTATGTATTAGGCCAAAATGCAATTAATATGCAATAACAACCAGTTTGTATTACGCATTAGAATTAGAAACAGTGGTCCACGTCGCTCAATGTCTCCACGAGCGCTGCGAGATTCTATTCCTGACGTCGTCGCTTTGTATTTCAATGCAAAAAATACCATGACTAAGTTTTTTATAGCCCAAAGTAACATTTACCAATGTATAATTATATTTTCCTGTAGTTACGTTTGTGAATATGTACCTACACAAATTACGTCACCATTGTACGCACTCGGACTTTTCCTTAATGCGTCGGCGACTTTCCCCAATAAATACGGAAGTAAAAGGCACTTAAGAGTGAACTGTCGACCATCAAATACACGGTTGTTATTATCTATTGTCATAAAAGTTTACTAGCGACCAGCGAGGAAGTAGCAGTAATCTACTAACCTATTCCGTGGCGAGGTCGTTGTACTGTTACTGTGGTTTTGAAATGTGAACGAACATACGCGCGCCTGCGCACGTACCAGTCAACGAACGCACATCTCTTATTATTATTGCAAACCATTGATCAATGAATCAAATGAATAATAACATATGACAATAATATAATCATCAAACGTTTTCCTACCAATACGGATATTCAAGAAGCTTCGGACGAGTCTGTTCTTGGTAACGGATACATTTTTAAGTAAGTGTTAGTCATTGTTCAGTGAAAGTTTTATTGGCATGTAAATTTTAAGTCACGAATTTATTATATTTTGGTTGAATAAACACATTAAATGCTTAAGAAAGACATAGCATTAACTATTAATCTTGCAGATATATTGATTGTTTGGCAAGCTATATCAAATAAAGTGAGCTGAATGCTGATGCATTGTAAAATCATTTTAATGCTGAATAGCTCCCAGGTGCTGGGATTCGGTGGAAACGAAATTGAAAGTGAACGTGAAATAAGTTTTAAAAAGTTGTTATGTGGGTTGAACTGGTTTTTTTATCTTATTCAGATATTTTTATTACGAGTTATGGGTACATCTAGTTTGTAGTGGCCTAGCTGACGGTAGTACAGGTTACACAAGACATGGTTTTAGACAGTGCGGCGACAGATTTACTCCTTGTATAAATACGTCAGCGGTGGGCGTGGCATGCGCCGTTGCACAAGCCCGTCCTTGATAATACACGTGGCCACACTCACTACTCAACTTTTGAATCTCTTACATAATTATCAAGTTCACACGCACAACCAGCATTACAATGCAATATAAAAATATTAAAACTTGCAAAATATTTAGCAAAATTATAAAATTAATACCTAGATACCTATTTTTAAAGCGCCAATGGTGTTTTTAATACAATAACATTATTATAAACCATGTAAATTATTTAAACATAAATACACTTTAGGCTTTATTTTTATCTTAAAAAACAAGATACGTTATCAAACTCGTGTCTCACTATGTCATCTACAGGTGATTTCTTGATAATTTGATCCCAAATATTAAGTAGGTGAAGATATCTGTAACAGTGCTTCTGTTGGATCGTTAGATAAATTTATCTTGAAATGCCTAAACATGTATGACACAATTCGTTCTAAATTCACTGAAGCAAGAATCGCGTACAAGTGGAGTAGGCATGTTTAACCAGCAGAGTATAACGAATTATACCTACACAATTATAAAACATTAAAAGTGTGTTTGCGTTGCAGATTCGCAATATTAAATTACGTTCATTATGAAATATCATTACAATACACACAACTCGAGCACGACAAAAACTAAACAGGTTTATGTTACTTTGGCAACACCAGCTGTGGACTGCGTTCTAATCATGCTACTCGCTAAATATTACACTTAATTTAAAGTGTTTGAAAGAACAACTGAAATGAGGTGTTATGCAAGCGCTTTGTACTTTTTTTCTCCTATGACGGCCGTTATTAAACCTATGCAAACTTTAGTGGGTAAATAGAAATAAATCTTGGATACAAAAAGCAACCCACGTGTAGTGTATACCTATAGTTCTAAGTTCGCATATATCAATGTATCTTACTCGTGTATTTAAATATCAATCCTTATTAATAAAAGTCAGTATTTAATCAGCAGTCAAGTGTTTTACTCAATACAATCCTTACATGGCGACCCTGCCAGGACTGGTATTGAGGTGTCGGGTAGCCATGCCGGCATACGACGTTGGTGGTACAGACTCTCATCCTAAGTGTACGTTGCGTTATTGAACTTTCAAAATTAATATAATAAAAACCAATAAACTTTAAAATGTGCAATTCTAATACTCCAAAACGTGAAGAAGTGATTATAAATCAGAATGGCATTGGAGCTACGAATGTGGCTAGTACCGAACAGCTACAGTTTCATGTTTCTGCGATCAGCATAGTGATGATGATAATTCTGGGTTTGTTGCTGATAGTGGCAGCCTATTTTTTGTACAAATGCTATAAAAACTGCCATCACCAGTGGATCAATGACCAAATCCTACGTCAATACCTGAGGAATTCGACTTATCGGCGTAGTCGCAGGGAAACTACAGAAAGAAAACGATGTCCAGCATGCTCAAGCAGTCCCGGACAGAGGCGTTCACCTCATAAGGAAGATCTCGGTGCGTAACCCAAAGTTCGATACCAAGTGCGCGTAAAGTGAGTGCAAAGTGTGCGTAAAGTAAAATCCTAAAGCGTTGAACTATGTGTGGTAAGCGGTTTATATTGTACAACCTAATTATTAGTTATTATTACTTACGCTAGTTGCTTCACTTTCCTTAAAAATGTCAAATAATGGCACTAGAGCTCAATGATATATACGAAAAGTTGAGAAAATTAAAAGATAATTTGTTTAAGTTAAGTTTGGAAAGGAGGACACCAGAACGTTTGAAAGAAAAGTTGAATGAAGCAACTATTATATATAATGATTATTCTGTTTTACTTGTAAGCATTAGAAAGCAAATAGATAATAAGACAATTAGTGGCGAAAGTTTATCATTAGTTAAATCTCATTGTGACAAAATTGTAGAGTTAAACGCCCAAATTCAAGAGTTTTGTAGTAAGTTGTATTTACCTGTAACTAGAAGTAGTGGTGAGCAATTTGGTGAAACATCTAATCTTGAATCCAAAATGGAGTTTAATTTAAAGATAGCGTTGAGTTTGTTGCCGGTCATGAATAACGAGGAATTGACGACCCGTCAACTTATAGATGGTATCGAGTATTATAGCCCTACCCTAAAAACCGAACAGTGCAAATTAAGTTTAATTAACTTTGTCTTAAAAAGTCGTCTCTCTCAACAAGCAAAGTTAAGTCTTAAGTCTGATTATCCATCTATTGATGCATTACTGACAGATATGCGTATGATTCTTTTACCTAAAAAGAGTGCGATTGCCTTGCAAAATAAACTTCAAACTTCGCGACAAGATCAAAGGTCGATTAATGATTATGGTAAGGAGTTGACTGAGCTATTTATGGACTTGTCTATAGCGCAAGCCGAGGGCAAAACTGAAAACCTAAAGATTTTACAACCTTTAAATGAAAAACAAGCTATTAAACGTTTTGCCGACGGATTACGTAATAGACGGCTCAGTACGATAATAGCTGCACAAAAGTTTGAATCCCTAAAGGACGCGGTGCAAGCAGATATAGACGAAGAGACCATTACATTTCCGTCTCAGTCGTTCGATGTTTTAACTTTTAGGAAGCGTAATAATTATTTTCAAGGACACCATCATCGTGGAGCCAATAACCATCCTCGTCGCAACTCCGCGAATAACAACTTTAGCAGGTTTACCGGTCATCGTGGTGCGAGTTTCTACCGTGGCCGTGGCCGTGGACGTTCTTCCCAAAACTATACCCGAGGTCAGCCAAGGCAATATCGAGGTACGTACTATAATTCTTATCTTAGATATAATAACACCAGAGGTCATCAAAAGAACAGCCAACGTTCTGATGCTCATATTCATGTTCTAAAAAACGATGAACCCTCAACATCTAATTCAACCGAGGAGCAGAGCAAGTTTTTTCGTGAATAATGGGTTTGTATTTGCAAGTAACAGTAATTGTTACGTAGAATTGTACGTAGATACATCAGCATATTTATTTTTGATTGACACCGGTGCTACAATTAGCGCTATTAAATATAAACATGTAATTGAATTAAACATACCTATCCATAAAGAGAGCATTAAGATAAGCGGAATCGGAGGCACCGTAGAAGCAATCGGATATGTTTATTTAACCATGAGCAATTGTTATGATTTAGGAGGACAAACATTTAAGCAGAAGTTTTATGTTTTTAATTCTTTGCCGTGTATGGCACATGCTATTTTAGGACAAGATTTTCTGATGAAATTCAATGCTGTATTAGATTATGGCTGCAGAAGTTTAACATTAAATAATAATGATACAAATGTAATTTTGCCTTTAAAATTAAATAACACAAGAGGTTCTTATAATATAACTTTGCCACCTAGGTCCGAATCAATTCATTACATACCTACTGATATTACTGAAGAGTGTCTTGTTTGTTCGTCAGAATTACGAACAGGAATATTTATTGCCAACTTGTTAGTTAAACCCATAAATGGTGTGATACCTATTTTGATCCTAAATACAAACGAAACAGAGGCTTATATTGACACAATTGATCCAAAATTACAGAAAATTAGTGAATATAATTTGTGTACTTTTGAACAGTGTAGAAATATTAACGCAGATAGAGTTCGAAAGTTACAAAAATATGGGAATAGTAAAAAAAAAACAATTTAAATTACGAAGTCAGGACGTCTGCTTCATAAACGTGACGGCAGCTTGACATGTTGGAAACATATCGCTAATTAAATAAATCAGCTTCAATTTTACATTACTGGCACTACAGTTTCGTGGAAGCCTTACATTATTTTCAGACGGGAAGGTTTTTTCGTAAATGTGTTTGACGTATGTACCATGTAGTTTCCCACATAGAAGGTAACTCTATACACTGGCGGACGGTGTTAAATGTTAGATGCTAGTTGACCCTAATGACTGCAATGGCCTTCTGACGCGACGCGTATATGTAAGTACGAGAAACGCAACAACACCTTATTGAAAGATCGCTGCTCATATGCGAGCACTATATTTAATATTGTCATTACTTATTAGGTGCGAGCACACAATACACGATTTATATTAATATACTTCTGTCTTCTCATTCATTACATTCAAATAAATTACAACAAAGACGATCATTCATTTAACTATTCGCTACGAATTAGTTATGCTAATAAGCTCGCTATTCGTTTAATGTCGCTCTGAGAAATCATCGCCATGATTTTAACATAAGAATTCAGAAGAATGATTATAGCTGTCTATGATAAATTCTAGACGCATCCATTTAAACAATAAGTCACTAAATCGTTTGGGCCTTAACACAACAAGGCAAAGTCAGTTGTCGCCTTAAAGTTATTTCATGGTGTCTATTGTGCTTGTATTGTAAAATGTGTTCTAATTATAACGTTATTAGTGTATCCGTAAGTAACAATTTGTCCGGTCGAGAAAACGTCATACCGTCATCAACTGAATGACGCGGTCCAGCTGGGCAGTGGGCTGACGGTGCGAGTCCGGCACCGTCCGCACCGGACCTGTCAACGCCGAGGCTCTAAAGGCCGGGTTTATTTTCACTTTGTTTATGCGATGGGGATCATTAGTCGCGTTTTGTCTGCTGTCTGAGACGCAAAATACAAAATTAGCTTAACAAATGAAATGTGATATTTTCTACTTTCTCTTTAAGCATTAGTCATACGATATTCTTTTGTCGGTTCATAAAACAGTTATTTTTCGGCGTAAGTTTAATATTTGATGAAATATATAGTTTTTGCTGGTATTTAATGGTCATACGAGATGTTCGTACAAATTGATGTGTCGTGAGGTGCGCAATCGCCCATCAGACTCGTTCGTTAATTGCGGAGCTTACAATTAGTTGAGTGCCATCCGCAAACGAGCGCAATTGGCCCAATGGGGAGGAAATGGACATCCATCCTCGAACACCTATATTATACGCACATAAACACTCGCATTACATGTACACGATGTACACAACATCCTCCGCATAAACATCACGTACTCCGTTCCGTACTTCTCCTCTATTTAAATGACAAACAAACATATGAATATCGTTTTATTACTTTCCAACATTAAGTTTGTACGATAGCAATAAAACAACAATCTTTGTTTATTCATTTGAAACCAAACAAAAAAACTATTACTTGGATTTTAATATCTACAACCGTGCATTGTCTGGGTGCCAAAACATTTCGGTGTTATCATATCATTTAAATAGATTAGACATTAGACATACTATACCTAATTATCTATTGATCAAGGTCTAAATCAATTCACATGTGTGCTAATACTAATTGCTTAAATATTGATTTTAATATCTGTTACACAAATGCGAAATTACAGTTTTACTCAGTCTCAATGAAAAGCAGCGAAAAAGCTCGTGTAAATATCGATTAACAGATAAGCTATCATATGTGTATTGAAATAAAACGATTATCCGTCGTGCATGACTCATTAAAATTAATTGCATTACTTGTCGCTTGAGCCAGTCTAAAAATGGCATGTTGTAGTCCGTGCACTAAACGGTCGACGATATAATGAAAACGTGACCGACGACGACGATGGCCACTGGGATCGTTGAGAATTGATCTGCGCATCTACTGTTATTAAATACCCACAGGTTTCTGTACAACGCCAGTATCGCCATAGATACAAGATTCAGATCATACCAAACTGTCGTATTGTATGAATTATTTATCTCTTCAGTCGTACGCGCCAAATTCGTATTCTAGGAGTAAACAACAAGCACGCAGCGTATCGTTCGTGGTGCAAGTGAAAGTGTGAAAGAAAGGAAACCAATATTCGGTAACAGCAGTGTAAATGAAACGTAACGAGTACGTCAGCTCACTGGGCGCAGCCGCGAACAAGTGTTAATATGCAATGAAATAAAACACGAGTGCCACACATCTCGGCAAGCAGTGCATGAATGTGACCGTCCTTGTACAAGACAACATTGTCACCGTGCCGTGCCCGGCGACCGCACTGCGCACACATCTGGGTCAGGTCTCTTTCCGCAGTTCATTCGGAAGTGGGCATATATAGAAAACTAGCAACATTTTAATTGAACTTTAAATAATAATTAACCACTGCATTCATTGCTACTCCAGTTTAGTGTGACTCCAACTAAACTTTATTCCTACTGTACATCCTATGAACGAAACAACAAATGGTTTTTTCTCAATCTGTCTTTAGTACTTATAGTATTTCTAAACTGCGTAGCATCGCGACGGTAACCACGAACAATTGGCTAGATGAATTTCAGTGGTATTGTATTCATTGTGTTGGAACCACAAAACGTTAGGTACATTGAGAGCTTTATGTGAACGATCTAATCCTACCGCCATTTGTCTGATGACCCCGTTCGACAGAGGGCACAGGAGCGGGTTCAAAGCACATGAGCTGATACAATCGAGCGACTGACGTGAATGCCACTTACACCAGAAATATAGTAATCTGTTGCAAGCTGGTTACTCAATAGATTTCTAAATTCTAAATTGTTTAACTTATTCTCAGATTATTGAGAAAAATATTATTACTTAATCTGAACAATGAAATCCAAGCAGGCGTGTGGTGTGTATGATATCACAACAATGATGGATGTAACAGGCCTAGGTAAAAGAAATGAAATATTTATAGATTAATGTAGATAGCACATAATAATAACGTTACGATGTTTTGCCAAAAAGTACATGATGCGCAAATAGCTAGGATGTACAGATTCTGTCGGCAACAATTTCGTAGAATTGATCATTTACTACGAAGATCATTGCCAAGGAGCACGGCATTGCATGTGGACACTAAAAGCTCCTACATATTCACATTCGTCGTACAAATGCGTACGATGTGATCACGGCGTATTCTGTGCTTTATTACAAACAAAATATATCCTTAGCCTCCCCTGAAGGTTCTTATGAAAATTTTCTTTAATAAGAACCTACAGTAGAACCTAATTTAGATTAGTTTTATACTTAGTATAAAAACAATTATCGGAACCGGTTCAGCTGCTCACACATGATGCCATGACCAAGGGAAATTGTAATTCATAAATTAATATTTATAATTATACATTTAAGAATTAGACATACGAAACATTTTTCTTCCCGAATAAACCTAAGATTTTTTTATATCTATTTTACTGATTTTACGGCGCACCGTAAAATTTGGCAAGAAACCTACAAAAAAGTATTCGTTTCTTTTTTTAAACAGCATTCGTAATACTTACGATACAAAACGAAAATTAAGTCACCAAAGTCAAGAAGCTATTTACTTGTATTGTAAAATGAGCAGAGCAGCTTCTCGCACGAATATAATCATGAGATCCAAGCAAAATGAATACGAGTGGATATAAGGAACGGCGCAAATGAAAATCTCTGAAACCAATTAAGCGAAGAAAATTTTGGCGTGTGCATATAGCAAAGGATATTTCTGTATTGCTTAATAGCTTTTGTTCCTGTGGATCGTGGTCTCATATTTTCGTGACCCCAAGAGACCGATCGCTTCCCGACCCCGACAGCGACCTATGAATACAGCGAAGGAAATTTTCAGTCAGAATTTAACTAAACTTTTGAGGGATATTTATCAGAAATTAAAGCAAACAAGTTTGGTAAAAGAAAGCTAATTGCATGAGTAACATTTAAAATTTTAAATTACAGTAAAAGGAAGGTTATTCATACTATATTAAGCTGAAAGTCAGCATTTTCAGTATGAAGTTACAGATCGCTTCAGAACGCCCACTCTTCAGAGTTCCCTCAGAAAGTGGCTCAATAAAATCCCACGCAGAAAATCTTATTCCCAGCAACAAGAGCTGGATATTGTATTTTAGCTCCTTCAAATATTATGTCATCCGCTGTTGACTTTCCGACGGTATAATGTCTTCTAAAAATTTGAAAAGACGAGGAGGTTTAGTAATGATTTAGTTCGTTAGGATAATTTTACGTGACATTACGTATGATCTAGTATTCCGTCGCTCTCGTCAATTTGAAAACAAGTGCGCTATACGTGTTTACTGGCTGGTCATAAAATTAAACGGAACTCATTACAATTTTCTTTATTTTTATCGCCAAAGTCATTTGTCCGTGTTAAAATGTGCACAAAAGATATTTCTTTTTCCATTATGCCATACGATTTGCATATATTTCCAGTTTGCATAATGTTACATAACACACAATATGACTAGGATTTTCTTGCTATTTATTTTTAATATTTAGAAAATAAAACAAGGTTGATATCGCAAATCACAAAAATGTGGAAATCGATTGCTTTCAATCAAGTTTCTTAATTAAGTACTTTACTTATTCTAAGATTTTTTCCAGAAGTGTAATGATCGAGTGGGTGTCTGGATTTGAATAAAGAGAATAATATGTAGTATCTTATACCCCATTCTAAAAGCTCGGTACGCGCTTCATTGACGCGATGATAGTAATTAAAGATTAAAGTACAGTTTTTTGAAAATGATAGAATCGACTACGATTACGTATTGATAACAATTATGGTGAAGTTAGTCGTGTGCAGTGATATCACGATAATTGTTCAACAATAGCCGGTTGGGCGTGTGGGAGTGTTCGAGTGTACGGGGCGAGACAGATGCGAGACGGTCGTGTTTTTGTCTCGGAATAGTTTTTAATAACAACATTATGTGGCAGGGAGGCGACGCCGACCGCGTGTACTTCTGGCCGCTAGCCAGCCTTGAGATGTAAATCAAAATGTTCTCAAGGTTTTTTTCTTAAAAAAAATAACAAATACGCTGACTGTCTAAGTTTAGCGTACTGCGCAAACCAACGCAAGTTATTAATCTTCAAGTCCATATTTTTTTAAGGTCAGCTATTTCAATTTGCATGCATATTCGTGTAATACATTTCTCATTGCAGGATCGGCTAGCTTTCAATGCGTGTAATAATAAAAGTCTGCCTAACTAAGTTAATCAAGAAAAGTTATGTTTGAAAATACAGTGGTTAGACCAGCTAATAAATGAATATAGCGTTGAACGGGAAGCAATTTATCAATAATCTAGGGAAACTGCCTAATGTTTACAACAATAGCTACGGAAATTCCATAGGTAATCAAATCAGTGATCCGACCGGTAACTAATTGAAATGCCAATAGGGAAATTTTGTTTAAATAAAATTTTAATCAAAACAAGATATTTGTAAACTTGTCTCACATATAAAAACTATCAGAACTACTAGGTTTTACGAAAAAATTGTTGAACTTACTTCGACGATGTTTATTTGATTACTATATGTAAGAAATAAAAAAGAAGTTAATTTAGATATATACCATAATTGTTTATCTAAATTAAGTTTTTTATGTTACATTTATAATTTGTTATAAGATTATAAACTAAGAGAATTATAAACAACTCCAAAGACATTAAAACCGTAAGCGCAAAGCAAAAATTATATCGAAAATTTAATTTCATAGAATGTAACGCTTATTTGTATATTTAAAAAAAAATGTATTAAAAAGAACAATAGACAACAATAGTTCATCCATGTGAAGTTATCTGCAATGAGCAATTTGGCGGTATTCCAAAATTCCTCAATATGCACCAAGATAAATACGAACGCAGATAATTTTGTATTTTAGTGCTAAAACTTTATGATGTACTAAAGTGCAATAAATGCTGGTCATTTCAAAAACTTTATTACGTCTACATACTTGGACTATTAAGATGGTACTTCAGCTTAAGTTTATTTTTCTGACGCACTTCTAATCTAGCTCTCGTTTCTCCTTCGCAGGCCGCAGTACATCCCAAAGATGTAATAAAATGTGAATATATTTGCCGGACTCATTAATCATGACTTTATGCTCCATAAACACTTGCGTGAATTATAATCTAATTATAAGTTTGCGTTCGCAAATACATTAAATGTTTAAATAAGCCATGTGTTTTGAATGTAAAGTGGACATAAGACATTTACAGCTTGCCCGTTTCCGGTACCATGTGAAATGTTCTGTCGACAATTCCGTCTAACCGAGGTCTTATTTATACCTAACTGTAAATTAAATTTATCAACATTACCATTTCAGATGTCCGCTTTATTCTGTTTTCATTCTTAAAATTATCGACATTTTATTATAAAAGAACCAATACTATACTGACAAAGGTAAACGTACGGCCAAGGAAGCCACGCCGTTACTCAAAGAGACGCAGGATGAAACTGCTTTGTTCTATCACGTAGAATAAACTACAATCAACCGGCGATCGGTGCCTCTGTCAACTGCTTCACGTATAAACTTTATACGTATGCATACATTATACATATTATAATACAAATTTCCGCATGACTAAGACGAAACGAGCAGGTTCCACGTCGCGCTACGCCCAGTACGCCCACCCTGCAACCTTTTACTTTTGTTTGTCATCAAAATGTACTCTGAAGTTGGTAAGTACCCAAATTGATGTTTGCGGAACATATTCTGCGAGCATATAAGTAGATATCCAAGGCCGTTGCAAAGTAGCAATTATGAATTTGATCGGATCGTTTGTATAATTCAATAATTTGCAACGTTATTGAAAACACTCGGAAGTACAGGTCCAATAACCGTATGTTTACGTTCGTAATTATACATTACCGTTATTAGAACTTACTAAAATAAATAAGCTCTCTAGACATAATCAAATATTCAAGAACTTGTATCTCGTATTTTTATTCTTATTAAACTGCAGTATGATATATGTAAATAGATACGACCTAATAAATGGTTAGTAACATTATTAGTACATATGTAAAAGAAAAACATAATATATAGCTTTTAATGCTTTTGAAAATAGTCGTGACAGGCTTGGACAACAATTAAAATGTAATAGAAGCGGGAATGAAGAATAAATCTAACAAAATACACTACAATATGCTGAAATTGCAAAATTGCCTTGTCCAATCGTTATGTATTCTCTTTGGTTATGTTCCATATACAAACAGGGGAATTAATAAAATATAAAGTATTACTAATCATAGAGATTACAAAGTTGCATCGAAAGATCGAGAAACCAAGGCTACTGCTACTACTTACTCATATTTTTTTGTAAAAAAAACTTATAGACACGTGTTTTTAGTGTGTCCGGTTAATATCGACATAATATCTGATCATCCAGAGATCGTGAGCAAACATTAGCGCTAATGGAATGTTAAAACGATCGACAGAATGTAAGGTAACATCAATTTGTCGAAATCGACAGAGATTTAACGCGCGACTCGTAAAAACAAACTCGAGAGATGCTTTGGACAGTGATGAATCCATGTAAAAATACATCACAAAGGTTTTATTACTTTTTGTGTAAAAGAAAATTTTTTGCATCGCAAAAATTTTCAAAATCACAGATATTCACTTAGTCATTCTACGGGAAGTCCATTTTTGTGTCGATTCCCACTTGAATTCTGAGCTGACCTTATTTCTAAGTTATACGGAATTAAGTCTGAATCACAATAGGAAATACTGTGGTCACATTAAACATATTTAAAAAGACTACCATTTAAAAAAAAACGATCGTCAAACTCTTTGTGCTGTGAGTATAAACTTAGCTCTTGGAGAAGAATGTTTAAGTAAACTATTTTCATATTTTATCTTTATCGTTCATTTATCAGTGTCATTGTAATGGAAGTCCTACAACCTGACTGATGGATAGCAAAATATGACTATGTTTAATTTTCTTTTACTATTAGGTATGGATAGCACGGAAGCTTAATCAAATAATTAGCTAGTCATATATATTGATTTGTTCTTTTTCAAGGTTTCAGTCCTGAAATAATATTCAAGAAAACGTTCCAATTCTATTTGATTGTATTATGCTTCAGCGGCTATTAATGTATATGAATCGAACATTTAGAATAGGGGAAGTATCGATACCTGCATATACAGGCAATATACTCAATTTAAATTGATTCTCTTCTCACAAAACTACTTGCAACAGCAGTAACGCGACAGATTTATTGATGTTTTCAGGACTTACATTGTACATATAGCATTTTATTATGACGTGAGTTTCCTCGCTGTGTTTTCTTAAGCTGTTCGTATCTCCTGATAGATTGTGTACACATTATTTATGATATGTGACGGTCCAAATCTCGATTTCCATGACGTCTTCAAAGACTGATCTTGCTCCGTATTACATGCATACAGTTTTTTAATAATTATTTGGTTGTCAGCTGTAATGCGACATAACAGTTATATTCTACCACATCTTTCTTTTGGATATAAATCGGTACGAAAAACGATAAAATCTAAATTAATTTTCGATATCGCGAGTTTAAAACGATAACGCTGAGCCGTCTAGGTACTGTGACTTGTGAATGCAACTGTTAGGAAATTTATTGATGAAATGTTACGTACGCCTTCATACCTACACGTCTTGGTAATGTTTGTAGCGAACAAAGTAACCTATCTTTGGAAGAATTAAATATCTTGATATTAAACAATACGAATGGGCTTCGCAGGTTTTAAAGTTAATCATGCTAAGAGTCACAAATTCAACAAATATTTGTATAGACAAAATTGTTCTTTTGATAAAAGTAATATAGGTAGTACACCTACGTAAATTAAGATAATGTTCGCTACTGATTTATCAAAACAGAATACTTGTAAATTTGTCACCTTACTAAGTACATAATTTTATGTAGACAGTGGAATTTTTTATGTTGTATAACCTATTATTTATGGCTTTGAAATTGTTAGAATACAGGTAACGTACGAGTAGTTTCAAGTAACACCTTGAAAACTAATTTACATTAATCCGTTGAAGAACGTTATCAATATTTAGAAAGCATTTACTACTGATTATAAATAAAAAATAAGTATGACGATGTGTTTGACGTTGACGAAGTGAATGTGAGTACATTTATACTACATTTACTACATTACATACTACATTTATACTAGTTACATGTAATAGTTCCATCCGTATTAATGTGAAGTTGCCATGAATGTTGCACTTAAAACACAAACAAACAATCGGACTTCGAGCATTAGGTCAAGGAAATCATGTGCCCTAGCCCCACAACTATCATTCACATTCTAATTCCGTAAAAGGAATACGAACATTATTTCACATTGCATAGATTAGCCTGTGCTTATTGATGATGACGAATTTAAAGTTAGTATACACAGTTACTTGATTTAAGTTAGCTGAAAGTATATGATATACCTGTTCTTCAACATGTTATCGGGTACGAATACATTCCACCAGGAGGGTCTCTTTTGTCTCACATACGAAGGACTATCACTGTCTTCATCTGTATCGTTGCCTCCTGATTTCCTTCTTTTTTTGCGTTCTAACTGCAGTCTCGCTGCCCACGAACGTCGACGACCTTTGTCGTTAGGTCCAAATCCTTCTGCACCTACCGGTACAGCTAAAGAAGCTCGTCGCGGAGGTTCCGGGGGAGGACCATCAAAATCTGACAGTTGTCTGTACCGCTCTGCGAAAGTAGCTTCGGACGCCCTACGTCCGTTGGACGTGGATATAGAAGGTTCTTCAGTGACGACATCGTCATTGAAGGCCTCGTCGTCGTCTGTATCGAATGGTTCTCCGCTGTATCGTCTCGGAGTCTCATCAACAGCTTCCTGCAAGCTGGCGAGTTGCAGACTCGGGCGATGCGTGCGTAGCCCGCGCGGCAGCCGGCCAGGCCGCGTCTGCAGCCGCGTCAGTGCCAACGGCACCGGCGACTCAGTCAGCGTCGGTTCAACACTCATTTTGTTAATCACTAGTACTCGTAAACTGTCACACTTTGTTCGATTTACGGAGGTAACATCACAATTACGGCTCCTTCATTTTCGGACACATTTCTTCGAAAGCTTTAAGATCACTAGTCAGTGGAGTTGCCGTCGTAACACCTGCATTAATTGCAATAATCGTAATGGTTGGAAATCATTAACACGGAAACCGTAAATGATTGTTTAAATTAATCCCAATATTCATGTGACATTACATAGTTAGGTATATTGAGGGTGTTGATTCTTAACTATATTAACCTGCCTTGGTACCTATCCAATTTACGAACTAAACTATAATAAGGCATGTAAGATAATTCTAGTATAATTGTGGTACATCTCAGACTAACCATATCAACAAAATCTCTGCGGCAAAATCAATTTAATTGTCAATTTACAGAATTAAATATTAATATATTAAGACCAAACATCAATAATATGTAGATGCGAATATAGAAATCGAGCGTATAGGCAATGTAATTTTCCTTATTTTAAAACAAATAATACTATTTATAAAATTTGCAGCGAAAACAACAAGCTGCAATATAAATAGCAAGTGGTCGCTTAGTAGTACAACCTTAGCGACAAGTGTCGGCGCTATGCCATATAAGCAGGTGATTGCAGCTTTCGTAATAGCTGCGCGCTGTCCGTCACAACTCACGCGCACACTGGTAACACGGAGCGCGGGGAAAGTAGCCACCGTCTTGTATAAATACGTTTTGACTATATCATATCATCACCATTGATTTCTTATAACTTTGACCTTACTAAATTAATACGTATAAAAACTTGGAAAGTGGCCAAAGTTTCGCATCCATTTTTGATTTTATGATTTCCAGTGGCAACACTGTTAGTCGTGACTCATAAACATTACAAGTAAATTATATTTTCATTAAAACAAACATCAGATATAACCGCGAAATGTCAATATTTAATTTAAAAAAGTTTGACTGAACTGAGATTTCCGGTACTCTGTACTGTGTTTGTAAATGCAAGGAACAGCAAAAACATCGAATGAATATGATAATGTATAGAAATAGTTGAAATGCACATACGTCGTTAGAACGCCGCACATGGTATAACAAGTATAAGTAAACAGTGCACAGGAAATCAAATCCACCATTTCGCAACATGGCATCTAGGTCAAGTGAAGTGCGTATTAATGAGACTTGGAATATTAGTCTAGGACGCGAGCAGAAACATTCGACTTCTATCAACTAATTCCAAGTATTATGACTATATCAAAGCCAATCTACTAACGTCAATCGGGCGGCGAAATGTTAGCTCAATGTCAGTGACGAGATTAACCTCTCAGAGGGCTCGACATCCGCCCCTTACATATCACAATTTCTAATCAAACTATTCCGTCCGCAACTGTTCAAAACATGGATAATTATGAAAGTCTTAGCAGGACAAGTTGCCTTATTGAAACACAGTCCGCTGTCTGTGCCTCGACAAACGGTCATCTCATAAAACACATTGCTACTTGTTGATGTATACAAATCATACTTGTTTATAAAGAAGAAATGAAACAGAAAAACAATTTATAAAGTCATGTCGTTCCCACTTGTAACTCATTTCTAGCTTTGATCTTTGACGACCGTCCACACTTCGTTTGAAGTGCCCGTTTATTATTAATTTACCTACTTGATTATTTGGATTAACCAGATTTTACAGAAAACTAAACATTCATCTTTATTTATATCTGTGGCAATAACATATGTTTTCACATATTTAGTTTAGTTTATAATAACTCTTATCACGATAATTAATGCATAGTACATATCGCAGAGTTGAAAGTACGTATAAATAGCAGAAATCGCATTCTATATAAAGATATAGTTTGAGCGTTCCATAATAAATAATTTAAACAATAGACACGTGATAGCTCATTACCTATACTAACATTGAATACAATAATATCGTAGAGATAGGGTGGGACTAACAGAAAAGCCTTGAAAATAGCACATAGTCTCACTCGCAGTGGAAAATGTTTAGGTAAATCATTACGCGGTTTATGTTAATAACGTAAAGGGTGATAAAGCACGCACAAACGCTCATAAATGTGTTGGCACCATTACTGCTCCCGCTACTTTATACTTATCTCACGTCTTGTACTAGAGACCTTCTTCTGTATCTCCGCTAAGAAAATAGCATTCATAACAGGTTCTAACCTTTAGAGACAATAATTGTATCAGTGACTAGCGGTAGGTACCTATAATTAAGATAATACGAGTATGCAGTATGACATATTAGTGCAGTTATGGCCAGTCACTACAATAGCAATAACGTTTGCCTCCTACCAGGTAAATTACAAGTAACAAAGTAATGTAACGCAGATACGATCGAACATGTCGATGGTCGAGACGACACGAAAGCATGCGCGATTCAAAGTCAAAACATCGGGTAAACAAAGGGGTCAACGCACGCGGCGACGTCAGGTTTTATATCAGTTACATTACATTCCAAATAAAGCTGCAGTAAAGCTCACAAATTTAATAAATAAAAACTTTGGTGCTCTTTCAATCCTCCACTAAGCAAGCATTTGCCAAACTAAAACTTAATCTAACTTATGTAATGTTTCCGTATCGCTCGCTATCCATTCTGAAATATCTAAAACGTAGCTATAAATCTCAGGATGTAAATTACCCTTTAAAATTACTAGACGTTCGTGTAAATTTCTACAGCACGATTACCGTGACAAACAATTCGTTTAGATATACTTACGATTTCTTCCTAGAATTATCATGATGTCTTTTTAAACTTAGAATAAATGTGAATTTAAGTGGCGACAGCGCAGACATCAGGACATTTAGGTACAGATAAGAAAATACTTCCTGTGTAATAGCATTTTAAGTTGAGTGATTTTAAAAGCTTTTATCTAATCACTTGTCATTTACTAAATATTCAAGAGGATGCACGCGCTTTGGAGTACCTTGCGAAAGAGACCAACGTTATAAGAAAATTAATGTGTAACTAACAGAACTGTTTTTTTCTAATTAGTGCTCTAAGACGGAAACATATTATTAGAGAAGATATACAATGAGTGGATAAGTCCGTGTCATGGGTCATTAGTTTCAATGTAACAAGAATGCATTTACGAGGGCTAGATACAGCGACATGTACACAAACAATGATAATTGAAACGTAGAACAAATGTCGCATGTATAATAAGATGGCAGCAAGAAGCGAACGCACTGAATACAGATTAATTGGTAACAATAAATAAAGCCACAGACAAAGAAAATACAGAGTTCATTAATATAATCGATGCGAACAAAGGTTCTAGTATAAATCTACCTGGAGACGTTTCTGAGATACTCAGTGAGACTAACTGAAAAATTATAAGTACGATAATAGAAAAACTTTTTAAAACACCTAGGTACATGACTAAAGCGAAACAAAACATTTACATTTTGAACTGATTTGTTTAAAGATAACGATTAAAGAAGTACATAGACAAAGTTACGACACTGCGTAGCGTACGTGACGAGAAACACTAATCCGCAAAATTATCGGATACTCTAGATCGATACGAATCCAACTATGACATAAACCCAGGATGAATAATCAGAATAACAGCCGACAAACAAATCGTGTACTAACTAGATCATTAAGATCAAATGGACATTTTGGATATGATCAATAACAAACATAGGTCACAGCAATTGGGAGACCGCATGCAGATATCGTTATAATTTCACGTGAGACCCACTACTTTTAGTAATCGTTAAAAAAAATATACCTACCACTTTATAACAAAACACATTATATCCCAGTATTATGATGAGAAAAAAATATTTCCTTTATATTATTATTGATTTACCATAAAATGAATAATATAATTTTCTATTAAGATAAAGGTAATGTGGTAATAAGGCAACAGTTCCGCGATAGAAATATTATAATAGCGAAGTAGAAAACAATATTTATTGACATTATATTAAGTATCGCGGTTGTTATTTAATTTAACATGAAAACAAATAATTTCTGTCCAAAATAAAATGTAAAGCGGAAGCCTAGCCAAAGTCGTAGGACATACTAGACAGTTACGCGTTTTCATCAGTGATTCAAACTTCTTGTCTTTATATATAAAAATGGATCGCAAAATGTGTTGGTAAGCGCATAACTCAACAACGCCTGGACCAATTTTGCTCATTCTTTTTTGTTGTGTTTGTTATTGTCAGGAGAATGTTCTTAATAATATTAGAAAAGTAGAGGGGAAGCTTAGGAAAAAGTGGCCCTTTGATAGCGACATAGTTAGTGTATTCTAGAAGGCTTTAAAAATAAGAATAAGTAGTATGCTTCAATCTTAGTACTTATTGATTAATGATTTTCGGTATGCTAATTCGTTTACAAAATATCGAACTGACATTGAGATGGATTATGTCGGACAAAAAGAAACAATTGAATTGTTCTATAATTATAATTGTCATTGTATTAAAAAGTTGTATAGGATATTTTTTAATTATATTATTATACTTATTCAAATTGTATTATCTCATTTATACATTATACAATGACTACACTGTAAGAATTAGTTTTAATTTTATACCTATTTAAACAGTTGGTGTGCATACATTTTTTGATAATTATTAGGATTTTACGGTTTTCTTCTAAATTTTAGAGTTTTTCCATAGATAATGGTTTCGTTTCGTATTTATTTCGATATATAGTTAAGACGACTTTAAGGAATTTTGATTTGATATTTGAGTATTATTGCAATGAGCATAACTAGTTAAAGTAAACTTCTTTACGATAGATTAACGACTGTGTTTATTTACTCCTTTTTATATGACTACTATGTAAAAAATAATAACAGCGGACATAATTATTGTAATACAATATTCCAGAGTAGTTATATTATAACTTGATCTATAAAATAGTAATAGTATCCTCAATTATGTTTAGATCGATACAACGGTACTTGATCAGATACTTAAGAATGGATATGAATTGCTTCCTTAAATCCACTACTCGCGACTAAAGAGTTTATATTACAAAACATGTTTTAGAACTTGAGGAAAACGAAACTACACTTAATCTGATCGCGCGACGACATTCTTTAACTTGATAGTGCACTTATAGAGAGATGCTACGTGAGCAAAACAAAAACATAGACAAATTGCGAGGAATTTATCGAGAGCACCAGTGCCACCTTGCGGCCAACTGTGCTGCGCATAACACAATACTCAAGTTACGTCTATTGCTAAGAAAAATGTAGGTCGTGTCCGATTTCAAAGCGCAGCGGGACTTGCACAACTTAGTTCTAACTGCCAATGGCAAATCAACAACAGACTTTCGATATTCCTAGTGTTTACTTATATTTTATACTTAGCCGCTTCATTGTTTATCGGCGATAAGATAAACCGAGCAATCTGACTTATTGGTCGAATCACTGCATGACTTATCGTCTCTAAATCGACATCAGTTTTCACGATCAGGAAAGGAATTAATTTAATCTTACTCACATTTGAATCATGAACAGATTACGAAAAAAACAAGGCGACGCTAATCATATGTACGGAAGTTACCTTTAAAAATACCTATCTAATAATATAATAAATAAATTTGGTCTCATTTAGTATTTACACTTGATATTAGAAGAAACGTTGAGAGTTCCTATTAATTTATAAATTACTCTCAACTATTTTCTTTGTAATTGCTATACGAACAAGAATAAAATATCGATTTACTTAGATATTTGAAAGCAGGATCTACTAAAGTTAATGAGATGTTTGCGGTTTTACCCAGGGCGTCGACGCGAAGGTATTTTTTAACTTTGTTATATTATATAGGTACATTTTTATACACCACATTATGGGAAGACCTAATATTGAAAATATTTTGAATATTGACCAAACAAGATTATCGTAAAAAAAGAACAACATACGTCTGGGCTGATTTAACGGTGAATTGGTGTTATGAAAGAAACTTAATGAAAAGGTTGGTAATGTGGGAAAGGCGTAAGGGGTCACGGACGCACACTCGGTTCTCGTTTTCACTTAACTCTGAGAGTGCAGTGCTTGGAGACGCCTTCCACCAGCCAGAGACGCTGATGTCTACCGACCACTGTCTACTAACTTCTCGTCGCTAGTTGCCTAACAACTGATCAACATCGCCGCCCAACAAACACGCTCAAGTTTCCACAAAGTACAAGTAAGTTTTACAACTATCCTCTACTTACTAAGACAAAACTATAACTTGTAGTATTTATGTTTTCCTGGTCGAACTTCATTTTATAAAACTTTCGTTTTACTCTCTGTTCTGTTTTTTCATTCAACTATAAAATATATTGAGCATTTATTTGAGACGGTAATTTTGAAATACTTTGTGAGACATGTTATGTTATAAACAAATAATGTTTTGACGAATTCCTATATATAATATTTTTCTAATACTTTAAGCAAAAGTTACTAATGCTTATTTACAAGTTATTTCATAAATATAATATTCTAACGGTATGATGTTTTGAAGTGTCACATGAACATGGAATCAATTTAAACTTCAATTATATTATCACAAATCACGATAGATTTCGGAGACAAACACCGACCTCCTTTCCCCGTTGCACTGGCGCAACGAACAAACAGAATAACTAGACGAAGATGTCGGCGTACGAAATCGTAGCGGAACCTGCGCGCGCGACTTTCACTACCGTACGTATACGCGTGCTCTTGCGCAGCGTGCGAATCGCGCACCGCTTTGAATGCTACTGATGACAAACGCCGGCCGCCACTTGCGCCGATGGTGGGGCAGCTGCTTGTCTATACTCAACATGTGATAAACAACTTCTGAAACCTACCCCCTTACTGCTCATAATGTTATCTCTGCTCAAAGCCTAGATACGTGCTTACTCGTTAACTCACATCTGCGCCAATTTCATTATCATTAATGTCACTTGTGTCCCACATTTGTCTCATCAGTAAAAACTGTCGCAAGTAAATATATGAATATGTAAATTATATCTTAAACACTAGATATATTTTAATAAACTTCAAAACAAAGCAATTAAAATATTCACTGGGAAGCAACGCGCCACTTAATAAAAATCTCAGCCAGAATATTCCGGCCGCGGCTTCTCTAAATTGTGTATTACGTTAATCTATAAATCTTATAACATTTTACGAATATGACAACCCACACACAAGTGAATTGCGGTTATTGTATTCAAATTACATCTGCTCCTATTTCTGTCGATTGCACGAGTGGGCAGACTGGGCCACGTAGGGTGCCCTACCTTTGCATTATTAAATAAAATACCGAACAAATCGATTTGCTTGACGGCGTATATGTCAGTAGGTGCCTGCTGCATTCATACAACGTCGTATTGATTTTCTTACAAAAACCTACAATTTCAAATAAACGTAGTAGACTTGCACATTTACTAGGAGCAACAATAAACATACAACGAAATTTGATTTGAAGTTCACTATAATTAAATACCTCTGGGAACAGATACTCTATCGCCAAGCCGACATTTATTAAAGACACACGTAGGTAGACAGCTCAATTATTGTCATTAATAATTAATGTATTTTCCTGTTCGACATTTTTCAGAGCTGTCACTTTTATTTTGTTGGTTCAATTTGATAAATTGTAAAATGTAAGTTCATAGCAAAAACAAATGAATCTACTCGATAAGAGAAACACGGTCATTTTGAAATTCACATCGATTCAGCTGGGGTTGCGGGGCTAGCGCAATAAAGTCTTGGCCTCGGCCTAATGCAGGAGAAGGAACGGGGGTGTTTTGAGTCAGCATGAGTCTGCCACTCCCTCTTTCTCGCATTGAGCAAGAGAAGTCATTTGATGATTTTCCTCTCAGAATAAATATTAACGTCTTCGGACTGGTGGTACAAGAGAATAGAGGAGTCGATGACATTATTGTTTAAGAGCCTATCAGGTGATGACTCGTGTGAGTATGATGTATGATGTACTGCGCACTTAATACACAATGTAAACATCGCTACTGAACGACCAAATATTTATACGTAGACATTTGTTCATTAATAGTTTCAGATTAAATCATTGTCTAAACCTAACTGACGAATTATGATTCATACAATCGTCACCGAAATCTAAACAGCATTTATTGCAATATTGTTAAGGTAAGTACCCTTTACATTCCGAAACTATGGTAACAAATAGATATTCACTCATAGTTACATTACTTAAAATAAAAGATCAAAAATATATTTTTCGTAATATTTCGCTGAATTAAAAATTCGTCAATTTATTACACTTTATTTAACCATAAATAAGGTATTTAGTATGGCTGATCTGATGTGCATATTTTAACATAAGATTAAACACCGATTTCCATTGCGTTTTTACTTTTACCCATGGAAAATAAGCTTTAACATAAACAGTAAGGATTGAAATGGATATAAAAACCCGTGCTTGAGCATCATATTTTTAAGTAGACCCTGGTTAAAATGGCGTATTGCGCAATCCTTGCCCTTTCATCTGACTTTGACATATTACAGTGATGCAATAGCCTTCCATATGTTTCATTTACATGGACCAGCTGCACCGTAAATTACACGACTTTATTTTCATAATTTCTAAAATAGTAATCAAATAGGCTGTTTGTGGTGATATCCTGTTGTATAAGGTTCACGAACATAGATCGCGATGGACTGAAAGCATTACGTAAATAATGGTACAAAGACTAATTTACCTAATCGAGAGTAGCGCCACGTCACGGATGAATAACGGTTCATTTGTGGTCTGAGCTGCTTCCAATTGAAAGTGTTCGCAACGGTACTTCCGATTGTAACAAAACTTTGAACTAATGAGGCCGTCACGGACCATAGAACTTTAACATTGGTAAAGTATCAGTTCAGTTAGATAGCACACATCACTACTATCAATCTTGTGCAGGGTAACTGTTTCTTAGTATCACTTGCATAAATTATAAAATCCCTGCTTGATAATTGTTTCAGTTACTATCACCCCATCAAGATAGTTACAAATACAATAATTAAGGTAAAAATTGGAACATTTTTATAAGTCCGCTTTTTATTTGCTATAAATTTATTTCTCTAAAACACTGACGAACATTACTAGAAATGTAATTATTAATCATCCAGTCAGCATTAGTTTTTTGTCAGATAAAACCAATCGAATGTCCAACAAAAATTAAACCTTACCAGGAATTCGGGGCGACCGGTTGTTAAAAGCTACCATACATTATCTGAACATATCACACATTACACATTTATAAGAATTGGAAGAGGATTTTTTGGATAATATGGTTATTGACAAGTGTATTATAAATACTGTATTTCACATAAACAAGTCTCCAAAAGCTCAAAAGCAATTAGAAAAATCATAATTACGATATATGAAACAAACATGCCAGAACATCGACCGTGCAGCCAGCTCTTTCCTTCCACTTAAGTATGGCTTCCCAGTAAGGCTTCGGGTCTTGTATCACAGATAAATCTATCTCTTACGTGATTGGTGATCGTGGTAAGCTTTCATTACATTATTGTAGGTCCGCGTGCTCGACCACGAAACAGGAAATTGTATCTAACAAGTAGTGAAAAGATGATTTATTTCTAGTTTCAATACATGGAATTCTGGTCCAATAAGTTTTGAAAGTATTTCGCTATAGGATATTGATAACATATGTACATTATAACCTCACTTTCTAAACCTTTAATATATGTACAGTCATGCATAATTGGAATACCATAAAAAATAAGTAACATTTTGTAAAAACTGCTATAACGAGTTCCAGTTAAAACATCATCAGATTACGAAAATCCGTGTTCGGATAACACTTTAAGTTAACTAATTGCGAGTCGCAATCCGTCGACGGCGACGGTTCTCATCAAAACTTGCGATGTTTTGGCTAAGCCCCAAAAAGTTTAATCGCCGACCGTAGCTTTATTATAAAATTTTCAAGTCATAATTTTGAAGTGCAAATGCTAAATGACAGATAAAGAAAAATTGGTATTTCATGTAAACCATTGTAAAACAAGATCTATAGATAATAGATTTCAAATTCACTTTTATATTCACACGTAATGGTATTTTCGTGTAAACATTTCCCATCAGTACACTGTGGAATTATATTGATCAAATGATCACACATAAAATATATCGTCACGCCACTCATTTGGTGTAGACAGAGACTTTGGACGCTGAATGACACAATTTCGGTACACCTTGCTCAGCAGTTGAGACCGTTTCAAAAAGTAACTTAAGTTTTCATTCACTTGGATTTCGAATTACAGGATTATAAGTTAGAAAAGTATTATGACTATGTATTTAATTATTTATTTCATTGAGTAGGTCTTTAGCATTTAAAACGTGTGATTGAATAGACCTAAAGTCCGTATTCAACGCTTAGTTCCTTTATAGAAAACGCGTAACGTGCTTTACATTAGAAGTAAGCCCAAATTTTTGCACTACATAGTACTTGCCACGCCCACTGATGCGTAGATACTTAGAGGTCTTCAGAAGGAACTACGTAGTACACGCTACGCATTGCTAGAGGGCGCAGAGCTACGGTGCGTAGCCATTGGTCGAAATACTACGCAAAATGCATTACGTAGTATTTGCTACGCAAGACGCACCTTTGCAATTGCGTAGTTAATTTATTAGTGGAAGGTTTACATAAAACGCTGTACGTAGCAGTTACCACGTATAGTTACGATGCGTTTACCACCAGGAACGTACAACGTAGTACTTAACACGGATCGCTACGAGGCGTAGTCACCTAGTGAAACGTCTACGCAAAATCGCACTTATAGCTCTTGCACCACTACGCCGCACAACGCGACGTTACATAGTCATTTTGTGTATGTAAAACGCATCATGTTGCATTTACTAGGCACAACTACGTCGCACACGTACGCTACGATGCGAAGTAATTATTTGGAAAAGCTCCGAAAAACGTTACTACGCTACTTTTGTTTGCGCTACGATGCATATATCATTAGTGGAAGGTCTATGCAAAACGCATTACGTTGCGTTGCAATGCGTTACGCATCGCGTAAGATATATAAAAGTACTTTATGTAAAACGCTACAGCATACTGCTATTACATGTATCGCAAAAAACGTGTATCGTATCGTGAAAATAAAGTTGATTTTTAAATCGCTGTTTTAAAGTGTGAACACATCGTCCCGTCGTATCTCAGTGTAAAACACTTAGAATAGGGTTTACGTAGTACATGTCTTCGCGGGACTACGCTGGTCGTTGAATAGACGGTACTTTCAAGAACTTGCTTAATATCGACAATACTAACTGCCTCAAAGATGACGTTAAAAAGACTTTTATATGCACTGCATCTCAAATCAGAAACAGTCATTTTTATCAATTGATAATATTTCTACAATTAAACCCTAACCATTGTCTTGCTACCCATGAGAAAGCAGCCTAATACTTTTACTACTCTTATGTTTTCCTTATTTGCTACTGCGCATTATTTCTAGATAATACGACATGTTGACAGGCTTAATCATTCATATCACTTCTCTCATCACAGACATGTTGTAAAGGGTGCGTAAATAAAGAAACGTAATTATAACCGATCAGGAAGAACGACTGAGATGTTTATTAAACAGACTCCGACTGCGAGTCATCTGTGCGACTGCAACACATTTGTTTACTTTGCCTACCTATAAAGCAAGCTTAAACAACGGCTCAACAGTACCGACTGTCGCAACAACACAAACACACAGGTACATCAGCAAGATTGCGCTCATTTTACATAGCTACGTATTTGCACGGAAATAGAGAGAAAATCCAATGGCATAAGAACCTGAATCTAATTTTATCGATGGAAATTCACTTACATCCGGAGATTTATGAGCGCTTGTGAATTTAGTATTTTATTCACTCGTCTGCGTGAATAATATTTGTCGCTTACCTATTTGTTCAGCAAGCTCGGGTTGGATGATATGAATATTCATGACAATGCGGCATAAAGCAAACGTACGCTATGCTAGAGGAGCGACGGAGCCATGCTGGTGGCGGTTGGGGCGTGGGCGGCGGCGACAGAGCTACGTAGCTGAAATATCAACAAACTTGGATTTCATTGCGATTCGCCATGAGAGGACCACTCGCTCGCTCCCGAATAAAAATTAGATTGATGAGATAAAACAACATGAAATGTGTTTGAATACCACGAAATGAACACAAAATGTATACAAAGAAAAATGAGATATCTCATGGAAAATTGCTAGTAAACACATCCACATGACATGTGAGCGATGAGCTAGCAAGAGTTCGTTGATTTTGATAAGGATTCCGGTCAGAGGCCCGAGGAAGGGCTTCGCTGGTTTTCCGACACAATGAAGGTTCACCAAACAAAAACCAATTCCGCACGCGTGTATTAATTTTACCTGAACAAAACTGTGTATTACCATATAACTTCTTCTGCGTAACAATAAAAAAATATGGTAATGATATTTTCCTCAGTGATCTTCATGACATGACTAAAATAAAGATGCGGTACCCAGCAGCTGAACAATAGCACCGCGGTATGTACACACATTCGGTTTTATCTTGACAGGTTTACTTACTTCAATGTGATAAATATGTTTCTAAGAAACAAACGTTAGTCTATTATCAAAATTAGACTGATACAATGTTAATTACATTATCTGATTATATTAACAAGGTCCCTTGTTATTGTCGAACATGAATCTATTGAGTCTGGTTGGGGGTGCTAGCGAGTGATTGCACTTTTATGATTGTAAAGATCGAGTACTCACTCGATCTCTGTACTCCACACTTCTTCTTCATCTTCTTGGTTATTTTGCATTTTAATTATATTATATATCACAGTTGTTTTTTTATGTCCGGGTACGTATCTTCGCGATTTCGATCGACACACCTGAAATTTGGTAAGTACGCGGTTCTGACCCATTTATAAAGTACTTAATGTTTAACAATAACAATTAACACGCAGTTTTCAATTTTGAAAATTTCATTTACTGCTATATATGAAGAGTCAAGTTTGATAAGGAACAATAATCCACCTCATCTACCTGGTCTACTCGATAGCTGGATCTGTGAATTTATTTGTTTTGTATCATCTATATCATGACGTATCTAATGACAGCTCGTGCCACATGTGACAGCTTAACATAGATAATTTCCTCAGAGATTTTAGCTAAACTGGGAATGATCCACTTTTAGCACATGATGTGTTATGATGTCACCTATTAATATTCATTAGTTTTCCGCACAAACAGTTTCAACAATTGAGCATGTTTATAATGTGAATGTTCTATACTCGTACATAAAGAAGCATTCTGACTCACTGAACATAATACGTAATTAATTTCACAACCAAAACTGGTGTTCTTGAAAGTAATACAAGTATTATAACGCATCTTCAACAATGGAACATTTAATTGGCTCAATAACTCATGTTTTCAATGGTCCCGACGTGAAAATGTTCAGGCAACATTAACATCGGAGAGCGCCATTTGTCTCAAATCTTTTGTGATTTCACACAAATAAATCAGAATCAAGTTCACAATGTACGTGACACGGAGCCTGACAATGGTTACTGATTAATAATTAATACTTGTCCTTATCAGATAAACGTCCCAGAATATTATTAATCTACGATATTTCAATAGAGGTAGCTACACCGAACCTTTGACGAGAAATAAGATTGTAATAGGAATAAATTTGTACATACCCAGTAAAGATCGAAAAGAAACTCATTTAGAATACGTTCACTATTCAGTTTGACAACAACCAATTCCACTGATTTGTGGTATTTACCACAAAAAACAATATAACATATCAGCCAAGTATTGCAATCGACTGCCGAAATAATATCGAAGGAACCAACACTTATCTTGGAAACATTACCAATACGAAATTAGCTGTGATAACGAAAGTTGATTAAACGAACCGATATTTTTGGGGATCAGTATATGTAAAGGTAAAAAGCGGAAATAAAATATTGTTCGATTGTGCGAATTTGAAAAGAGAAGTCATTTTTAACACAAAAATATGGGGAAATAATTAACTACATCGCATATTTGTGAATTACATAAATTTAATCTTTTAAAGCACTTCCTTTGAGCCAAAAAAGAACTACAAACGTTTGCCAGTATCAAGGCTATCCAATGCTGGCAAATAACTTATGACAGTGAGTAATATGTTAAGGTCTTGCCCATATCTAGCATACAGGCGGGTTGTATTCAAGATTTTATTTCTGAGAACTGATATCAATAGATTTAGCCAGGTAAATTGATAACTTTAGGAAGATATTTTTAAATAATTATTACGCAGCTAACTAGGCAGTTATCTTTCTAATGAATGTGAGCCCCTTGCTAGCTTATAACTAGACAAATTCTCAGTTACGTGAATATAGTTAAAAGTGAATATAATAATAATAAATAATATAATGTAGGCTGCAATAATAAAATGTTGCTTATTATTTTAACATCATTATGGACGCTATTTTAGAAAATTCATAAGCTAACGTCAGCGACACAAGGCCAGCCTCAATATAGGTAAATTAGATAAAGTTTATGCTATCTTTATATAAAAACGTTAAATTCCTACAGAACCTCTCATCAACAAATCAGAGTTAAGCTTTGTAATTTCTATATTGATTGTATGACACTATCGTCACAAAAAAAACCAAGCGAAATTTCTACAAAAGAAAAGAACATATATACATTTTATGTACAATATAAATATAGTAATTACTTATGATCTGATACTAGCTGTACGGTATTAAGAATATTGGGTTTAAGAGGGAAGAGCCGGACAGATGATGCACCTTGAGATTGATCCCATACAACGTACGTGATGTAAAACGGGATGTGCTCAAGTCCTGCGCACAACGTGATGCATTACTGTCGGATGCAGCTCTGTGCAGCATCACGCCGTCACCGTCAAGTGTCGAGCTGGCGCCGCCGCCAATCATTCAATTACATGCAGAGCATAAACGATTCAATTGCGGAATTCGCTTCAACAATGTTAAAATTGTACTAATAAACGCCCGTGCGGTCGTGAGCTTTGAGTGATCATTTGCACGGACACATTACTCCATTAGTGCATCCGTCAAGGTGCGTAAAGGCTAATTCCGCCAATGAAGTCACACAATTGACCTGGATAAGCCTTTCAGACAGTATTTTTGAAAGTAAACATGTACTATTTCTAGATCTGAAAATGGTCTAAATTTTCTTTAGCTCACATTGCATGAACATATGAGGAAAAATATCTATAGAATTTTATAAATAATGTGTTACCAAACAAGTCTTTATATTTAACTCTGAAATTATACAAAGATGAGTATTCTACAAGTAAGTAATTCCTTTCTCGTAAATATTTGTGTAGTGGTCACAAAAGCGACAGATGTCAGCGCAGAATTTAGGAAGGCAGCTAGCTAGCAGTTAACACAACAAACTTATCTCGTCCTTTTCACTTGAAATAACCAAACAGAAACTTGATGATGGAATAAACAAAACGCGGGGGCTCGACTGTTACATTATCTAACTATGCGACAATATGTCTGTTATCTTCCTCTCCCAACTACGCAGTTACTGAAATGATCAATAAACATTTCAATAGTACTTGCCAATCTTTCAAACCAGGAAAGAAAACATTGTGATAATCATCGATAGGTATAATAGGTTTTATCGTGTAATTTTCAATCATTTGGGTTATATTTTATCACTTTCCTGAGGTATTCCGAGAACACCTCGTTCATCTGAAGAGGGCGACTCATGAAATTTAGTTGTGATGCAAGATAAATGATATCGCACAAAGCAGCAACATCTGTTGATATCAATACCAACATCTATGTGTGCAGGAAAAGCGGATATTTACCTATTTATTGCAAAGTTTGAGACGTCAAATGTGTCGTCTTGAAGTACGTATTCCACTTGGAAGCTGAGCTACACAAAATCTGTCGGTTGCAGAACACACGACTTGTTAATCAACAGTAGTGGTCACAAAAGCGACAGATGTCAGCGCAGAATTTAGGAAGGCAGCTAGCTAGCAGTTAACACAACAAACTTATCTCGTCCTTTTCACTTGAAATAACCAAACAGAAACTTGATGATGGAATAAACAAAACGCGGGGGCTCGACTGTTACATTATCTAACTATGCGACAATATGTCTGTTATCTTCCTCTCCCAACTACGCAGTTACTGAAATGATCAATAAACATTTCAATAGTACTTGCCAATCTTTCAAACCAGGAAAGAAAACATTGTGATAATCATCGATAGGTATAATAGGTTTTATCGTGTAATTTTCAATCATTTGGGTTATATTTTATCACTTTCCTGAGGTATTCCGAGAACACCTCGTTCATCTGAAGAGGGCGACTCATGAAATTTAGTTGTGATGCAAGATAAATGATATCGCACAAAGCAGCAACATCTGTTGATATCAATACCAACATCTATGTGTGCAGGAAAAGCGGATATTTACCTATTTATTGCAAAGTTTGAGACGTCAAATGTGTCGTCTTGAAGTACGTATTCCACTTGGAAGCTGAGCTACACAAAATCTGTCGGTTGCAGAACACACGACTTGTTAATCAACACGAAACAATACTTGCCATCAGATAAACTTATATTGAGATGCTAATAAGAAAAGGGAAAATAGATACGTCTGCGGCCAGCAAACGTTCGGCTGTGAAATTGATTTGTACGCGCTAATGCGACGACAAAGCGATGCGTTGTGTGTGTTGCGGGCGACGCGTGACAATACAGTTACTGGTACAATATCACACGGCCTCGTGCACCCATCGCCGTCACGATCCTCGCCTGCAAAACACATAGTGTCTGGCCACACACACAATATTCCAATGGAGTAGGTACAAGCATTGTCAACACGCCGCATTAATGGCCTTAAATACGCTAGTAGCATTGAAGAATGGAAAAATAATGGAACGGTACCGTTTCATACATTTTCGGTTAACTGAACGAAATTTGGTTATGAGAACACAACGTATAATTTAATTGTGGAAAAGGGCTTTCAGGAGCTACTCAGGGCTGTGGAACCTTATGTGGAAAGCGAAGGCAGGATTTAAAACGAAAAATATTTCAGATAGTGTGTACGAAGAATAGCTCACATTACTGGAAAGGTACATCATATCTTAGAATGTAAACAGCAAGAGCCTTATACTTAGCAGCTATAGCCAACCGCAAACAAGTTCCGCCGGCGGTTTAGAATAGATAGCACAAAAGGAAACAATGACAGGGTGATCCGCCGTAGCGCCCTCCACCGGTCCACCCTCACCCACACTTCGCCGATGGTGTTGTCGCCTAAACGTTTTATATCGGCCAAGGACGGCCTGCGCCATGCACAGCGGAACGGAGCACTGCAACGTTACCGTTTCCAGCACCTCCGCCAAATATGCGAGACTGACGAGAATGAATTAGCTCACCGAAACTGGGTCGCCCAAACCTAGGCACTGACACTGATTGTGATTCACGACCAAATTATTTTATAAGACTGCTGCCATTGTCAAACTTTCTGAGTGTGTGATTTATTTTTATTTCATGAGTTCTTGTTATTTATTTTCCTAACACTCATAAGATTGAACGAGGAAATTCTTCAATTAAACAGCATCAAAACCCGGACTATGTAGGAACTTTATCAAATAAATAATTACATTAGCATTAACATGTATTTATGTGTACTAGCGTGTTTCTATATTCACGAAGCAAATTACGTCAGAGGCGGAAAGCAAGAAATGTAACTGCAAAGTCATATGATAGATATGCAATAAGTAGACGAGCAGCGAGACGTCGACAACGTGGTGTAATTCCTCACTTTACAGCTCGGTTGAGGCAAGCTGCAAGCTTTTTAATTAAATCACGCTATAAGGGGCGCGGTACACAAACGAGATTTAGTTTGGAAGGCCAGAGCTACCGTCTGAGGCTGTTCGAGAGAAGATAAGGAGCCAGTAGGTGGAGGTAATGTACACAGCCAAGATAGAGAATGTTGCACAAGGCAAATATTTGCGGTCGACCAACTGTCGCTCAACATACATACTGGCATGTAATTAATTAAACAAATCATAGTTTCTAGCTTGCAAAATTATATTAAATTCTGAAGTCGACACATTACTTCGTTTGGAACGCCATCATTAAATTTGTAGATATAAATCAGCACATTGAATTAAAAAATATATCATATTGATGTTATCAGAGTTTATATTAGGTGTGATGTGATAATCGGTGAAGGTTAATACCTAATAACAAACATAATTGAAAATATAGAGTTTACCGCCGGTTATAGTATCTATGACTAATTAACTTGACTGCACGGTTGGTGCGGTGGCTGGGCAACTGGCTGCCGTGCAACGTGTCGCGGGTTCGATTCCCGCACGGAACAACTCTTTGTGTGATCCACAAATTGTTGTTCCGGGTCTGGGTGTCTTGTGTATGTGAAATTGTATGTTTGTAACAGCACCCACGACACAGGAGAAAATCCTAATGTGGGGCAACGTTTTTTTTAAACAAAAAAAAAAAAAAAAAAAAAAAAAAAAAAAAAATTAACAAGAATCACAAACAGTTTGTAATCAAATGAAATGTACTCTGACCTTTCGATAAATATGGCAAGCAAAATATTTCCACTAGAGAGATGGAAAAATAACATTAACGGAGGGCAACAAGCGGCTAATCCGTGATGCATTCGCACAAATTGCGACCCAGCTGGGAACAAATTGAATTCCCGGTGACGAGACGCCACTGCTGCTAGTTCGGAGCTAAAGCGTCAGCGGACCACTCTGCGACTGGCAAATTGAATGCCGCGCGATTTTTTTCCTCTCCTTGGCAATAGTCGACGTGAAAACTTTTAATAATTTCCTCAAATAAGAAGCACTGCAAGTGTTCGATATTTGTTTTGCTAACGCCATTTAGTTTGAACAGAGGGTCGAGGGTGTTCAAGACAGTGAGAGTGTTCAACTTATACTTTGTTTAAGTTTTCCTGTTTCACTAGGTTCTACAAAAACATGTCTTCCGGCATGTATCTTCTATTGTTCGTAGAGACAAAAAGCTATTCGTTTTCTTCTATTAATGTTATACATTAACATACAATAAATAATAATAATATGTCGTTGGATTTGTGTATTCATTTTAAGTGGATATAACGAGCAGTTTGAACTAACATTATAATTACTTAACAAAATAATGCTTATTGTTATTTCCCGTCGATTCCGTAAGCAAACAAGATACCTCTAGATACTTTTATAGTTCTGAAAATTCTCAGTGACAAAACTTGTTTCTAAAATGTACCATGTTCGTTTATCTTCAAAGCGTAAACAAGAGAAACGTTAACATTTCAATTCGTTTAGAAGCAAATGGAGACTAACTGGAAATTTTCCAAGGAAGACCTAATCAATTTTCTTATTTACAGGGCACTGGAGCAGCGCTACAGTTCGCTAGCACATCTGACAATAAACGACTTACATATATACTCGACTAGCTACTCTCACGCGATTTCACCCACGCTGCTTGGCTCCTACCGATCGTAGCGTAATGATTTAGCCTATAGCCTTCCTCGATAAATGAACTAACAAACACAAAGACAACTGTTCAAATCGAACCAGTAATTCCGGAGATTAACGCGTTCAAACAAACAAACTCTACAGCTTCATAATTTTATATAATATAAAAATAAAGTATAGACTTAAATTGACACCGAAAAGCGAGGCTCTTCAGTGTCAATTTTGTGTAATTTAAGGTCAGAAACGACTATCATCAACATAAATTACGCTGATAACATCTAAAAAGCGATTTACATTTTAAGGTTTACAGTTGACATTGACCTTTACCGCGTATTTTCTTATCATTGGTACTGTACAATTAGGCTATCGAACCTATTATTTGGCTTAATTCCAAATTGTGATTCCAAAGTTACTTAGTCAAGCTTTTGATAAAAATATCAACAATTTAACAAGGAA